AATTATGCTCTTCTAACGGTGTCCGATCGCGAGCGGCGTTTTTTTCTTGAGTTGTAGAACTGTACCAGATCTGGATCAAGCCGCCTCAGTTCAGCGGAGATTGGTAGTACATGAGTGGATTCCCACAATGCTTGCGAGTGATGATCGAGGAGCTCATACCACAGAGTGGCCAGCTCCTTTTAACACCCAAACTTCAAAAACGAGATGGGGCCGATCGGCTTGTGTAGGACTTTCCACGGTTCATGGCTATACAGCGAGGAGATATTATCCCAGGTCAACAGGTGTGGCGCTCAATCGAAATACGGGTGCGGTCAAAGAACACCAACCTAGATCGAAAAACGTATCCTTGGGCTTCTAAATTGATGGTTGTGGAAGTCGTAGTCCATCTCCGCTACAGTGATTAAGCTGATCCGCATATCGGACAACATATTCTCGCTGGACTCGACCGTAACGGTCCTTGCGTTTAGATTGCACATAGACGATCTTCTCCTCTTCAAACCCGCCACTTTCTAGTTTGCCTTCCCAACTGTCATCATGCAACATCGCTTCATCAAGATCCACGCAATCCAATTCTGCGATCAACATGTTCTTCGGCCGATATGGAAACATCTTCGCTTGATTCAGCTTCTAAACGTAAACCACAAGAAATAACCGATAAGGCATTCTACAATCTCCAAACATACCGCGTGATCTCCACACAATACAGCAGCTCAAAACGGTCCATGCCACATATGCTCCTTCTCACGATCCAAGTATAACCAGATTTGCGATCCGCGATCGATACCGTGTGGCTCCTGATCCGTATTTCCTAATCGGCTCAGAGTTGAGTCGATTAGGACAAACGATCATTCACAGCAGCCCTAGCACGCTAATATTGACGCTAGATCCGGTATCTCCGCCTCCGTGGCTCCCGATCGCGCGTATTGGTACTTACCAGGGGCATCGTTGCTTCCAGAGTAGATCGTAGATCCCAATCATGAATCAAATAAAGGGGGTTATCCCACTGACGCGATCTTGCGCTGTGTTAAGTGCAAATGTCAATCGATCCGCGTATTCATCTCAGTTCTTATGATCCACACTCGTCGCATGTATATTCAAAGACCGTGTTAAAGTTGCGCCCGTACGTTCTGCAGTTCCGGTAGCTTGAGTCCTGTAAGCCATAGCTGCACGCCATTTCTGTCTTGCGATCCGATTGAATGCCATAAAAAATCATACATGAATCCCGGCTTGCGATTGTGACGGATTGCTTCACTGGCACCCACTGTCGAAAGTAACAATCCTCGTAATTTTCTGCAATTACTTGTACGGTCCGAGACGACTTTGCCTTCGCAATCACACACCCAGAGAAGGGATCGGCCCACAGCAATAATTCCGTATTTGCTTTGTGCGATCGTGGTAACGACAGGATATGATTCATGGCAATTAGTTGAAATGGGTTGGTCGCTTGCCCATAACCAGGAGGCTCACCACGGATCGTAGGATACCCTTTTCCAGTTTCACATTCCACGCATTCGCCCACATAACGTTGCACACTTCGTTATAATCCTCGCCATTGGAAGTTGACTCGGATCCTATGGTAGGCCCTACCAGTCCCTTGGTTACCATTAGACCAGATTGATAATGATGCAAGAAATTTTGTTGCAATAAGTTTATCACCACCAAGCAAACCAATTCCACTTGATTTCTCGAGTAAGCAGCCGACCTATGGACCAGTACCTCGTCTCTAGGTGCATGCACCTCGTTTTCCTCAAAAATAACATTTATTGGTGACTTCACCGGACCTTGAATGGTTAGTACCTTGTCACCTATTTCACTTGGACTCCTGTCCTACATCTTGGCTTGCAGCCACCCACAAAACTCATGACGTTTAGTAGTGTGTCATTCTCACGTGTCGTATGGGGTTCTCGACAACACTTTGACAGCCCTTTGGCCTTTCCCGGGACTATTGGCCTCGACAGTCACAGTGTCAACAAAACCGAAAAGCCCAAAATCTTGCTCCATAACCTTTTCGCTCCAAAAGCTCTTTTCCTTCCTACCAAAGGTGGGTTCATGACTATTCAGAGCCCCACCACGAGCAATTCGCGTTGCGCCTAAGTTCTTCTACCTCCAATCAATCCATGGCTTATGGCGTACTAGCCATGCCATGCCTCGGATGAGGTCATACCTCGCATCCAGATATGAGACCAAACAGTGTTCCATGCCGTGAAAGTCCAAGAACTTACATGTAAGTTCATCGGAACTTTAAGTACCATAACACGCGTACCCGTCGCTAAGCAAACTGTGACTGTGTCACTTTCATGTGCTCAAAGCGCTTCAGCATATTGCTGCCTACCTTCCACGGTGGCACGGTGGGCATAACTGCCCAATGCCTCCAAACCGATCAAAATCGTCCATGGCTTCTCAAAGCCCTTAACCTTCCCTTCGACGACTAGCAAGCCTGGCTTGCATTCTTGTTCCGTTTTTGAGAATTCGGGTCTCTTTGGGGTTGAGAACGGCGTACATCTATTTCCTAGAGGCTCAACAGAACTCAGTTCTTCCCAAGTAAGGACCCGCGCTTACTGGGTCCCCCGTTTCGCCACGGCAAGCCAAAGGGTTAACCCATTGGGCGTCGGCCCTTCGAGGCCAAATTTGCCTTTCTTATAGGAGAATAAATTGGCCTCATAACATCTGCGCAAATTTGCCGCTCTGCAGCTTCAAGCTCAGCTTCTTCCTCCACTTCACTACAGTCCATGAGGTGAAACCCATCAGACTAGTAGTTATAAGTGGCAGACCTAACGGTCTTAAAGTTGGTCTCGGCATTCCATGCCACTCCAACAGCTTCCTCTAATGAAGACGGGTTTACCCGAAGACTTTCGTTCTGGCAACGCCAACTCGGAGGCCCTCCCGAAAGACCGTGACGGGCACTGCCTCAGGCAAAGAGTCGATGACCATGGCGGCAATGAGAGTTCTCAACTCTTGCACATATGCCGCAAGCTCACGCTTGCCTTGGCGACACGCCAAAAACAGCGACCGATTACGGTGTGCTTGGTTTGGCGGTGCATACTGCCGGGTCATATGAACTTTCAGATCGGCCCTTGTGGGAAAAGCATCATTCGGAAATGTACCGCATGTGAACGTCCATTGCTTGGCTAAGCCACCCACCTTACCCGTGGCAAAGCCCACGCGGTACGGTTCATAGGCGATGTCGGCTATAAACATAGCCGACTCAACCTGTCGGAACCAAAGCATAAGGTTGTCCCTTCTTTGTCGTCGAACTTATCGACTTCCATATACATCAGGTTTTGGTCTGCGGTAACCACTTCTTGCGCCATAGTCGCCATGGGCGAAGGCGCAGCAGAAGGCATCTGTGCCTTTACATGCTCGACTAGAAGGTATCTGTGCCTTTACATGCTCGACTAGAGCTTCCTTATACTCTTGAAGCATATGAATACGCTTGTTAGCCTCTTCTTCGCCCTGGGCGATGAGGTGCTCCACGCCCTTAGCCAAAGATAGGGAACAGCTTTGACAACCCTTCCTGTTGTGCCTGTGACAGGCCAACCGCTACATCTCATCGATGTCCATTTTCACATAGAGAAGTATTTGTAAACCCAGGTGCGGGATTGACTACAAGTGCTACCAGGTGTAGCCGAGCTACTGTAGCTAAGCTACTTATGCACTATGTGCAGAAGAAGTAGTCAAACTACTGTAGCAAAGCTACGTTTGCACTATGTGCAGAGGAAGACAAGCTCAGAGAGCTTCTACGTCTTGGGGTGTTTAACCCTCCTAGGCTAGCTCGTAAGCTTGTGCCTTTCGGCCTTAACAGAGTCTCAGAGAGACTAGTATCAAAGATACTGATTCCATAGAAGCAATAGAACGCTTAAGCAGTGATGCTTACAGAGCAGGTTCGAAACTGCGATTTATATTTATATTTATCTTCTAGCACTAAATATAGAAGCGCCTTACTCCTATACGTAGTGCTAGTCACTATGTACGTCTCTGTAGCCTCATTAGTGTTATGCAAACACGCATAGTCACTATACTTCAAATAAGTATAGTGACCACGTGGTTCTCTGTCCCCTTCGTACCTTAGGTACGTCACATCGAACCTACTAATGCACCCAAGGTACAGCCACACCAGCAAGTGTGTATGTACAATACACACCTTCCTGTAACCACGTTACAGACTTCCTTCAGATCGACGACCAACTTGTTCGTTCGCGGACGTTTTCCGACGCAATAAATACATTTGATATTTGAGCAGCATAACTAATTCCTATGTTTTAAGCCCACGTTTATGTGCATCGGTAAGTTCTTCTTTGCAATGTTGTACAAATTTTCATCATTCGCTACTTTTACGTTTCGGCGGATATATAGGCTGTTTAAAAATGTGGTACAATATCATTCGCAAGAGCTTGTAATAACTGCTCTTGCGCACTCAGTGCGTACGAAATTGTGCCGATAAGTAGTTTGATAAGGCAGCAGCAGACAAAGCATGGCAGCAGACAAATCATCAGCAGCAGCAATCTGGTGACTGGTGATGGGCTCAGTTCAGTTTTATGACGCTTGTAAAAATGCTTGCAACTGTTGTTTTGCTCGGTAAAAGGGCGATACGCCATTTTAGTAACAACTTGATGAGAAGAGATGTTAATTTTTTCTTTTATGTCATATGACGTTCTATTTTGCAAGAATAGAAAATTACAATCATTCATTCTCTAGCGCAAAGTATAATTTTCCTAAGCAAAATGATGGTACTATATGTAATATACAAGTGGGGGTGGATCAGTTCTCTTATTTTACGAGACATCTTTGTATCAAAAAAACGTTACCTACTTTGACTTAACCGACTATTTCAATTGTTGTACCAAAACATGGGTACGTGATACAATGTGTGGTGCATGCAGCCTTACAATGCATTTGTACATCTTAATCCATGCTGTGAGTCTTCTTTGGGCGCTGTAAGCACGTAACAGTAAATCATTTACCCCTTCCTCTCTCTCTCTCTTTTACTCAACATCATTGTCATGTTCCCGCTCGTCCCAGCTTTACAAGCTCGTATTGTGTTACTTTCCGCATCATACAGTCGTCGACTGGTCTTCCGTGTGCGTCCCCATGTGCTTCGTACATTATCGACGAAATCAACAGCTGAAGCAACTGTAAATGCTACGAGTTCCAAGACAGCAACTACTGTATCGATTGATATGTTTTCATTGGACGAGACTATGACGCTCAAGGAGCGCCTTACAATCTACAATCAATTAGGCAAGACACGTCTTAGTGCATTGGTGGTCATGACTACAGGTGCAGGTTTCCTGATGGCTGGTGGACCCATTTCTTGGCACACTTTTGCTGCTGCCACGGTGGGTACATCTCTGGCTGCAGTGTCAGCTAATACATTTAATCAGTGGCGGGAGGCGGAGTTAGACGCTAAAATGCAGCGCACACACCGACGTCCACTTCCGTCGAAGCGGATCTCCCGAGCACACGCACTAAAGTTCGGTGCTGCTATGGCTACAGCTAGTATGGCCATTTTGTCGGCTGGATGCAGTCCATTGGTAGCCTCACTAGGCGCATTTAACATTGGCCTCTACTCGTTAGTGTACACTCCGATGAAGTTGAAGAGCGAGTATAACACGTGGATAGGCTCAGTTGTGGGCGCTATCCCACCTGTCATGGGTTGGGCAGCTGCCACCGGCACTGTATTGGCGCCAGAAGCTGCGCTGCATGCATACTTGATGTATTGCTGGCAGATGCCACACTTCTTCGCCTTAAGCTGGCGATCACGCAAGGACTATGCGCGTGGCGGCTACAAGATGGTGGCATGCAATGATCCAACGGGCTCTCGAAGTGCTGCGTTGGCACTAAGATACTCATATTACATGAGTGCGATTCCGATCGTTGCTTCGATTACAGGCGCTACGAGCTACATGTTTGCAGTAGAAGGTACCGCTGTGAACGCGTACACTATCTACTTGGCGCATAAGTTCTACGCGAAGCCGTCAAATGCATCAGCGCAAAAGGTTTTTCTGGCCTCACTATGGTACTTGCCTGTCATCATGGGTTGCATGGTGCTGCATAGCCAGCAGTGGATGAACGACGAGGAAATTGAAACGAAGAAGAAAGCTAACGTATGGCGTGAAGCGTTTTTGGGTGAGGCGGAAAATTTCCAGTCGCAGGATTCTTCGGCACATACCAAGGAAAGCTCCATGTCCGCATGGTTGGTAGCGAAGGTGCGTGCCTTGCGCCACAGCCTTCGGGATTTCTGTATCCACGAGACTTTGTGGGGAGTGAAGGACGGCCAGCACCAGGGTGATGAGTCCAATATACTTTGTCCCGTGCACATGGGCCACCAGGCCAAAGAGACCGTGGCAATCACAGCACAGGCTTCTAGGACGGATTAAAACACTGTACGCTATGTGTAAAAAGAGAGCAGACAACGATAGCTGTACAGGTATATAGCGACAGACATTAGATGGACTGTCAACATGAAACATCAGCAGATAAGAATGTGCTAGCGGTCAAGCTCAATCAATTTAAGCGTACACTGGTTGAAAATACTACTAAAATGTGGATCACCACTTGATGCCCAAGGGATTTGACTGCTCCATCTTTGGAACAGCGTGGTATTGTGTATGTAACACTCCACGCGCTGTGTCGGAGAATGGCATTCCACCCAAGTACTTTTCATACACATACTTCACAGCTGGGTTTGCAGTCGGTTCGCGCACTTGGAGCTCCTGAAAGCGCCTTGTGACGTTATCAAGCAGCTTTGTCGACAGCAGCGTCGACTGAAGCCTTATCTGACCTCCTCCATTCAAGCACCCGCTCGGGCATGCCATGATTTCGACATAGTGGTACGGGCACCTGTTCCGCCGGATCTTCGTCATAATCGATTGAATGTTGCGAAAGCCGTATGCAATAGCAAACTTCAGCAGCTCCTTTCCTTCGACAACCAGCGACACCTCTCGAAAGTCCGGGTTGCGGCCAGCTACATACTCAAGCGGACCGGTGACCTCCAGATTGAAGAGTTCCTTAGCTGCGAAACGAAAAATGTGTTCGAGCTGACCACCAGAACTAGCATTCAAGCTACTACCGACAACACTCAAGCCATCTTCTGACACGCCGCTCAGCAGTATCTCTTCTGGCGTAAGATTCGCTAGCTCAAGTGCGGCAAAATCAATATTCTGCGATTCAATTAGCTCAAGGATCTCTGTGGTAGCAAGCACACAGTCCACTTCTCTGGTTGCTTTTTCCGGGTTTTGAAAATCCTTTCGCGATGCTTCCAGCTTCTTGTCAAAGCACGGCATCACCGCAACATGGTAGACTTCGTCAAAAGCCACGCTATTCTCGCTACTCACAAAGCGCTTGATGATCGAGCCTGCTATTTGTTGTGGAGATTTTGTAGTGTCAATGAACGGAATGGCATTCGGCTGGGACTTTTCAGCATAACAAATCCATCCAGGGCACGACGAAGCCAGCATTGGCATAGCGCGCAGCGGATCCTGTAAAGGATTTACTGTAGTACTTGGTTCTAAATACTCTATCTTTTCCGACGAGACCGCGACCGACGACGGTGGTCGTGCCCAGATCGTCTTCTGCTGATTACGATACCTGTGCAAAAATTCTGCACGAGATTCAAGCAGTGCAAAATCTCCACTACACGTCGAGTCGATTACGAGGTCCATTCCAAGAGTGTGAAATAGTGTCACAAGCTTGCGATGCACCACAATTACAGACATACCAAAATGAGCGGCTAGTGATGCACGTGATTGTGGTGACAGTGTCACGACTGCAAACTTGTACGTGCGAGCAGTAAGCACATCTAACATCTCTTTAAAGCTTTGCTGCGAGATTAACACGGTCTCTGCCGATGTGACGCAGCCGCTACATGCAAGACAGTCGTCCAACGAGATCGTAGCCTTCTCCTGTGTGGTTGTACGTATAATATTAGGCTTTAGTGGTGCTGGTACTGCCAAGTCTGCAGCGGTAAGATCCGTCTGCAGTGTGATCTTAGCCAAACCGTTGGTAGATTGACCATTATTATTACCAGCATGTGAGGCCGTGTCTGAAGTAAATAATGGATTGATACAAGCCTGTGATGGTTGAATATAGTCATCAAGATCGCCAAGGAATACAGAAGCCTACAAATGTCAACATATCCAGAGGTGAGAAGCAGCATTCCATTGGATTGTATCACCACTACAAGAGCTAAGCAAGACGAACCATTTTTTGGTGTTATTATTTAAGCGTTTTTAATGGGGTTTAGTATATTTCTTAAAAAAATTCGATACTGACTATTTTAGCATAAGGTAATGCAATTAATTGTACTATATGAACCTGTAGCTTCTTTCGGCAACAATAATTTGCTCAAAAAAGCATTGTCAGAAAAAAGCGTTTTTTTAGCTGCGCGATGGATTTCATGTTGCGTTACTAAACATAGTTAGAGTGTGGCTTTTTCGAGACCTATTGTAATAGCCTTTAGACCCTAAGTAGTAGCTAGTTTTAGTGTACTTGTATAGACTATGCATGATGACAAGCACAACGTAAAGGGATGAAATTTGGCAGCGACACAGATCCACAGATGCTTTCCATTCTTATCAGAACTTTCAAAAAGGAAAACAACCTTATAGCGTTGAAACAAGCAAATCATTAAAATAACACGACAGACAACTACGAGCTACAAAAGCGTTAATTTTTATACAGACCACCATCTTATTCATTATTCAATTGTGTGTCAAAGTAGAGATATGCAAGCTACTGAAGTAGTCCCTCAGTGGCGTAACAACGTGGAACCTTGTAAGAGGTTTTGTATGGAACATGCTGATTCTAAAACGTTGTTGTTGTTGTTGATTCAAACCTAGAAGCGGATGAAATCTGCAGCATTAACAAGTTTTTATCATTTGAAGCTAACGACCACAAACGTCTGCGGGGCAATAAGATGCGTTTTAGCGTTCATTGAACCTTAGAAGAACCAAAGGTTGTAATGCTTCGTGACTTCTTAACCAAGGCTGAAAAATGTGCAACGTCATCAATGTGTAAACAAAGGGTTATTGCCCAGTGACTAGAGAAACAGGTGAATGTAATTCCCTTGAGTGGCATTGTTGCAATAATGCACAATTTTGCAGAGATTACCCATGACACAATGTTTATTGACTACGAAAAGGGTTTCAAATATCGTTGTTGTCTCTAGCTTGTACTATAAGAGTGGGTAAAGAAAGATAACAGAATTGTGTAGATCTGAATGAGTACTGTATTAAGTTAAGCTTGCTTGATCATCCTCAGCCCAATCCCTTTCTATTGTTATTCCACTAAATAGCTACTGGCTCTCCTCTCCCCCCTTTTTTATTATTATTAAAGAAAGTAAGAGGAATGGAGGGGGGAGAGAGGAAAGACTCGAAAACAACCAAGCAACATTTCATTTGTCTAAATACTTGGGTTTATATATATAGATAAATAGAGAGAGAGAAAGAGTGCTGAACTTTTTGAAACAAAAACAAAAAGCTTCATACTATCAAGAGTGACAGGTCTTATTGCTTCCATTGTAGCAACAAATCGACAAATCGACAAATAGACAGACAGACAGACGATAGTAGATAGTATTGATAACGAAGAGCCTCTTGAATCTTTCTTTAAACCCGTTCCCCTATTAAAAACTGACGGGAAATACAAGGAATGCCAAGATGCTTTTGGGTGCGTCTCATGGTCGTAAGATGGCAATAATTCAAAGTTTCTTACTACTTCTTGGAATAAAAGACTTGAATGTTGTCAATACATTTCCTACATTATTAGCATATGAATGCAAAGGAAACAATTGTCTTTATACAAGTGATACAAGTACAACAACAGCAGCATTATTATATTATGATCCAGTTGAGTGTGTTAAAGAATGTCGAACAGCAGATTTACAAAATGTTGATAAAGGAAGTGAGCTCTCGGATGTTGCAAGTATGACAGTAACTTCGTCATTAAATGGCACGTGTGTTGATTGTGCACTTGAAGTCTCGTCTACGTATAATTTTCCACAAATGCTCAAAACATTTGACCTAACACCAGCGTCTATTGCTTTCTCTACGTGTAATTTTACATGTGAAATTATAGTGGATACACCAAAACTATGGGTACTTGAAGGAGCAATGTCAAATTGTGCTGTAGGCACTACTGAGACGTCAGTGGACTGTATACGAGATGGTAATACTACTGTGATGACTCTTGATGCAGATGCATTGGGAGTTTTCATGTCAGTGCACAACAGCTATGACTTTCTGGTGGATCATGTGACGACAAGATTTGGACCAGGCACGTTTACAGAGGACACGACCTTGTCAATGAAATTTGACGGCACTGGTTGCCTTGCATCGGCAACTAGTGACACAGCAGACAGTAAACAACAAGCTTTTCAACTTGATCTGACTTCGAACTCGTATGAGCTCATTGGCATTTTCACGGATACAGTGATGACAGCAGAGAATACTATTATTATGAAATCGACACCTGTGACGCTTAGTGTCACGAGTGGCGCCGTGCTGAGTGCGGGTGCGTTCTTCTTGCTGCGTGTAGCGAGCGACAGGGAAAATGAGTTTGGAGATTTGATTCAGAATGTGACCACAGCCTCAATGTTGCTACCGGATTCGGAAAGTTCCGAGCCCGTTGATTTGGAGCTATTCGTTGGTGCTTCCAACATTTCATTTACGATCCCGGACTCGTTCACTGACAGTATTCAGAATGGCGACACGGTCGTCATTACATTTGGGACGTTCCTGAATCCGGCCAATAACTCGGTAGCTATCGACAAACTATACCTCTCAGCGTACCAAGGACTTGCGTCTGCTGTTGACAACTCACCGATCGAATTTTATACACTGAATGATGCAAGTCGGTCACTTAAAGCGGCATCGCTGGACATAATTACAGTCGTGGTATACGGCGCATGCTTTTTATTCTCACTGGTGATCATCCGTTGGCATGGTTTGCCATTAACGGTGAATACGCTGTGGACGGATTTAGTGGCGATCACAGCCTTGTTTTCGTTTGCTGCGGCGACGGGCGGGTATCTTGTGTGGGTTATCCAACCGTCGAAAGCTTACGTTCACTGGTACACTGCACAATATTTCTTCAACACGGCGATGATTTTGTCACTGTGCTTCCACTGGGCGACTGTGCTATCGTTTAAGTGTTTCAAGAAATTGACTTTCACATCGCCTGTGGTGTTAGCGTACGTCTTGATCAACGCCTGTGTCCTGGCTTTTATTGTCGTGGTCTCAGCAATGTCGGCAGACAAATTGAAGTGTGTATACGACGTGAAATCTACGTCATGTTCGTCTGAGGAGGAGTGTGCGCTATCGATTGCTGCCGAGGGTAAGATCGTTCGATCTGCCATCGAAGATTGTGATATGGAAGTATTTTACTTGGCCTTTGGCATGGGTTTTATCATTTACACGCTTATGCTGATGATACTTGGTTGCATGGTGATGAGTCGTGGACGGACGCTTATGCTAAACGAGGATCCGTCCGACGCGAGGATTCGTAAGTCTCTCACAATTTTTTATGCTATCATTGCTACGACATGCGTACTTTACGTATCGGCGCAGATCATCTATATTGCACAGTATGTCTCGCACAAGGGCGAGGATAATCAGCTTTCGGATTTGGTATGGTATATTTTCATCGTGTGGTTGCCACACAGCCTTCCGCCGCTATTACTTCTCTTTTTGCAGTGGAATCCAAGCACAGAGAGCTTCCGACAGGACGAGGCACCCTCGGTTGACCAATCATCTAAGGAGGATGTATTCAATTACACTCCACGATCGTCCGGATCATCAAGCCACATGCCGTACTCGAAATTGTTGCGCGATCGTTTAAGCATGGGAGACTCGATGTTAAATAGTGATGAGCCTGGTAGTCGATTGCGAATCATTGTTCGGCTCAAGCTACCTCCAACATTTGACCGTGCGTGCTTTGTGTCGCTTGATTTTTACTCGTCAAAGGAGACAATTACATCCACCAACACGCTTTACAACATTTCCAACGCTGCTGCGTGGAAGTGTGTGGGTACAACCGAGCCGGTCGGTGTGGTAGGTGAAACAGAATCTGTAGTGACGACAGGCTCAACACACACTATCTTTCCTTTTGTTGCCGTACTAGAGGTGCCTGTAATTGGCCCTGCTTCCAACACATTGCTGCGCTTCATGGTGCATGCTAGTACACTTGGCAAACGTGATACGTCTTCACCTTGCCTGGACCGTTCAAGCTCAAGTACACGCAGTCAAGACGCGACTTCGAACCCCCAATTATCGTTTCAGATGACGATGTTCCATCCCGTGCTGGAGTTTGTTACCTCATCTCAGGCTGTATTAGACGCAGCAGCGAGTGGTCATTCGCTAAATATTCACCCATCGGACGAAAATACGTGTGCTATCTTGGAAGAGTTTCCCTCATTGCAGAGTGAAATTAACACTATGTTGATGGGCAACACGAAGAATGCGGAGTTGAGTGTGCAGACTGTCATGATGCCTGGCGACACCAACCGTGACGATGCTGCATCCCACAAGAACATTGGTAATATTATCCGATTCTTTCAGTACGACACGGAGGATGGCGGTGGTGGTCTTGTTGTTGAGGACCTGCAGGAGAGTATTTACTCGAATGCGATTCCACGCCAGTTGATGGAGTTGATTGCAGCTGAGCGTCAGGAGCAGGCTGATCGTGCACGTGAAGACTTGCACAGCTTCCTTAGTCAAAAGAAGGGAAAGCACAATATGGGTTTCTATGGTACATTAATCGGTCAGATCCAAGACGATACTGACTCTTCGCTTGCTCGCGAGTGGCTTGAGGATCGTGTCCGACGACGCAAAGAATATGTGGCAATGCTGCGTCGAAACATCCAGTACTTGGTAAATCGTGACAAGCACAAGCACTATTTCAAGGCCAGTGTAGAAAAGAAGTCATCTGACCTTCGGTTTGTGCCGGTCAATATGCACATCCAAGACCTACTCATTGGACCAACGAATGCGTTCATTAATGATGAAAGGAGGAGATCTTCGAAGGAGGTTTCTGCATACGATTTTACGACTGTTGGTGCTCCGGCAGCACATGTATACAAGTTCAACAAGGGTGGTATCCTGTCATACCAGAACAGACGGAAGAAAATGGAGGCCAAAATTGCGGATGCTGATTTGGATTTATCCAAGTGGCCCGAGGAAGTGCGTGAATACGATGATCTGAAATGGGATTTGCAACTCCGAATGGACTGTGCGTTTGCTCAAGCTTTGGCAGCACTCACTTGTAGCTTTGTGCGAAAGGTGGAAGTTGCAATTCAAAACCCTGACGTTGTCCGAGGCGAAGATATCTTGCGCCAGTTTTCCAGTCTTGGCTTTCTGTTCCAGGTTGAATCGCTGCTGTCTACGCATGGCAAGGAAATTGGCATGTTGGAAGACATGGCAGGTTCTGTAGAGCACCTGAGCTGTGTGGCGTTTGTACTCCAAGATGTCCGCGATAAGCCTATCAATCGTTTCTCGTTCCGTATGTCACGGCGCAAGGATGTTGCCGATGAGGCTGGTGTCGTGAAGGTAACAGTTTCAAATAAGACGGGAACAAAGCGGTCTCATGTCAAGTACATCGTGACGGTCCAGGTCGCCACTAGCGAAGTGGAACTTCCTGAGCGCTTGGCCTCTGGTGGCGAGATCCAAGTGACACCTGTGCTGTTTTCACAGGGCATTAACGAAATGCAAACGATTGCCAACAATACTGAACGAGCAAAGACGGAATTACAGGACATCATCAATTTCCGCAGTCTAAAGCCACTGAAAGCCTTCTGCGAGAAGTATCGTCGTCTTGTAGTTGCCATGCCTCCTAACGGCTTGGGTGGTATGTCTGCAGGTCGTATTCGTGCTGGATCTCACCGCTACAAGGCTATGTCTGTTGACTCGACAGTTACATCGCCTTTGCATCTCACACAAGACGAGGTAACGCAGGAACTGCGTGCACTCGAAACATGCATTAACGAAGCGGCACAGAGTTTGGTAAAGACGAAACGTACGGAGATTCTAAAACGATCATCGGACCTATGTCGGGAGCTTGGAGGTGGACGTGTCACGGTATGCAAAAGTGCCAAAGATCGTACAGCCATGTCAGTGACGTTAGAGCAAGTGCGTATCCTCCAGCGTCATCATGATTTGCCAGCTCATCGTGTTCCAGCTACTGTTTCCGTTATGCGAAGTCACGGTGTTCGTATTGAAAATGCACTCAAGAATACGGGCAAGCGTCAGTTTGCTTTCAATAAACTGCAGCGCTCTCTATTGCCTGAAGAATATCGCTGTCCTGATCAAGTGGGTGGCACGGGCAACGTCAGTTGATCATATTACCACCACCACATGTTAGCGCAAGCTGAATAAGCTTACGAGGGTATACAGATTTAATAATAAGTTTTTGTGTTTCCATTTTGTTGCTTTTTCGATGCAGATTTAGGATTTAGACAAGCGATAAATCTGACCTTGCGGAAGTGTAAATCCGACTAGAAATGGTGATGAAATTGTGTCAGCATCTATTTTTTTGTACCCAAAAAGTTGGTATTTGATGCATTATTTTTTCATAGTATTAATGATCCCAATCGTGACTAATATTAAATCAGTACAAGATTTCCAAACCATTGAGACGCAATTGACCCAAAACGAGCATCATGTCAGAGAAGGCACCACAAGTACTGGGTGGCACACGTCCTAATGTAGATGAACGGTTTCATCTGAAAGATGTAGATGAGAGTGAGGACACTACAGCGCCAGTTCCATCCATTTATACGCTTCAGGCGGAGGATGACGTGCTAGAGGTGACGACAATGGAGAGTTTATGCATGAATTGCCACGAGGATGGAACGACAAAACTACTGCTGACTATGATCCCATACTTTCGTGAGGTGATCCTCATGTCTTTTGAGTGCGATCACTGTGGTTTCAAGAACAGTGAGGTGCAATTTGGTGGCAAAGTGCAGGAGCAAGGAGCTAAGATTGAACTCGAACTTACGGAGCAAGAGGTGGGTGGGTGCAAGTCAAGTGCTTTGCATTGTATAAATACACTCCATTTAACATGGTGTACATACTAAAACTCCCCAATAATTGCTGACTATCTTTTCGGGGTTATTAATTTGAACACAGGACTTGAACCGTCAACTGATCAAGGCTGATGCCGGCGCGATTTACTTTCCGGATCTGGACTTTGAAATCCCACGCGAGACGCAACGAGGCAGCATCAATACGATTGAAGGTGTGTTGAAAAAAGCTATTGAGGACCTACGAAAGAACCAGGAGCACCGTCGAGAGATTGACCCTGAGAGGACTGAGAAGATTGACGAGTTCATTGCGAAACTCGCGTTGATGTCTGCGGGTATCACGCTCCCATTTAAGATTGTACTGGATGACCCGTCAGGCAACTCACACATTGAAAATCCGCACGCACCTGCTACTGATCCCAAGATGAAAGTTTCACATTACTATCGATCGGAGCAACAGGATTTGGTCTGTGGACTGCAGCCCAATATGTCCCATGACGCACCGACACAAACTCCACGTGTGCTGCCACACCGTAACGAAGGTCTGGACAAGTTTGTGGAGGAAGCTAATATTGCCAAAAAGGAGGTGATTCAGATCCCTGCGAACTGCTTCGCTTGTCAGGCACCAGGTTTTTCCTGCATGTGTATGACGGATATTCCTCACTTTAAGGAGGTCATCATTATGTCTTTCAACTGTGAGGCGTGTGGTTTCAAGACCAACGAGGTAAAGGCTGGTGGTGCCATTCCACCCCAGGGTGAGCGCATGACGCTAAAAGTGGATATTAGCAAGGATCCAAATGTGTTGGATCGTGATATCCTCAAATCTGACTCGGCATGTGTGAACATTCCCGAGATTGAGCTGGAGATGGCGCACGGTTCGCTTGGTGGATTGTACACGACTGTAGAAGGTTTGCTCGGGAAGATTCGCCAGAACATTGAAGAGGGTAACCCGTTTGCTATTGGTGACAGTGACGGTGGCCGCTCGCTGCTAAACGCCTGGTTGGCTCGTCTTGATGCTCTGAAGCAGGGTTCTGAACCGTTCACGCTTATTCTGGAGGATCCGCTGGCTAATAGTTTCATCTACTCACCGTTTGGCAGTGCTGACGATGATCCGTACATGACGGCTGAGAAGTTTAAGCGCTCTGAATATGAGGACGATGTGTTGGGTATTACAGATATGAAGGTGGACAATTATTCAGTGGACACTGGATTAGGGAGTATCACGGAAGAAGAGGACAAGACTACTGAACCTATTCGAAGTGACAAGGAGACAATGGGTGGTGGTTGTGCTATTGATCCATCCAAGTACCATCCAAATCCTTCTGCTGTTATGGAAGTGCGACAACAGCAAGAGCATGTGAAGAAACAACAGCAGTAGGAAAAGGAGCTTTTGCAGTGAGTGACACTGCATTATCTTTTCAGACAAGAGCTCTTGTGTGACAAACGTCTGTCATTGGGGATCAGAAAAGGCAGTCAAAAAAATAGATGACTATATTTTGCCACCACATCTTTTTAGTCTAACCAAATTTAAAGTAACCACTATTATTATTGTTTTGTATCCAATGCAAGTATATGGACGTTAAGACCCTTTACATTAGAACGTTTGAGCAAAACGAAATGTCGTCTCCTGTAGCTTTACATACCAATAATAATAATGAAAGAAATAAAAATCATGTCGAGGTTAACGTTACGATGGAAGAAAAATTAAGACAGTGGAAACAATTAAAGCAGGACACGTCACGAGGTATGAACAGAAGCAGTCGAGGAAGTGAATGTCGTCGTGCAATGGGTCCCTCACGTTTAGTGGGGAACAAGAGAAAATTCACTGAAAAGATGACAATAAACAAGATTCATTGCGTATCTGTCAACAAAAGTATCTCAGTATCAACTGCATCGCATGTAACGAGCGCTGGATTCGTGACGACCAATGCGAAGCTCCGTCGAGTATGTAAATCGGACATTTGTGGCAAGATCTTAAGTTTTGTCCAAGCGGAGGATTGTTTGGTGGCTAGAAAAGCTCATTATCCAATTGTCATTGACGATGACAAGGATGTTATGTCTACTATTTTCGGAACCAAGACTTGCCAAAGGTTAGCTCTTTAATGGACTTCCCAGTATCCAAGAAAAATGAGCAAGAGATGCTGCTTGTAATGAGTTAAATGCCATTGAAGTTAAGTCAAGACGCAGAGTTGAAGCAACAGAAGATTTACAATGATAATTCTAACGTCTTGAACCTGGATCAGTCCCAAAAGCACCAATCAGTGCTGGTCCGAAGCCAAAAGGACATGGTTGCAGTTAGCCAAGCTCTTTCGCAAGAGAAGTCTGCAATATGTAAACATACATGGGCAGTAAATGCTGTTATGGATAGAGAAAACCAAGTGAAACTAGCAGAGATAGCTAACCAGTCCAAGTACGTCCTGTCTGAGCTGGTAAATACTGCGGAGAAGGAACCAGAGCAGCTTGCCAAGGCTCTTATTCAAGTTGCAATTGGCTTTGAGAAGAGACATAGAATGGCTACTGCATTCAGTATTTTCAAGAAAGCATACTAGATTCTTTCTAAGAAAAGCGCCAAGCTGGCCGAACGTCTTGAGCGCTTAGCAACTGAATGGCCGGAGACAGTGGTCCATGTTCCATCTTAAGAATTACCCACCCCAACGTATATGACAAAAGTGCTCATGCGCGATTTAATGGACGTGCTTAATCATGGGTTAACAAACGATCTTACAGAACTATTTGCGATCGGCACGAAACGAGCCCAGCTGATAATTAATGAGCGACCGTTTTACCAGGTACGATACATTCATCTCTCCATTTGCATGTATTTTCCTATTGACAAGTCAAGAAGAACTAATTTCTTTTGTATTGATTATTCGTCCTCCAACCAGCTATTTGAACTTGAAAAAGTGCTAGGTATATCCAAGAAGGCAGTTGTAAAACTCTATGAACATCACACGAGTTGGGAAAATCATCAGGTGTAAATAATCATCATCCCTTTTGCTCATGCCGAAACCATTCCATTATGGTTGCTATTCTCACACGTCACATATATATCCATAAATGTAGCTATTTTTGATACCTTTTACTCTCTCTTTTCATTCGCTAAAAAGGGTCGCATTAATAGAAGATCATCATGGCATGGCAGCTCCAGGAGCAGGAAGAGGCCCGGCGTCTGTGTATGTTAAAGCAGCAACAGCAAGAGCAAGAAGAAGAGACTCGGTATCTACGTGTAGGATTACGTCAGCATGGAGCTCCTCGCTGGGAAGACGTGCGGACGGACACGAGCTTCGTGGAGCGTAGTCGTCGTCGTAAACCTGGTGCTATGAAGGCTCAAGAGCGATATCTGCGACGTGACGTACACTGTGGCGTCGCTTCTTGTTCATCTTGTCACTCTGCACGTGCTTTGTTACCTGTTCAAGCGCTACCAAGAGTGAACGATGGAGAATACGTCGTACCCGATGCTTTTAGTTTACTACAGTGCATGGAGCTACTGGAGGAGGAAACGCTTTTCTCCAAAGCGGTATCACGTCTCTTGGTATTAGAGAGTGTACTACAATCTGCTCTAAGACAAGGATCAAGTCGTGATGCTACAAGGCTTAGAAAATTCTTTCGAGATGGAGATCAACGGACAAACAGAGCTGTGAAGTTGTATCTTTTTCCAGATCAACATCATGTGGACACTTTTGTGGAGCCAACGACTTTGGAAGAATTGCAGACGATGAGAGATGATCGAGCGTTGCTGAAGACAGTAGAGTGGTATGTGACTCAGACACATTTTCCATCGAGTGCACAGGTGGTGTTCATGACGAGAGATGTAAGTTCTCTCGTGAGTTTGCAACTTGCTGCTTCGGTAAATGTACGGGCAGTTACTTGTGAGATGTTTTTAGATGAAAAACTGTCGAAGTGCTCGGCCAATGCGGCCTTCCTCTTGGAGCTGGCTGCAAACACGGCCGAGGCGATACGCCACGACGAGGCGCAGCGACTGCCAGACAAAAGCGCCAAGATGGCTATCTCCCAAGCTGAGTTTGCACCTCACTTGAAACGTGCCCAACTTAATGAGCTGTTGGCACAGTCTTTTTCACAAGTAGTGGCGGGAAAACTTGAAGTGAGCAGTCATAATCCGGTGGAAGCGTATGTCCTGGTGGAGAAGCCGCATGCGATCGAGAAAGTTTTTGTGTTTGGACGAGCTGCGATGAATCGCGGTGTTCACGGAGATCGTGTGGCTGTAAAAATGCTTCCCAAGGCACATTGGCGCGCTCCACAGAGTAATTGGTTGTTGGTGCATTATACGCAAGACGAAATTGAGCATGAATCGGAGATTGTCGAGTCAGAAAATGATAAACAAGAGCCCGGAGCGATCCCGACGGGCCGAATAGTAGGAATTCTAAGCCGATCGTTGAGATATCATGTGGCAACTATAAATGCCTTAACTGTAAATGTAGGAGACGACTATGCGTTGGCTGTGCCGATGGACCGGCGGCTGCCTAAGATCCGTTTGCGCTCGCAACGACTCGATGCGCTACTAGACAAGCGCCTCAAAATTGTGATTGACAGCTGGGCTAGTGACAGCTTATATCCAAACGGACACTACGTTGGAATCCTGGGTGCGTCTGGAATTTTGCAGACAGAGCTTAGTGCACTGCTTGTGGATAACGAGGTGGAGGAGGCACCATTTAGTGAAGCAGCATTAGCGTGTCTGCCGTCAAGTGACGAGTGCCCTATTGACATTGAAGGTAGTTGCGTGGCTGAGTGTTCGACAGCAAAACGACCGCCTCAATGCGAGCTATTAAACTGGCAAGTTTCTGCTGAGGAGGTTTCACGGCGTCGGGACCTGCGTAAAACACACCGCGTCTTCAGCGTTGACCCACGCGGTTGTCAGGATATTGATGATGCAATGTCAATTCAACGCTTACCCAATGGCAATATAGAGCTCGGAGTGCATATTGCGGACGTTTCCTACTTCGTTGAGCACGGTTCGGCATTGGACCTAGAAGGCAGACGCCGCGGCACGACAGTGTATTTGGTCGGACAGCGGCTAGATATGCTCCCTAGTGTGCTTAGCACAGATCTGTGCTCGCTTCACGAGAACCGAGATCGTCTTGCAGTGAGTATTGTATGGGAGCTAGATGGTGAGACGTACACTATTGTGGAGAATTCAACGTGGTTTGGGCGTACCGTCATCCGCAGTTGCTCCTCAATGACATACGAGCAAGCCCATCGCTTACTTCAGGGTGCAAATGCTGATGTCGATGACGCACCGCGATGTGGTTCATTTAGGAAAAAATCTCCGCTTGTTCATCGCGCTGAAGGTATAGCAGGAGGTCGTATACCCTTAACACTCCAAAAGCATCTGCGAGGGGACCTTCGCATTCTCACTAATATTGGCCGTCGGCTTAGCCATATGCGTGGCTCACAAGGCGGGTTGGATTTGTCCAAACAGGAGGAGGTTCAATTCTCCCTTAACGTATCAGCGTCAGGCCAAGGAGACGTGGAGATCACGGTCAAAGAGAGTTTGGAAATCCACAGCACAATTGCCGAATTGATGATTTTCGCAAACACGACTGTAGCTCGTAAGATTGTAAAGCGGATTCCGACCCACGCATTATTGCGTAGGCATCCACCGCCGTCTGGAGACCGCTTCACACAGCTTGTTCAGCTTGCTAAAGCACGCGACGTAGTCATTGATGCTACGAACAATTTCACTTTGCAGCAGTCACTCGCAGCGGCGGAACGCTCAGGACGCATGGACACCAAAACAATGTCATTATTGAAGTCTCTCGCAGTGCGTGTGATGACGGAGGCTGAATATGTGAGCTCCGGGGCAGTAGCAGCTGGCGATGCAGCAACGGCGAACGGCGACATCACACGGTTTGCACACTATGGTCTTGGACTGCAATACTACACACATTTTACGTCGCCTATCCGTCGTTATGCCGACATCATCGTGCATCGGCAGCTGTTAGCGTCGATTGCAGCTCCACGTTCTCCTCATAACACGCCACCTGAGCGGTCTGCTACTAGAAGTTTGGCCCCGTTAGTGCTACCTCATACCCTCGCCCCCTCCGTGCTGGAATACAAAGAGGACGAGGACTTCCTCGATGATCTCATTTCGTCGGTCGACAGCCAACTCCAAGTAACAATCGTTCCGTCAGATCAAGATAAAGTAATTGGCACTGCACGTGACGATGCGATCACAAATGCAGATAACTTTTTTCCGCCAGAGGAGTTGGCACCACTTGCTCGCCATCTCAACAAGAAAAATCGACAGGCAAAGCTTGCAGCGCATGCCTGCGATGCGCTCTTTTTGGCCCTTTATTTCAGCAGTCACACAGCAAAAGTGCCAGCAATCATTACGGCTCTCAAGCAAAACGGGATGATTGTGTATGTTCCTCAATACGATCTCCGCGCACCAGTGTATCTGCGCGACAAGAGCGGCTTCGTGCAAATGGACCCCCCTGTTGCTTGACGTACCTGATGTGGACACTGAACCGGCTACTGGAGCATTTGCAGGAGCTGAATGCATTCGAAGAATTCCTCAGGCGTACCTTGTATGGGACAACAGTGAACGTGGGGCCCTTGAAGTTATTGCTCCTGGTGATAAACGCACTGTATTTCACATTCTGGACGAGGTGGAAGTTCAAGTGTCATGCGACCTCGCCGCTTGTAATGCTCGAGTGCCACAGCTCCAGTTGCTCCTCGTTGGGCGAACACATGTCAAGCAAAAACAACACGTTGCATCATCGCTGTCAGAGCTGCAACGCGTTGTTCAAACAAAAAGTGAGGCTGATCGCGTCTCGAGCTTTGCGGTGAAAGTTCCACTGCCAGCGTCTAGCACCGCTAGTAAGACGTTTTTGTCGCAGAATTTGTACCAGCTCCTGGTAGATACGCCGGAACTTTCTCCACCTGCCAAGTCTTTTGCCCGCCGAAAGCCGATATCGAAAGAGGAGGAAGACAAAAGGAGGAAAAGTTCTGGGGTCAAACATCAAGGTCCTGGGCGTCTGGTTTTCGGAAAATTTTCAACAAACTCGCGTCGCCATTATCAACATAAGCTCGCACAATATATGGACGAGCGCACAGAGGCGCGTGAAGAGGAGCTCAAGATTCAGCGCATAGCTAACGGTTCCTCTGCAATGATGACCTCGGCGCAAGAAGCTCGACGTGCAGAGCGTGAAGCACTCGTCCGCACGCAAAAGTTAGCTGCTGAGAAGAGACACGACCGAATTAATCGGCGCAGTAAGGCCAGCAAGTAAATTTGGTTCGGCTCAAGTCACAAAAACAATCTAACAAAGAATTTTAGGTACTATTTAGTACAAATCAATGTCCAAGTGGGTGATCGTTCTGCCGTGCCGTTGCGAGTAGTTTCCATGTCACTACAGTAAGGTGTGGTTGAATCTGCATGCCTGCTTGCTTGCGCCTGTCTACAACTCAATCTCTTTGATGGGAGACTGGACCTTGCCGCTGATGTATTGTGCCGCTGAAAGAAAGCTAGTATCGTCCTGGCTGTCCATTTCCGAGTCATCGCCGTATCCTTTGCGGTCCATCATTGCAACAAACTCCTCAAAGCTAATGACGCCGTCACCGTTTGCATCCACGTCATTAATGATTTCTTGCGCCTGTTCTTCGCTGCCCATGAACTGCACGAGGTCTGCCTTGGTAATATGCCCCGTGTTCGTAGTGTCGAAATAGTTAAATGCGTTCATCAGGTGCTCCTTCTGGTTAGCCAGGTTTCGTTTCATGGTAGCTGCCAGGAACTCCGGGTAATCTACAAGTCCGTCGCCGTCAATGTCAATGCCCTTCACGAGTTCCAGTACCTCCTCCTCAATCATCCCAAGACCAGTATCACGCAACGCCTCCGCTAGCTCAGACACCGTGATCACTCCATTGCCATCCGTATCAATCGCCATAAACTGATTCTTCAGCTCTGCAATCTCCCCTTCCGTTGCTAGATCTGCGATGACACCAAGGGCCGCCTTCTTGAGCTTGTTGTTGCCTGTGAAGCGCTTCAAGCTCGAGAAGATGTTCGGGTTCAGCGTCATACTCGATCTCGGCGCCGATCCAGAGATCCACGGATGACGAAGCACCTCTTCCGCCGTCAACCGCTTCGACGCGTCCACTAGCAGCAAGCGGCTAATGAGGTCCTTGGCCTCATCGCTCACATTTGTCCATTCGGGCGAGTCAAAATCATAGCGACCAGAACGAACCGAGGCAAAGATCTCAGGATCCGTGTCACCGTAAAACGGCGGATATCCGCATAACAAAATGTACATGATGACACCAATACTCCATAAATCACAGGACTTGTCATAGTGGCGTCCGAGCACCTCAGGTGCAATGTAATAAGGTGTACCGACCCGCGTCGTCATGACGCCAGCACTGAGACCGTCATCCATGCGTGAGAGTCCAAAATCAATCACCTTTAGTTCAGCATCTTCTGCCTTGGTTGCAAACAAAAAATTCTCAGGTTTCAGGTCTCGATGGCAAATGTCACGATCGTGGCAGTGCTTAACAGCGTCACATATTTTAAGTACGAGCACTGCAGCATCGGCTTCACTGTAGTGACCACGTGCAATGATACGATCAAAAAGTTCTCCACCCGTGCATAGTTCCGTAACTAGATGAAGATGACGATTACTCTCGCACACATTGTAGAGTTTAATGATATTAGGATGATCTAATGTCTTGAGAATATTAATTTCACGTCGCATTGTCTCGGGTCGACTCACTTTAGCTTTCGGAATGGTTTTAATCGCCACTTTCTCACCTGTGGCCTTGCTTACACCAACCCGAACAGTACCATAGTGTCCATGACCTAATTCCTTCTTTTCAATGTCATAAAACTCATTTACATCACATAATTCACCCGTAATCTATTTTTTCAAAGATAAAATACATTTCATAAATAAATTACATCCATCATATACTCGAAAAAAAAACGATAACAAAATAAAGGATCGGACCATCACTCTTACCAATTCTTTAAAAGCCTTACGTTCACGTGTATTTGATGGATGACGACGTCCAGAAGCAACAGGAGGAGCAGGTGCAGAAGCAGATGGCAACGGTACAGTCGTTTGACCCACAACCTCTTGTGTTTTTTCTTGTGCTTTTTTCTGTTGAGCACGGCGATGTGATGCATTATTACGCTTTCCATGTGGATTCACATTGACAGAACTAGTAGCAGCATTGCTATTGTTATTGCCCATGGGTGCACAAGTATAAGTGAGGGGGTCAAAGGTTTCTTTATTGTTACTGCTTTAGTCTGTAGCTATAACAAACCAATAAAAAAACCAGGGGTACAGAATGTAAATTACAAAAAATTCGGCATAAAATCCGGTAAAATATCTCGTACCGAAATATAACACAAAATGGATCGTCAATGATTCTGTAATCACAACGTTTTTGGATACTTGCAACTGATTTGAAACAGCAAAATAAGAAACTCATGATGGCTACATGAATTACCAACGCAAAACCAAAATGTTGTTGTGGTATTTAGTCTATTGCGATTCTGTCAAAGGTGTAGCCATTTCTGTAATACTATCCACTTAAACTTGTCGCGCGTGACGTTATCATTCCACCCATAAGCTCACTGTGGTGGTTGCTGTTGCTGCTGCTGACCAGCACCTTGCACGTGGTTCCATGGTAGCAGTGTCTGTAAAAACAGCAGCAGCGGGTTGGCATCAGCTGGCAAATTTCCGGCTACAAACTCCTCTTGCGCCTGTGCAAGCGCAGCAAGGGCATCGGCATCCAGCGGCTGGCCGTTCTGAAGCTGCGGTGGCTGAACCATCGGGTGATCTGCAGGCAACGTCGTGATCTCATCCGAGTAGTCTACAAAATTGCACACACGAAAAAAGTGGCCAAACTATCAGTTTTGCAATTGCTACCAGACGTTCCGTTATTCATCTGCATACCTGCAACGACAGCACGAAGGTACTTGTCGAAACATGCGGGCAACTTCACCACTTGAGGGTTTGCCGACACTAGTGTTGGAGTTGCAAGCGCGTGCTGTGCGCTACGAAGGAGAAATGCCTGTGCGTCGTTCACCTTCCAGATAGAGTGGTTTCTTGTCACGTAAATTTCCAGCAAGCGCTGGAGTACGCTGAGCTCTCCATCAACACTTCGAGCATTGGCAAACACGCGACTTGACAAAATTGGCTGCCACAAAGCTATTGCACGGGAGATGAGAACAATTGTTAAGCAAATATAAACATCAGACAAGGCACAACGCCAACACACATGAGGACGGATTGGCTGCAATTTTCTCCAGAAGCGGCTTGAGTATTGTCGGGAACTTCAGCAACGCTGCGGCCAGCTGATCTATGGCATTCGTTTCGTTACCTAAGAAGAAACTGAAGTACATTAGCGTCAGTCTTTTGTATAGCTATGAGTCGTCATTTGTCCCTGGCACTGCTTACTGGGCAAGAGCAAGCGAAAATTGGAGATTTGGCAACACCGCAACGGTGTCAGCCGCGCCTTGAGAAGCTTTCTTATCACTCTTCTTTTTTGTAGTCGTGTCACTGCTAGAAAATCGATCTACTACAGGTGTCTTGGAATCGAACAAGTCGACAAGGAATTGGCATTGACGAGACGTCAGCGCGTAGTAGTCAATCGCCAAAAGCACATGCATCGGATCTCCTTGAGGGTCCAAACTAAGCAGTAGCTTGGCTGTTTCGAAGGCACTTCGCATGCACCCTCGTCGCCCAACTTGCTTCATCAGCAAAAACAAGGCTTTGAAAAAGCCCGCGTTGTGCTCCGTTTGGATGTCCATGCGACAATTGCCCTTCGAGACGTTAAACTGGTCAGCCCACGCAAGCTCTAGCACGTACATGCATCTCTTAATGCAGTCAGTGGCGTGGTCCATTTGACCATGGTGCTGGAACACCTCGCTCATCGTGAGCAACGAGTCAATATGGTACGGGTGACGCTGCAAGAATTGACCTATAAGGTTTGGGTCGTGCGTCCGCTGAAGGAGTTCAAATTCTTCTTGCAACTATCAGAAAATTGAACAGCACGTCGCAATAGTCAGTATCATATAACATCAAGCAACCAGGCAACTAGCGTTTTCTACAAACCTTCTTATAAGCCATCGACCGCGTGATCTCAAAGTAATTGCATAAGCTGTTCCAACCAGGACCCTTGGGTTTGTTAGAGCGTGTCCAGCGAATGCCACCACCAACAAACGTAGGAGGACGGGGCCATTCATCCAACGGTGATACTAACATTACTTTCTTCGTTATCACTCTAGCGCTTCTGAAACAAGCAATAGTACAACCATTCTGTCAGCTTTTCATCGCCTGGCGTAACAATGCAAGATCTATTCGTTGTCTTGTCCTACCGAGGACCACGCCTTTTGCTGCTGTTTTGACCGCCCTCCTTTACCTGCAGACATGAGTCAACCACAGAACAATAAGCACCTGCAAATACAACGTAATCGACGTTCCCGACCTACCCCAAGAATTCTCTTCATTTCTTTGTCTGCGTTCGCATATTTAAGTTGTACTCCAAACAGCGACTGCTCTTGTTCATTGCGGACAGACGCGACTTCGTCAACACTCAAATTGCCAGCCTCGGCCGCCAACGTGTCCAAGATGTCGTCCACCAACTGCTTTTTTTCATCCTTGCCATCGTTGTTTCCAACTAAACATTTTTTCTTGCCTTTTCTGTTCTTTTTCCTGCAATATCAATGCCATTCTCACTCAACAGTAAGCATGAATGGCATCGTGACACAAATTTGGCAGTAGTTTTCCTACTTTTTCTTCCTCTTCAAGGGTTCTGAAGCTACCGCAACCCCAGAACTCTTCAGCTTTTCTCCCTCTTTCTCTTCTTCTATCTCTTGATCATATTCGCTGTCGCTCTCGTCTGAGTCTGCTAGAAACGCAAAACCCACATTGGTAGTCCGCTTTTCCTCCAGCTGCTCGTCCGAATCGGTTTCCTCGTCATACGTAGCATGTGTCTCACTCTTAGGCTCCTTTTGCAGACGTTTCGCATGACGGGCAGACCTAGTGGCAGCATAGAGCGACGTCAGATACAATTGACATGAGTTACACACATGCATTAATTACATTAGATATGCGACCTAAGGATTTACAAATTCTATGAAACTTTTTACGCTAAAGTATAAGATTCTTTAAGCAACTTAAAGGTTGGATAGCTATTTGGATCAGTACGAAGATACTTTGTATAACTTCAAATATCAGTCCCAAAAGATGGTTAATAGTATGGAAGAATTCATCATTTCTACCTAAACATGAAAGCCACCACAGCTTCAGACCGTTAAGCAAAGCATGTGGGAACACCCGTATGAATTTCAACATTAACAACAAGTGTTCACGTCGTGATCAAAGTTTTCTACAATGAGGAATCATGGCTAGCATTCCGCAGGCAATTATTGAGTAAGCCGACAGCTCACGTCGCTCATTCCAGTGGTCCTTTTGAACTTGAGGCGCATGGTTTGACAGAATATTGAGTTTGCTGACAAGAGTGGTGAAATGAAGTCGATAGGTTGTGAAGAAATTGAGGTGGCAGCTCTTTACGATTATCTTGCCCATGGTGGTATGCGCGTGACAGTCGCGAATGTCGTAGAAAAACTTCACCATGTTGTTAATACAACATATGTCGCTGGGGTGTGCAAGTGGACAGATCGAGCTAGCTTTCGTTAACGTTGCGTACGATGTCCTATCTGTGCGGTGGATCGGGTGCAAAGGCTTTAGGTGCTTTTCAAACGCTGACCACATTGTTGAGAAAGCAAAAGTAGCAGGGAAGCTATACCTGCAGTCGCCAAAGCCATTGGTGCTTTTTTTTACAAATAACGTGTGCACCTGGTCAAAACGTGGTGTTCTACTAAAAACCATAGTTTCTGACACATTGGAAAATTATTCACCGCGCAAATGAACAGCAATAGCAGCAAGAATGAAGTCGTTTACGATGATTATGACGATGAAAACGTCGAGAAGGCCGCTTTTGGCGAAACGGAATATTCTATGCGAATTTTTTGGAGGTGTCGTTGCGACTGAGCTCGTCAGAGCGACACTACGACGACATGAGAACAATTGCGCGGTGTGTTCTTTGGACGACTACAGTCAGTACGATGAGATATCTCAGACAATCGACTTCATCGATACGATTGCTTCTCTTTGGTACGTCGCATATCAATTGTATCTATTGAAGAGTAAGAACTTATAATCTTGTAAGTCACAGACATGATTATAAGTCCTAGGTGAGCTGCTGGAACGGCAGGTGCTTTATTATAGTATCGTTAACACAAAAAGACATTGTTAATTACCTATCAAGATATTAAAACCGGAACAAGTACAACAAGAATTATCATGTCTATACTTTGTTTACTAGACTGCAAATATTGAATTAAAATTAATTCTACTGTAAACGAAGGAATCTTGTATCTTGTCACACACTCAATGAACTAAGAGGTCGAAATTATGGACGGCAGATCTTCAGTTCGCTATGACCCGACAAGTCTCTTTGACTATAGTCAAGTGAACCAGTACGTTTGTATCCTCCAGAGCCTAGTCGTGGTGGATATCTTGCTGCGCTGCAATTGCTACTAAACAAGAAAGTAGCCATCATGGGACTACGCAGTACAAGTTTATCGTCTTCTTCGCGTGCTTTCGCCTTTGCTAACCGCCTCATTGGTCGACGCGTCTTTCAAAATGATTTGATGCAAAGCACTACTGAAAAGAACGTCAGAGTACCTGCTAGCGCTCAATTATACTAGGATGACGTTGCCAGATGTAGCAGAGCTACTGTAGCAAAGCTACGTATGCACTATGTGCAGAGGAAGACAAGATCCAAGAACTGAGTGTCTTAGGGTTCTTAACCCTCCCGAGACTAGATCGCAAGCTTACGCCTTTTAATTGTGAGCCCAAGAGACTAATATTAATGTAGCCGAGATACTGTAGCCACGCTACTTATGCACTATTTGCAGATGCACTGTGTGCAGAGGATGTAGTCAAGCTACTGTAGCAAAGCTACTTATGCACTATGTGAAGAGGAAGACAAGCACAATGAGCTTCTACGTCTTAGGGTGTTTAACCCTCCTAGGCTAGCTCGTAAGCTTGTGCCTATCGGTTGTTACAACCGCGTCTCAGAGAGATTAGTATCAAAGTTACTGATTCTTTAGAAGGAATAGAACGCTATAGCAACTAGTGCTATACAGAGCAGTTTTGAAACTGATTTGTCTTTATGTTTATCTTCTAGCACTAAATATAGAAGCACCTATCCTATACTTAGTGCTAGTCACTAATTACTGTCTCTATAGCCTGTTATTATTATGCAAACATGTATCGTCACTATACTTAAATAAGTATAGTGACCATGTGGCTCTCCGCCACGATGTGACCCTTCGTATTCAGGTACGGTAACATCACCTACTTTTGTACCCAAGGTACAGCCACACCACATTGGTGTAGCAGGTGTGTATGTACAGTACACCTTCGTGTACCCCGTTACACCCTCTCCCACCAATCCGTGGGACCCGACGTACCCACGATTTTTCGAACTTATTGGATGTCATCAATTTTTATTTTCTACCCATTTTGCTTGGCTTGCAATAAGTGCCGCGCACTTGTGAACAAAGCTTTAGTGTTTTAACACTTGCTCCTTGAGCACCTGTGCTTTGCACACACGCTTTCTAAGCATCGTAGTGTTACGACACTCGCTCTTTGAGCATATAGTGCATCGCACTCACGCTAAAGCATTAAGTGTTACGACACTTACTTATAAGCGTTAAGTGCCTACACTTGGCTTAATACCCTTTTGTGTTTATGAACACTTCTTTCACAGCACTAAGTGCCTAGCACTTGCTTTAAAGCATTACAGTGTTCACAGCATTTGATTTTTAAAGCACTTGTCCCTATAGCGCTTGCTCCATCATGGATGATGCAATGCGTCGCGACATCTTTGGGGACGATGACAGTGACGTTGCCTCTAGGGGTAGCGGAGACGAGTCTCCTTTGGACCATAGTACCCCAAGATCATCACGCTCACCGAGCGAGGGACGTCGATCGTATTCTGTGTCTTCCACTCCAAGGGAGACAACCCCATTGCGCCAAGTGCCACCCCTTCCCTCGCGAGAGGGTACTGACGAAGAAATCACAAACCCTTTTGACGCTGCACAGCGTCGTCAGCTCGATGATGAGGCCCGAGCAGCCGCTTTGGCGCGGTCCAAACAAACATTTTCACGACGTGATTATGGGCTCGTGCCCCGGGACTCTAATGAGGAAGCTCGACGAGCTGCATTGCAATCTTTGCGGGACCTATGTCATTGGGTCCCATGCCCGTACGGCCTGCGAGGATGCAGATAGTGTTGCTTTTCGTAAGCGGCTCCTTACTTCCCAGGAGTTTGCGATGAAATCGTATCAGGAGTGACAAATGTCACGACAGTCATGTGGAGTACCCGTGCACCCACTAAGCGGCATACCAGTGGTGCTTGCACCAGGTGAAACATCTGCACAAGATGATCACCAGTTCACCTGTTGGGTAGAACGAGCATGTAAGCTCTCAAGTTTGTCAAACTTGCGCTTAAGCTCTAAAGCGCAAGGCGTTTGGTTAGAACGTCGTCTACGTTTTAACTTTGCTAAGCTCAAAGCGAAACTTCAATTACCCTCCACATACAGGTCAAAGACTTGTGGGGAGCAAGCTTCTGAAGCTGTTGCCCGTACCTCCACCGGTTTACCGACATTGGCTTCTGCTGAAGGTCAGAGGCGAAGCCAGCCTACTGACCCTACTTCCACAGCACCTAGTGCTAGGAAGCGTCCAAAGACAGCTGTCGTCGCTTCTGACCGTCTGGTCAAAAGCGTCAACGGCGTCAGGGCAATCCTGCCGGAGAGGTACCTCATACTCCCACGAGTCGTACGACTGGTGGTAACCCCTCCACTTCACCAAGTATTGGGTATGAACCTGGTGACAACGCCGAGACAAGAGGCGTACCACGTGGAACTGTTGATGACCCAGTTCATCAATCAGCGTCGGCGGAGGTTGATGACCCATTGACCTCTCACCTGTCTGAGATTGAGAGTCACCTGACACTCCTGGAGCGTGATGCCCTTGCATCCGTGAGTTCTCACCTGTCATCGCTCGATGACCGTGTCGATCAACACCGTCGGTCTTTTGAGCGTTATTGCTCTGAGACCTCTGATCGCTTAGCGGTGATTGAGCGTTCTCAAGCCGACCTTCGTTGTCAACTTGACCTCTTGGTACGCCACCAGCGTCCACATGCACCTCCGGCGCAGTACTACCCGCCTCCTTCAGCCGAGGGTATGGGGACAACCCCTCGAAGTCCACTGTGGCAGGGTTGAGATATGGCTTAACTTAGCCTACGTAGAACAGAAGATGTTTTCGCATCTTTTTCGGAAGGTTCAGCGTATAGGCTAAACCTTTCATGCCTATGACCTTAAGAGGTCCAATCAATCGTGGTCGTAATTTGGTTTTATATACCGCAGACACTGCCCGAGTATGATATTCCTAGCGTTTAATAAAACTAGAATCACCCACTTTGAGCTCGTGTTTGTTCTTCCTGCCTTTGGCATCCGCGTGCTCCTTTTGAACATCCTCTCTTTCGGCCATAGCGTCTTTGACGCGACGTAATACGTCAAAACGCGTTGACAGAAACGCTTCCACCTTCTTGCGCATCGCGACAGGGCTGATATCTGCCAAGCCTTTGGCTCTCTCTACCCGCTACGCCCTGATGTGGCAGGGGGTAGTGTTGAAGGAACGAGGGGGCTGACCAATCCCTTTACATAGAGTGGGGTGAAGCCTGTCGAGGCATGCACCGCGTTGTTCAACGCAAACTCTATGTGAGGGAGCATCGTGCTCCATTGCTTGGGTGTTTCAGCACAAACACCGCGAAGCATATCGCCAATAACGCGGTCGACGCGTTCAGTCTGGCCATGGTCTGCGGATGATCCGCCGTGGAAATGTCCCGTCGAGTGCCGAGAACTTTAAAGACGGGCGCCCAAAACTTACCCGTAAACGGGGGTCTCTATCCGAGACGATTGCCACAGGCAATCCGTGTTGTCGAAACACACGATCCATGAACAGCGTAGCTGTTCCTTCTCTATCAATGAAGTCCGGCACTGCCGCTAAGTGAGCCATATTGCTCAGGCGGTCTACAAAGACCACAATTCCAGTGTTGCCTGCCGCATCACGCGGTAGAAAAACACAAAGTCAATGCTAATGGACTGCCACAACCCCGAGGGTACAGGCAAACTCGCCAAAGGCGCAGCCATACTAGGCGAGGGCTTCACCCTTTGACACGTTTGACACGTGCGTACATATGTACCAACCCATTTCTACAACATGGGCCACCAATAATGAGTGCTCACCGAGCTGTAGGTCTTTCACGATCTAAATGACCACCAAGTGGTGTATCATGAGCATCATAAAGTATATGATACTTGAGGTCCTCATCATGAGGCACCACAACACGAGGCTGGTCATCCGACCCCGTACTATAGTACAACATACCATCGGTCAGTGCATAACGATGTAATCTCGCATGATTACGTGGTAACAACTTCACCTTAGAGTTTGAAAACTCTACGCTACCCAGCGCCTGCATAATGGCAACACATGCCTCATCGCGTGCATACGCCACACGGATACGATCCGTTACCCAAGCCACATACTGTGCCGGATTGCCGACTGTTGGAGGGGGTACCCCGATGCCGCGTATAGACCTTCTCTCACCTTGTGTACCCGTCAGCTGGCGGGTTGCACTCTTCGGAGGACTTGGTTGAGATGTAATGTCGGCCTTGAGAGATGTCGACCTTGGGTGCCTCGAGTGGGTATACTGTACTCGGTAGGCGGATAGGTGGCCACTCGGTCGACTAGGTCGAGGGTGGACTTATAACCAGTTTCTTCAGGGGAGATACTCAACCCTGGCATTTTCCTTGATATCTCAGGGGTGTTAACCGCCTGGCCTTTACTTGCTCCTGGACCGCTAGGGTAAGGAGACCGCTTCCGATAGCGGGTTGAGTTGGGGGGGTGGCTACTCGGACGAACCCACAGACCAAATGTATCCTGGGGTTCTATTCGAACTTGGGTCTTACCACACAACTCTCTTCGACAAGGTGGCCAAAATATATCCCTTCCCAGAACAGGTGGGTAGACTCTTAGTAGGTATTTTGGAAGCACGACGGAAGGTGTGCTATGTAGATCGCAAATTAAGTGTGTGCTATGTAGATCGCAAATTAAGTAGTTTTTGATTTGGTCCTTCTTTTAAACTTCTTTACTCTATCCTTACCCTCGAGACCTGATTCTTAATTTTTGATTCTGCTTGCTAAATACTGACCTCTACCAAGGCGACCTCATGGCCGGGGCCAAGAGTCCGTCTATCGAAGGCCAAAGGTTTATCGACGAAGGACTGAGGTTTTTTGAAGAAACCAAGTCGACCTCCAGGACCGGGGTTGAGGATACCGACGAAAGGACCGAGGTCTATCTTAAGAGATCGAGGTCCATTGGTGCGATAGACTAAGGTCGACCTCCAGGGACCGGTCAGGGGTTCATCGACGAAAGGACCGATATCTACCTTGATGAAAGGCCAAGGTCTACCATGGTCGACTTTGGGCTTCTAATTTTCAAAACTTTTCACCACACTTGCGCTTACCTGTAATTGCGAATGGAGAAAAAACATCAAGCTGACAAAAGTTTGCTTGGCGCCACAGCTTGCGCGCAGCATAATCTCTTATAGAAACTTGAGGAGAATGGTTTCGTTTTGGTGTACAACGGATCGAGTCGTGCACTAGTCCGACGCAGCGACAATGCAACGCTTTCGATTTTATATGCACAAGAACGTGTTGTACGTGCAGACATGTGTGACAGAAGCTCGTCAAGAAAAACCATCGGTCGTATTCATGTCTGTGCTCTTCAATATGGAATTTAGCTCAGCAGATGGCAATGTTCAGCGTGGATCGTTGATGTACTTCACGCTAGGTTCGGTCATCATTCTCTTGACACGATTGAGCGCATGACGATAGTACCAGGATCTGGGGTTGAAATTACCGATCATAAAAGCACGATGTGCAACTCTTGCAAATAAGGTAAGCAGATGAAGAACAATCAGTCGCAGGTCGACAGTGAAATACATGCTCCGGTGGCAACGTAATTTCTTATCTAAAAAGGTCCACTGACACAAAGGGATCGGCTCAAAAACCGGTACCGTGTCAACTTTGTCGACCACAAGTCAAATTATTGTCGCGTCTTCTTGGCGCCAACAAAGGAAGGACAAGGCAGAAAAGAAGATTGAACACTTTCTCAAGTTTTTTTGAGAGGAGTTTCGACTGAAAGATCCACGCCTTGAGGACTGATGGCGGTGGCGTATATAACAGCCTTTACCTATTGTGCCAACTCAATGGAGTCGTGCGTCAAGTCAGCGAAGCAAGTAACCAAGCGTCAAACGGAAAGGCTGAGCGCATGCATAGGACTATACTGAACATGACTTGAAGTATGATTTTCGTAAGTCGACTGCCGCTGACGTTCTGGGAAATGCTGTTGAATACGCGACGTACATCCTCAACAGGATTCTGACACGAGCAAGCGAAGAACGGGCCTCTGCAATCAAGATCCTGATAAATCATGCACCTGATCTTCGGGACACAGTCGCCTTTGAAAGCATCTGCTGGCCGTCTGTGGATCTAGTTGTTGCACGTGAAGCTGACAGAGGCCGGTTCTGTACAGTGTGTCGCGTACATATGTTTGTACCGCAAAAGGAACGGCGATGAAATCTTCTTGGTTGAAGATTATGCTGACGATTTTCTGGCGACTGGCACCAGCGCGGACGATCGTTTCTTCGTCAGCCTTAAATTGTTGTCGATCAAGGATTTGGGACGTGTGTCGAAATTTTTGGGGATGCGGGTTGAACTTGACAGAAACGGGTTCTATGTCCTTGGCCAGGAAGAGGCGTTATGGAGATGTTACGAGAAAACAGGTTAGTTGATGCGAACTTTACGCTGGCACCGATTGGCGCGGACTGCTACGAGATTAAGGACGAGAATGTCAAGCTTCTAGGCGTGAAAAGTGCGGTTATAATGCCATCGATCAAGAATATTCAGTCACTCGTTGTGAGTTTGTTATGGGCGGCACGATGTACGCGCCCTGAAGTGACGTTTGTGGTGCACAAAGCGACGCGTCACACTCATTAGCCACGCGTCCACGACTGGAAGCTGGCAAAGCAAATCACGCGCTATTTGAAAGGAACACGAGGACTGGAACTGCGGATGACACCAATCATTAGAGGGCAAGGGTCACCTGCGTTAGAGTCATACAGCGACGCAAATTTCGCGGCAGACAAGAATGATCGCAAGTCGCTAACTGGGTATGTTGTACTACATAATGGTATGCAAGTAAGCTGGAGCGCGACGAAACAGGGTGGTGTTTCCCTGTCTAATATGGAAGCAGAGTTTGTCGCCGCATTGGAGGCTGCACTAAATTTGCTGGGGATGCGCGAGATGCTTTGCAAGATAAACATGGCGCCGGTTCTGCCCATGCTGATGCATGTAGGTAGTTAGGCGGTCATCAAGCAACTTGAAGAAGAAGCTTCATCGACCAAGGCCAAGCACACTGACGCGCGAATCAAGTTCGTTTGCGGACGTGGCGTCGTGATTGCACAATACAGGCGCTCGGAGAAGATGCTTGCAGACTTATTGCCCAAAGCATTAGACCCGGTCAAGCTTGCGAACTTGCGCGTGCTTATGTGCATGATTTAGTCGTGCAGGGACTTGACGATGCAAAAGGTTGAAGGAAGGTGACATGAAGATCGGTGATGGTGGTACGACTGCGGTCCAGAACCTGGCATCGAGGAGGAGTGTTGAATAAGGTAAGGTATTTGAGGCTGGCCTTTGCAGAAGGCTTGTATGCAAGCGAGAGAGCGTCAGGCAGTTCTGTACGGTTGCGTATAGACGGGATCTTGTTTGACCATACATTGAAGGTAGTGAGCTGGAAAACGGTACGATAGCTAGTAAACGGCAAGATAGCTAGTGAACGGCAAGATAGCTAGTAAACTACGATAGCTGGTAAACAGCAACGCTAGTTTGGCAAGCCAGAGAGAAAAGAATAACGACAGGATCAAATTTGCCCTCATCCAACTAGCTACTTCCTACAAGTCTAACATCATTATGAAAATTTTCAGCATTTCCTACGACAAAATAGCAACCATGCCCATTGTGATGATGATTGCCACTGCTTGCTAACTGGTCGTGCCATTACTGCGAATAGTGAATCTGAATATCTCCCAGTAAGGTTTCGTGGAGCTCACAATTGTTAAGTTTACGGTTCATTCCAAGCATGCGCTTGAAGAACGCAGAGTGGCCAACAACAGCAATATGCTGCTCCGGTCTCTCGGCCAACTTGGCAACAAATTTCCAAATCCGTGCGTCCAGCTCTTCCCTGCTTTCACGCAGTATCATCACTTCGTCTGCCACCTTGGGTGCCACAACACTGGTTAACGGAGCACTGTTTGGTCCCGTTCGCGGAAACTTTTCCATCTCTAGCCACCAAAATTGGTCTAGAAAGGAAAAGTTGATTTTTGCTTGAGAGAGAAACTGTTGCTCCAAGTCTGTAGGTCTTCGACCAATGTCACAGGCAGTGTCGAGCATTTCTCGACACAAAGGTTCCACTGCAAATGTCGACGTACGTTAGCACCAGTGCAAAAGCTTTACAATCTTGAATAACATAAATCCACCTGTAATGGGGATCTTTGTGTCTTGGAACGCCCCAATTGTCGTCTCAATTGCCCTCGTCAATGGGCTCGTAATAATCTGGAGGATAATAGCAATCAAACACTATGAGTAATGCTCATTCCAAAAACATTCACTATGATATTCATACCAATTCAATCTTTTCGTCCAATTGTTTGCTTTTAATCAAGTCGTGTAATATTGCTACCTATTACATACACAACAACTGTAAATGTCATGCATGACCAAACATTGTCACACAATAATGCTGAACCTGCTTCTTCCCCTTGGCACTGAGCGGTGCATCAACAATCATTGGATCGCGCACCCACAACCACGAAAAATTCCAAAGGCTTCTTGAGCGCCATTCGTTGTAAGTGGACTCGCCGTGGCGGATACAGTACAGTGTCTTCGTGGTGGTGTCGCCCATTCTGATAATGATCTAAGGACCAATTGTAAAATGGGTCATTCTCATACGATTGACTATTTTGCTATTTTGTTGTTTCAAAAAATGTTTTTTGAGATAATTGCAAAAGTGCTAAGATTACATGATCAATGGGTCAGCAACAATACACTCATTTTCCGATACAAAAGTCCGTAAAAAGCACATCTAGAACGTCCTCGACGTCGATTCGACCGAGAATTCGGCCAATTGCCATGACGGCTCGACGAAGATCTTCCGCACCAATCTCGCTCTGGTAAGGATTAGCCAAGAAGCGATCTAGACATGCTAAACACTCGACTAGATTCTGCCGATGACGCTCTCGCGTGATCAGTGCACCATTAGTAGCCCTTGTGACCTGTAACCTGTAATCAAAAATACCACATCATAATGAATACATGCACCCATTCAGTTTATTCGAGTATACGCACTTTTCTTTTACAATGGTCGAGAGCTTGTCGACAAAGACGTCAATGTTTTCAGCCTCTGCACAAGAAATAACGACCAGCTGACTGCGTTGCTTCGTGTCAAAGGAATCCAGCATCTGTCTGATCTTTATATCGTCCGCCAGGTCACTCTTGTTCAGCACAGCGATTGCGCCTCTTTTCAGATACAACTGGTATTCATCACTGTGGAGCTGGTTGGCATTCTATAGAAGCACATCATTAGTACTCAGACAAAATACGATATATTTCTCAGAAATGTGCACCACGCTTACCTTAATGTCCATCATTACCACGCATATATCTGCTTCACTGGCACACTGCTGCGCCCTCAAAACGCCTTCTTTTTCAACAAGATCTTCTGTTTCGCGCAGCCCGGCAGTATCGCTAACAATTACAGGGAGCCCGGCAATATTCAAGGGCACTTGCACCACATCTCGTGTCGTTCCAGCAATAGATGATACAATGGCTGCAGGCCGACGCGCAAGCACGTTCAACAAGCTGCTCTTACCCGCATTAGGCGGGCCGATGATAGCTACCTGGACCCCACTGCGCAGAATTTCTCCTTTTCTACCGTCTGCCAGATGACCTCGAATCGAATCCGCAAGCGTACGGACGCTATACCGACACATGACAGCAGAAAATCAGCACCTAAATATCACAACGTTGTCCAACACCCATTCCTACCGATCAATCGCAGTCTCGTAGGCAGCATCCGTGACATCATCTTCGTCGTCACCAAAGTCGATCATGGCCTCCGTGTGGGCCAGACACTTGACAAGGCTGTCGCGCCAGCCTTCATAGATATCTCCAATGTCACCAGAAAGCTGTCGAAGTGCCTGCCCACGCTGAGCTTCCGTTTCAGCACTTAATAAATCTGCCAGTCCCTCAACTTGCACCAAGTCAATCTTATTGTTATCAAATGCTCGTTCTGTAAATTCTCCCGCTTCTGCAGCACGGCAGTGCTAGACCAGCAACACAAGTTTAGGTCATTTAGGTGTCATTATAGTTCAGTCAATGATGTACTTACAGGTACATGACTTAGGGCTTCCAATACACCAGAGACTACCGCAACACTTCCATGTGTATGCAGTTCGACAATATCTTCACCTGTAAAGCTACCAACCCAACATCACTTTAAGCGTCATTAATTACTCCATAATTACATTGTTATCAATTGCAATAACCTTTTCGGGTGAGGAAATCGTAACACCAAAGCGTCGTCTAAGTGCTCCTTCGTCTTTGGATGGTAAAGTTTTCTTAACACAGCACTATCTCCTCATTTCACACCCACGACAACGTCAAGACTAGCTCAACAATCAACATTACATCAATTCACATCAATTTGTGCTCACACCCGAGGTTTTGGCAGCTTCATGGACATACTGAGCTGCTGAAGGCACGAGTCTGCCTGGTCGCCAGAGATTCGAATAATCGCTACGCCAGATTTACCCGATCCAGAAGACAGCGCGTAGATGGTATCAAGATCATGGACTCTCCATGCATTGTTACTAGTATTAAACACAGCAGAAATGCTTGCACATTGACGAGTACGGAGGACAGCTATGGAGCGGCCACTGAGTAACGAACGAAACATTATATATTAGTTGTTGAATAGGTGATTGATTGATGTTAAATGTCGAAAACCTCATGGATAGAATATGAAACCTATGTTTATGCATATCGAATGTGCTAGGTGACTTATGAGATTAGTTGCTGACAGGAATTTGGAGATATTTTAAACGTGATTAATTATTGGAGGTATTTAAACGTGATTTAGATAGACAGCGTCATCGTTTCAAAGTACTCAAGCATGTCATCAATGTCGCTACAATCTAAAGTCTCTGAACTGCTACTGCACATAGTATTAGTTCGGCTGACGGTCAAATTGTCTTCATGAGGAATGAAGACTGGTAAGATCGGCTTACGAAAACAATTGTCGTCTGTTGAAGTGGTTGTAGGAGACGGCATTAATGGCTTGGACTCTGTAAGTGGGTTGTCCAGTGTGGTCAGCATTGGTACTGTCTTGGATACATAGTCATACGTTGGGCTGCAAAGAGAGACACTGTTAACGCTTCCTTGTCTTAGAGCCGACGACAATTGAGACGACAAATCTGGTGGACTCATGAGCGATGGAAGTGACGTTGATAAACGACTCATTGGTTCAGCTCCAGAAAGCACCGTTTTCAACGATTGCTGTACCCCGGTCACGATGAAACTATCCTTGTTAAAAGCATTCACTTCCCTGCTCGCACAACTTTTACAGCTCGTTAAAGACGCAACAGATGACACTGGTGACGATCTCACAGGAGATTTTCGTCGATCTAGCGAAGGTGAAGAAGGCTGCAGCTGCGGGGGCATATCCATCTCATCATAGCAGTTCAAATACGAGTAACATACCGGAGGAGATGTGCTTCGCTCATAAATGTCGTTGGAAGCTGCACGTCTTTGTTTTCGCAATGCGCGTATAGCAGCAACACGCTTTTTCTCTTCCGGCGAAGTGGATACCTCAAGTTGTCGTTGACGCTGCTTAATTTGATCAGTGGCCTGTATTAAGAGCTTCCGTTCCAAGGAGGACCCTGGGCTCTTCTCGTTTTCGCTAAAATTAGAGCCCGAACAGTGTGCTGGGCCGCGTCGCGCAAAGCGTCTTTGACTCGATCGGTCGACTTTATTAGGGTGGCTTACGCTTCGTCCACGTTGCTCCTGCAGTTCATCCATAGCAACTGGCTGATGACGCATGTGCCCAGCATGGTGGTGGTGGTGCACATGACTTTGTGTCACTTGCTGGCGTTTCTTCTGTTCCTCCTGCCATCGCTTGTGACGACTGCTCTCCGTCGGACCAAAGTACCGACTACGCGTCAGCCAGTGGCTCACTTGTCGGTCACGATACTTGGCCAGCGCCTTACTCTTTTCAGCAACTGCACCGCGGATGTCGTAGATTGCTTTGGATATCGTGCGCAGTTTCACATCCCCACCTATACCCGTCGCCACCGGGCTAGAGGACACGTTGTCGATCGGATCACATAGCCAGACACCGGCACGCATTTGAAACTGTTGTTGGCCTGCAGGTGATACTGGTAAACTGTGCGAGGAACCAGCAGGTACTACCATCGTCACAACGGGTCTCGGGAACCCGCCACAAATGGAAGCTCGTGCAAGTGGAATGTCGTTCGCCATCACTCTAGGTCCCCCATTGCTTGTCCATTGCATCAATGTAAGCTGCACACGAAGCAATCCTTCATCACCGGAATGTACCGGACGACAGCACACCTCCTCATACGCGTGAAAATCACCCGAAATCTCGCGTGCCTCTGCTGGCGACACTTCGCGTTTGGTTACGCAGTCAGCGTGCGTGCCCACCAGCAACAACCTTCGTCCAGGATTGTCCAATAAGTGAGCCCACTGTGCAAGAACCGTCGCAAGCGAGTCTCTTCGTGTGAGGTCAAAGAGGAATACATAAACGGTGTCCTCTTCGTCGTGTATAGTCTCTTCTCGACTGTGAAAGATGTACACGGTCGTCTTTTTGTGCCCATTTCCGCCAGGCCGCGGCCACAAAAATGTCGAAGTTGGTTGTTGCTGTAACGTATTTGTCGTGTAGCCTGCTGCCTTGGCACCTAATGCAAGTACAAAACTTGTCTTACCAACTGCATCAGCACCAACGATTCCAATGGTGTTGGGCATTCTTCAAGTCTTGTCCAAAAGCTTCTCGCTCTTCGTGTCGCTTGTTCCAGTTTCAAATCTGTACGATACCGACACCCTTTTTTTATGCTGAGTACAGCCACGGTATTAACCGATGGCTATTGGCAGACGATACAAGGACGTGAAGACCCGCGATGAAGCGATATAGTTTAATAATACAAGAAACTAAACGTTTGTACTGGGTAATTTCACTGAAATGTCTTTAAAATATTCACGACGGACAAAATCTAAATTTTTATATTGTTAACCGAAGGGACACAAAGAGATGCATTTAGTTAGGTTTTTGCATACGATTGTCCTTATGTAGTAATTACATTAAAGAGCATTATATATTGTAGTAAAGCTAAAGCCAGATGTCGTAGCAGAATGGCTGACGCCACACATACGATTGACGACATGTGGCGCAAGAAAACAAAAACAGTGGGTCCGCCAAACGTGAAATTCCGCTCACCAACATCTTGTCATGCTCAGACGGATGAGCTGGAAATGGGTTCAAGATATTTGTCTGCCAGCAAGATAAATGATAACCTATTTTTACACATTTAGAACGTCGTAGGTAGATTTAGAAATCATTTGCAATGCTATTTCATAAATAAATAGATTTTTAAGAATAGCCACGTCAATTAGACACGACATATGTGACATGTGCTATGCAATAATTTTGTAGGCACTCAAATTAGAAAGTTTCAAATGATTATGAAACGAACCAATCAAAAGTTGCTAAAAAGTAGCAGTGGAAGTGGTGCAGCATAAAATGGGAGCTGGGCCGTCCCTGGGTAAGTTTCTCAAGAATATGGACGATGACGACCTTGTTGAGCTTGTAGAAAATGTAAGTTGAGTGTGTTATCTACGTATTGTTATTATCATATTGATCTATTACTCCTGATTATCCTTTTTAACATGCTATTACTTATTTAAAACAATAGGCATACAAACTAGAACCCCAACGCATGGAGAAGATCTTTGCATTGGTTAAAATGCGGTACTTTAAAGGTTCATATTACTATTATATGCATTATCTATGTGGATTGTAATAATTGGAACAACATTACTTAAATTCTCGGTTTTGGACGTAATCAGAATCAGGCCAGCAACAAGAACCAGGCCAACATCAAGACTCTCGAGGGGTGGATGATGTGGACTCTGACACTTCATTGACGATTTCAACCCCAATGTTGTCACCTACAACTGCAAGTACTCCATCATCAGCCACTGCAATGTTAAGCGAGCTGCTGAAACCGGATCCAGCACCCGACACTTCGGCTTCGATCACGACTATGACCTCATCTTCTAGTGCCATTGATTCAGTGACAACGACATCGAGCATAAATGCAATGCCTGACGCAAGCAATGAATTCTTGGTATTGACCGAAGTGAGGGACCCGATGAACGCGCTGTGGAGTTTTAAAGGTCATCCACTTCGCGAACTGCAGCCGGCTGTCAAGAACCCGCAGAATACCAGCAATCGAGCGCTGTTACATGAAGAAATGCTTCACGCGGATCATTTGGAAAAGAATGGCGGTGAAAAAGCTGCGGATTCATCGACTGGAGCGATTCTGATGCCACAGCGCGCAGTGGATGCAGATGGATATCCTGTAATTTATGGCAGCTGTGGTCGTGATAAACGATACGGACGCTGCTCTGTGTGCTACTTTCGTGGTCTTCGCTGTAACACAGCTCATTATTGCGCCAGCTGCCAACGATCTGTGTGCATTCGGCCGCGCAAGTACCCGGGTGAAGAGCACCATAAAATATGCTGGAACGTGCTACATATGGACAAGGATATGATTCAGCGCGTGGAAAAGAAGAAAAAGCGTAAGCTGCAAGCTGTGACTGCTGCAGCTACCACGACAGCATCGGTTGCTGTTCCACATGTGAAGAATGTTGATACCTACAGTAATGGCGAAGTAGATACTGGTGATAGTCATGGACAAAACGACAGCCTCAGTAAGTCTGTTGTGGACGTGCATCGAGCGCCATCAATTCTAACTGTAGTCGCGGATGTAAGCGGGGCAGTAAACTTGTGAACTTGTTCCTCTTCGCGACGAAAAAAATCGTACGTTATGCAAAGCGTGTCATTTTCTAGGAAGCGTTGGTTTCAAAGACAAAATCGTGAGCATTCATGTTTTTTACCAGGACTAAGACACCAGCACCCATAATGCCGGCAATTACAGCTAATAGCATTCTTCAGAACTTCAGCGAAGACCAGGAAGGTGTGTTGCATTTGGTAGAAAGGAAAAGTGTGACAGCGCTGCACGACCTCCGCAAATGCCAGCGAAGAAGAATGAGAAGCTTAAGGGTGGAAGAATACGGCGATCAATACCGCGGTGGAGGACGGCGATTGTTATCACGCGGTTGGAAGTCACGCCCGCGACCTCGGTCTCGAAACGACCGGCCTCGATCTCCCCCTGGAGGTGGGCCTCTTTCGCGATTACGGTTGCGATCGCGGCTTTGATCTCTTGGGTGCGACTGCATCGGCGGATTCCAGCCGCCTGAATCAGCACCAGGGCCTGACATAAGACCTGGAGCATGGCCACCGTCACCGTTTCCAGCAGAAAATTGGTAGGCTTTGGAAAAGGATATGCGCATGTGCGAGTCCGGGTATGCCATGTTGTCAATTTGCAAAAGTGCCATGATCGCCTCATCCATGGAACCCATTTCAATCAGTGCCATTTTCGGGTTACTCTGCAAGTAGTGGAAATTCTTAACAAAGCCGTACTGCGTGAACAGACCCACAAGTGCATTCTGGTTGTGCTGCAGTTCCATCGGAATGCCTGATATATGCAAAAGAGGGCAGGGAGAAACAGCCTCTTGCGGGCTGCGTCGTCGATAGCGATGAAGTGGTGACCCCGAAAAGTCGAGCGTATTCTCAATCTCAAAACGATCGGCATCTGCATGGGGCATTGACACACTCGTGTGCTTTGAGTAATCCACACGTAGCTTTTTGCCGAAAACGTAGACACCATCCAAGTGATCCAAAGCCGAAGTTGACTGGTAGGAAACACCACGACAATTGGGCACGTTGTCACGTTGCAGTCACGACGACGCAAAAAGCAATGCAAGACAGTTTGTATGTTAGTAGCAAGTACAAGGAAGGAATGAGACGCGACAATAGAAACATAGTTCGCTCAAACTTGGCACCATCCAATATGAACTTACATGGACATCATCAACGAATTGGATCAGCGCTGTATCCCGCTTGCGAAACATGATCTTAATACGAAGGACGTCACCAAAGCAGCCAAATAGCGTAAAGAGGCAGTGCGGGCTCTGTCATGTGCACAAGACATAGGTCAGAGGCGTTTGATGATAAATAGACAAGATCAATGATCAGAGTCTAGACACTTGCTATCAATCTGGAATCGATATTGCTGCAAATCAAGGCAGGTGATGGACGGGTATCTCCTCGAATGGCTCGCCCCGTCGAATGTGCAGGCAACTCGCGCCCGCTGCGACCTTCACGAGGTCTGTCTACATTCGACGGTCGTTCGTCAAACCGCGGTGGTGGTCCGCGACCATTGTACGAAAGTGGAGCGTATTGATCATCTCGTCCATTGTCAAGGGCATGAGGAGGCTCGCGAAGAGGAAAACCATCGTGACGTGGAGATCGATTGTCGTATCCACTATCTCGAGGTGCATCTCGTCGATCTGAAGGAGCTGGGGTCAGCATTTCGTTTTCGCTATGAGCACCTCCATCACGACCAGGGCCTGGGGGAAGATTAGGATTCGTATAATCTCGCGATCTGTCGTCATTATAGCGCACTCGAAGTTCTGGATGGCGTGAAAAGACAATACTTAGCTGGTTGCAGCCTGTGTAAATGTCTCGTCCATCCAGCGCTGATTGTGCGGCTTGTGCTTGCTCCACTGACTCCATTTGTATAAGCGCCTTGAACTCGTTGTCTTTCCAAAACGTGACAATTTTCTCAACATTGCCAAACTTTTGAAACACCTGCAAAACGCAAACCACTTCAAGTGAGCATCAGTTCATCCTACACCATACATAGTTATTGAATATTATTCTACCTGTTGCAGGACGTCCACCGTAACATCGTATTCAATCTTGGATACCGATGCCATTAGGATTTGGTTCGGTGGTCCAACACCACGACGAGGACCATCGTGGCCGGTCATTCCACGATGATTACCTAAATATAAACACACAACAATCAGTTTTGATGTAAAATAACATACACTAAAGCACCTTACCGTCTGCACCAAATGGAGGCAGGTCTTGTAGTGGCGCATACTGCATAGGTGAAGACTGTTGATACGGAGTGCCTAGTGGTGGCATCTGTTGTCCAACTTGTTGCTGTTGCTGGTAACAAGGTGCATCGACCTCGTGCCGTCCTTTAAGTTCATCACGATTACTAAAGTCAAAGAAGATTCTCTTGTCACGGATTAGCGCATCGCGTGTCTGATAAAAAGTGACGAGATTAGCGGCTGACGTGACATCGGGTAATTGGACAAATGCTTGGCGTTTCTGCGGGATCATCAGACATTTTTCAACCACAGCAAATGGACAACAAAGTGCTAGCAACTCGCTTTCCAAACAATCAGGAGGTAGTCCGCAGATAAATACAACCTACTTGATGACAAAGGGCAGGTCACAACAGGACATAGAGAGAAAGCAAGGAGATTGTGAGCAAGCAGGTTGTTGAAGCAAAACTATTCCATCTCAATGTGGTATAGGACAAAGGAAATATAATCGAATGAAAAAGTGATGCATTACCCGCGATGCTGGTTGTGAACTGCGTTGTCGCTTGGAAGGATCAAAGTCATTTCCATGATCAAATTGGCGTTTTACTCCAGAGCCATCAGACGTCATCAGCAATGATAAAAACAAGTAGGTAAGGAGATCAAATGGACACAAACTAGAAGAGGTAAAAGGTAAAAGAAGAAACAAGAGAATAAGTGGCTAGAGACAGACAAGAGAAGGTAAAGAGGTAAATAAATAGAATCAACAGGGTGCGTAGTAAGAGAGAGCAACAACATGTAAGACATGTTGAGTGGAGTTTGTTGCAATCGATAGAAAGGGTAGAAAGGACTTTACCGGGTACTGAAGGAGGTAGGAAATAAAGGAACAAAGGTGTGTCTCGACTACAGAGTTTGGTTCATTTCAATACAACGTAAACACAATTTCTTCTCCAAATCAAGACACAAAGAATGATGAGCCTGTAACGTACCGGTGTCTTCTTTTCTCTTTGAACTTTGTTTTTGACCTGATGATCGACCTAAAGTACGATGTTATGTTGGGTTTCAAAAGTGCAACCTTTTTAGATACTCAATTGGGTCATAAATCTATGGTAGTAAAGAGATGGACTATTTTTTGAGATTTAATTCTTTGGTGGCAATTTCTGATTGGTGATAAAGAGTCACAATTTTGTTAATTACCAAAATTAAAGTGGACAAAGTCGCTTGATCGCTCCCCCCCTTCCTCATTTACAAATCGCACCCAAAGAGAAGCAAAGGAAAGAGACAGCAAGTGAATCGAAAAACAAAGTAGTAATCATGGGTATGGCATTTTCTCGTGTGTTTGAACGTCTCTTTGGCAAGAAAGAGATGCGTATTCTTATGGTTGGTCTTGATGCTGCTGGTAAAACGACCATCTTATACAAACTCAAGTTGGGCGAGGTTGTGACGACGATTCCTACTATTGGTACGTTTCAATTTGCTATGATTGGTAGAAATTGGCTGTCAGATATGACTCTATGTTTGTGTACTTGAGTATAATTAATCTGATGGATGTGATTGATATCATCAGGTTTTAATGTGGAGACAGTCGAGTACAAGAACATTAGCTTTACAGTATGGGATGTGGGTGGTCAGGACAAGATTCGTCCACTCTGGCGTCACTATTATCAGAACACACAGGGATTGATCTTTGTCGTGGACTCAAATGATCGTGATCGTGTAGATGCGGCTCGTGATGAACTGCATCGTATGCTGAACGAAGATGAACTTCGTGATTCAGTACTGTTGGTATTTGCAAACAAACAGGATTTGCCAAATGCAATGAGTGCTGCAGAGATGACGGACAAGTTGGGTCTACATGGCTTACGTCATCGCCAGTGGTTCATTCAAGCGTGTTGCGCGACGACGGGTGACGGACTATATGAAGGCCTGGACTGGCTATCGGCGACACTTCAGAAAGCAAAGTAAAACAGCACGTGGTTGACGTACCTGGTAATTGGGGCTATAGACGACTATGTATCATGGGTAGTTGGCGCTGCTATAATTTGCATTTTACTTTTTCACATGCTTGCATCCATCTTTAGTTGCTCTACTAACAAGCTCGCAAGAAGGCCATATAACCACATTATTTGCTTCCTTTTCCTGTCTAGCATTGTGATTCGATATTGTCACGTGTTTCCATTCTGTGTATTCAACGTGCAAAGGGGTCGTATATCGTTTGCCTCCTACATGTTGCATCGAGGCAGTTACTGGTCGCATTGCAGCAGAAACTTGTCAATGCAGTCGTGTTTGCTTTTGTGCTTGAAATGGTCATATTTTTTTCTCACTTGTTTGCTGTCTGAAGTACAAGAGACACGATATCGCTAGCTTCCCACAATTTCTGTCAATATGAAAAAGATATACGGTGCACCATTGGGAGTATATTCCTTCATGTTGCTGCAGCCAACTCGATTGCTTCGTGTGTAATAGCATCCACGCGGCAGCAATCTGGTTTGGGTCAGGTCAGGTAGATGACGGGTTTACTGTATGACGGGTTCTCTTGGAAACTAGATACCTGACAAAGTTCATGTTTATGATTTTTATAAACTGTCTGTAACTAATATTTGAATTCTTCAACAAATAAACTGCATTTATTGGTTGTGTGGGTTTTGTATAAACTATGTCAATCATATTTACCTTTGCAGGTTAAATCGAGCTTTCAACGCCTGTAATTTACAATAACAATCATATCTTTTTAGAATATTTATTATACAAGGCTTATCTAAGCAAAGAAAAAAGCCGTTTCATTGCAAAAGCTCTCCCCAAGGTCACTTTGAGAATTCCGAACGTTGTATCAGAGCGATAGACGGTCGTTCAATAAAGCAAGAGTGAGAGACAGCAAGTGAATAGAAAAACAAAGTAGTAATCATGGGTATGGCATTTTCTCGTGTGTTTGAACGTCTCTTTGGCAAGAAAGAGATGCGTATTCTTATGGTTGGTCTTGATGCTGCTGGTAAAACGACCATCTTATACAAACTCAAGTTGGGCGAGGTTGTGACGACGATTCCTACTATTGGTACGTTTCAATTTGCTATGATTGGTAGAAATTGGCTGTCAGATATGACTCTATGTTTGTGTACTTGAGTATAATTAATCTGATGGATGTGATTGATATCATCAGGTTTTAATGTGGAGACAGTCGAGTACAAGAACATTAGCTTTACAGTATGGGATGTGGGTGGTCAGGACAAGATTCGTCCACTCTGGCGTCACTATTATCAGAACACACAGGGATTGATCTTTGTCGTGGACTCAAATGATCGTGATCGTGTAGATGCGGCTCGTGATGAACTGCATCGTATGCTGAACGAAGATGAACTTCGTGATTCAGTACTGTTGGTATTTGCAAACAAACAGGATTTGCCAAATGCAATGAGTGCTGCAGAGATGACGGACAAGTTGGGTCTACATGGCTTACGTCATCGCCAGTGGTTCATTCAAGCGTGTTGCGCGACGACGGGTGACGGACTATATGAAGGCCTGGACTGGCTATCGGCGACACTTCAGAAGAAGCAGTAACGTCCCTATGAGCGTTCATATCAGGCCACTAGGAAAGAAGATTCTCAGAGCTGCTTTGGAATGATAGGAGAGGAGAGGCGTCAGTTGTGTAATGGTGCATCTATTGGCTTGCAAACTATTTGCACGTTTGTTTCGTTGGTTAAATTGCATTTGCATTTTGAAGCGCCGTGGATGTGCGTGAGTCATTTTAACGACGCGAACCATTGTGAAACGGTACATAGGATAGACAACACGTGCTATACACAGTACACTTTCTAATCAAAACAAGTTGCTACTTACTCGTCTACATATCAGTGACGATATCCCTCGCAAGAAGAGATGACGACTTTTATTCTCCAAGCATAAGGTTGACACGTTTCATAATGTAATCTTTGCTTGGATCATAGGGTGAATCCTTACTTGGGATCTCCAACACTGTTGGAATTGTCTTGTCGTACGTATTAAGTAAATGACGGATCTCTTCAGCTACCTGCATATATATAGCACACAAATCAGTACAATTACATCTACGATCAAGAAGATTAAAACTGGAATATCAAATCTATACGTACATGCTGATTAATAAGGAGAATGCCAATATCATCACGACTTGTGAGTGATCGAAAGGTGGCTTCAATAGTAGAAATAGGTGTAGCTAAAAGGATCAAAATATGGTCATATTAACATGAGGAAAGGATACAAAAAATCTTGTCAAAGAAAACTGCAGACGCACTCGGTTTTACGACGAGAAAATTCGTTCCTTCGGCTGTTCGATGTCCAATTCCTGCAAGAATAAATCCCGTAACTGTATCTTCATCTCCAATCACGCCAATCAATTTAGTGCCATCACTCATTGCAGTAGGAAGAAAGAGGAAGAAGGAAGATATGAGGCACGAGATACTGCTACAGCTAATGAATGAGATATTGTGATGGAATAGATATTTGTGTCGTTTTTATTTTTTAGTCCTATACAAATTTTGTGATTTACCAAGAAAAAGAGATAATCTTTTTTGGAAAAAAACCTTAGCACAAATGTTAGGCTCCACTTCTTCGACGTCATCATCCCAACGTCACTTACAAGGTCTCGTAACGCGTCGTACAGTTACAGCAGAGCCTAAGAATGCCGCACAGTATTTTGGATACGTGGCTAATGGTGTCCATTTCAACAAGGAACTTACGAAATTACGGTACAATTCTTTCTCTTCCTCTTAAACTTATTTATCTTTTCTCTTTTTTTTTGTAACATGGCTACATTTGTATATTTTTTTCTGTTTGTAGGACACATAACCTTAAGCGAAGAGCTACGATTGGTTATAAAGGATATGAAGCTGTATTATGTCGTAAGAAACGTATGACAACGACTAATAGTATCAAGCCAACGGCTAGTAATACAATGTACGTCACACGACCGGGAGCAATTCCTACACCAACAACTACTACATTCAATCCAGCAGCTGTGCTGCAACTACAGGCAATGCTTCCGAAAGCACAGCAGATTGCAGTGAAGCCAGCACCAAAGATTGCAGCATCTGCGTCATCGATCATTCCATCGACAACGCTGACAACGTCGACGATATCTTCGATCACGACAAAATTGACTGCAGCACAAATGCAACAACATCAACAGCAAATGAAGAGTGCACAACAACAGCAACAACAGCCAAAAAGGTCGGACTTTGTTGTGGGTACTACAGTGCTCATTCGGGTATAGTGGCGTGAATTTTGTTTAAATCTGTCACTAGGTTTGATGCTAATTCGTGTGTACTTCTGCTCTTACCATGACAGAATACGGCGGATTTGATTGCGTGTGGTGCACGAAATCTGGCAGGTAAGATGGGACGTATTGTAGCTGCTCCTCAGATCTACGGACAAGAACTATTCTCCGTCTATATTGACGAGCACGAAGCGCTGTTCCAGGTCCCATTTAATGCGCTAACACTTATTGCCCGCCCAACGCCAAACCAGCAGCAGCAGACGCAGCAAATGCAGGCGCAGCTTAATGCTGCAGGGGGGCGAAGTATTTCCAACCAGACGCAACGTTCGCAAAATGGTAACAGTCAAGTCCCGAGAGGATCGAAATCAGCAGAGCAGATTAAGATGGAGCACTCCTTTCAACTTCACCGCCTCATGCAGCAGCAATATCGGGAAATTCAAGTGTTGCAACAGCGCCATGCAGAGTGTCGGATTGCGGATCCGACAGCGCTATCAGGTATCCAGAAGGAGCTGTCTAAACTGCGACTCGTGCATCTTTCTCAGGTGCAAACCCTCAAGAGCAAGCAGGCATTAGATATGATTGGCAAGTAGGTGGTAGCAAAGTGAATGAATTAAATGACGTGTGCATCTTTCTGTTATTGCTTTCACCAAACCTCGTGTGGTGTCTACACGCATGTACCATGACAGCATGACAAATACGTCTATGCATTTAAAAAAAGGTTTACGCGCCTGCGCCAGGACTTCTAGCCCTTGTCTTGCAGCGCATGTTGCTACTGTTGGTAGTAGGTGCAGAATTGCGCTTGCGAATACGTCTGCTGACCAGTAGCAGCCGTAGGGTCGGCTTGGGAGTACGCGTGGACCTGAGCTCCATATCCCTTCAACATACCACCACATAAAAGCACAGATATGAGTACAATATGATCACCATAACATCCCATAAAATGCATATCGAGTATGGTAACAGCAGAAAAGAACGAATGCAAAGCAGTTCCTGCAAAACGAAGCCCTCATCTCGTTGCAGCACGTGTGCACCGAACACCAGCAAATTTCCTCGAAAGAAGGACATGGGGTCAGTCGCTTCTTTCTCAAGCAGGCTGACAGGCCCACGCGAGCTCCATATGAGAGATCAATCCCGTCCGTACACACAATCAACACAAGTATAGCGAGGAAGCAAAACAACGAGAATTTACCTGATAGCCTTGGTAGTAGGGTCCAGCCGCTGTTGTTGCTGTTGCCGTTGTAGGTGTAATTGGTACTACCGCCGGAGCCGTAAGAACCGCAGAGGTAAGCGGGGCTACGATACGGGGACGCTTTGTCCCTGGTTCCATGTTAGAGTTGTATCCGCTCATATTGCCTTCCCGACAGGTCTGGAAATTCAGCAGCTTAATCGTCCGGTTGCGGGACTGAGCCTTCTGTAGCTTCCAGGCCAATTCCCTGCGGCGCAAATCACGCACCTGAGCAATTGTACCGCCATAATTCTCGATAAATTCCACATACTGAAACCACAAATCATTTTTCTCGTCCATTGATAGACTACAACTGTCTTCGAGAGCAAGCTCGTAAACACGGGAGACCCGTGGCACAAGTTCCGGACATTTGCCATTGGCGTTAACCTCAAAGTGAATAAAATTCAGCCAAAGCAATATCGAACCGTTGTTTTGCTGTACAGCACGCTCAAATACTGCACGGGCAGATGCTGTATCGCCAACGAACTTGTGTAGGAATGTAGCGTACGAGGTAGCAACATATGAAAATGCTTCGACTTCGTCCTTGACTACCTCCATTCCGCGCTCAAACCACGTCTTTGCCGTATCGACATCTCCTCGTCTCCGTTCGAAATTACAATAGCGTAAGAATGCTTCTGCGAGCTTCGGAGCTACATCAGATAGTACCTTCATATACATATCCTGGGCTTTTTGAAGTTTATCTTGAGCCTCTAAGAAAGCAGCGTATTCCAAGTAAATGGACGGGCGATACTTGAGAAAGATCGTCACAGCACGCTGGAACACAGTGTCGGCTGCCTCAAAGCCATGCACTTTTTCGCTCCAATCAACGTAACGCAGCCACATCTCTTCGTAATTTGCACAAGAAATGAGGCAGCGCTCGTACAAACTTTCACAACGGACTGCATTACCTGCAGCTTCTTCAAAGTCCAAGTAATTATGCCAGTTCTTCATCGCAGACTCAGCTACTGGTGTCACGTGGAAGTAGGTTCGATCGATCGCAGCTTCAAAAGCCTGTCGACGGTAAATATCCTCCATCGTCTTGTTCTTCACAGTCTCCACAGCATTCACAATCTTGACACGCAGCAATCCTTCATCCATTAGCTCTTCTCCACTGCCAGCAAGTGCTTTTTGTTCTTCAGGTGTTGCCAACGCATTTAATTGCTGGGCTAACACAAACTGATTGTATTTCTCCCAAAATTCATCGAGATTTCGCAGAGGCTGGTACATGATCGATTTAAAAACTTGATTCAGGCGAGGCATATCATTCTTACCAGTAGACATAAACAGAAGTTCATATATCTCAATATCATTGATACAAAATCAGTCGACCACAAAGCAACGTACATTCACGGTCTCCAGCTGGATGTACAGCTCCCATAATGGACCAGCCATGGGATCAGCTCCGCACGCCTTTACTGCTCTTTCCAAGATTCTACCACAAATAAGCAAATAAATAAATAAACAAACGAGTAAAGCAATGATCCAAAGGCTTTAGACACGCAAAAAAGCCGCATAAAACACACTTACGGTCGCGTTTCGTCCACAGGGTTGTGGACCGTATGAATAAGGAACTCACAGTACTTCATCCACATATCCACGCTGTATTTAACTGCTGCAACACCTCGTTCATACACTTGACGAGCCTTCAATTTCGCTTCTTCTGGTGTCGCAACAGTGCTTGTGCCGTCATTTATGACTTTACTGCCAAGTCCATATTCATACAAAGCATACTACAACAACACGAAATAACAATAGGATGAATTTAGTTCATACAATATATCAGTCCTATACACACTCTTTCTTCCATCAATTACCTTGTTCCAATAGCCAAAACATAGCGGAAATTCCACCAAAAACCGGTCATATGTCGATTCCACAATCTCTCGAGGTGTTTCAGCCTATAGTAATAACACCACCCAACATTTCATACTTTAGTATTATCATATTATAGATAGTAGTAAAGATAGTAGTACTGATAAAAAAGTACTATTTTAATAATACTAATTAAATAGTAATAGTGGTAGTAAAAGTAATAGTATAGTAATACTACTACTACTACTCCACTCAGTACTACGTACTTCACTCTGCACCAATGTGAGCATGCTGACCCAAGAATTAAAATCTAGTGGATTCGTATTTACTGCTTCCTGAAGTCGCTCTAGTGGTGTCTTTATTGTCAATACAATAGGTTCAGATCCATTCGTAGTAGTAGCATCGGTACTGGATCCAGTATCAATGGGCGTTGAGAGCACACTGGGGGGTCTCCATGAAGTAAATTAGTGAGAGTTTATGAACTTTAAGGCACAATTATTGCGGTTTATGACACCCGTCCGTTAAAACCTTGACAAAACATCTGGCACTTGGGCACAAAGATGGAGTGTTACTTACGTATATTATGTATCCTTACATTGTATGCTGTAGTCATTTCAATACAATGCAACAACACGTAAGACGAAGCCCATCAGTCTTTGCATGTTATTACGTCCTTTAGTTCTAGTTGATCCATGTTTATTAGTGCTGTAGGCAACAAACGAGATATAATTGGCACTGTACTTCCCACTCTTGGCCGCATCATGCTTTTAAACACATCTCGTGACATTAAGATTTGATGCTGTTACAAAATTGAAACAGCTTGCGCTGTTGACCCGACAAGCTCTAGATTCCTTATGATTGAGAAATGAGGCATTTCAGTCGTCGTCTTACTCTCCAACAGCATTGCCTCGTACATTTCAAATCATTTACACTGCCGCGCAAGCTTTAAACTCGTCATTTCTGCACTCAATCAAACCTTTGCTCCTTATCCCAATGGCATTTTTATGAGCATTAATCCAATCGTTCTGTCTGCAGCGTAAAAGTTTTAAGACTTCCATATAGCTCATTCTTCAATCAACAACGCCATTGTATTCTCCAATAGTGCAATGCTACTACATAATACACGTCATAGAACAATCACAAAACGTCGCTATAGCTTCATACGATGAAGAAAGAGTAAGACTTGTGATCAGCTATACGTTATATTTCAAAACTATATGGCTACAATCACCTCAAGAAGCAATATGCAACGCCAAATTCAATTACCTCACACGTCTAAGCTTTGTAATCCTTCAAATAGAGCCACAATGCGATGTAAATGCACCAAGTTCATGCCAATTAGAACAACAATCTGATCATTCTATCAATGCATCGCTTCAAGATTTCGTGTGATGATTTCTATCCAATCAGATCGTGAATAAGTCAACTCCGAACTTATTCTGACTTCATTTGTGTATCTCAATAATTGACTGGAGAGGAATGCGTTATCTACGTGCCAAAGGAATTCGCAAGGCGCTTCGTCAATTCCACTTTCTATGCGGCCTTAAAGCACCATATAAAGTACTACTAGATGGAAACTTTATTGCCATGTGTATACAGATGAAAGTAGATGTACATGAGCGTGTATCCAAGTATCTTCAAGTAAAACCGTACGAGTGTGAGTTTTACGTACCACGGGCGGCACTGGAAGAGTTGGCGATACTAGGAGAAGCTACAAAGGAGGCTTATAAACTGGCCAAGAGCTTTAAAGTAGCAGAGACGTATGATCAATCTGAAAAGAAGGACGAAGAGGACAAACCCGTTGACGTGTCCATGGCGATCCAGAAGATTATTGGAGACAAAAACGACCGTAAGTTTGTCGTGTGCACGCAAGAGGTGGAGCTTCGCAAGGCACTACGTCTGGTACCTGGTGTTCCGCTTATGTATTTGAATCGATCTGTGCTGGTGTTTGAAGAGATCTCGCACGCTACATTGGCGATTGTACGGCAGGAGGAAAAAGCCAATATGGCGAAGCTCGACGTGAATGAAAAGAGAAAGCTGGAACAAATGCAAGATGATGAAGAGAGTGAAGATGAACACGCGGAGAACTTGCGGCTGCAGAAGAGAAGAGCGAAGGGTCCTAACCCATTATCAGTCAAGAGACCTACGAATAAGAAGGTTCGCTCGAAGAAGAAAAAGCACTAAACCATTTGTCGTTCATCTGCTTTGCGGTAGATATCTCCTCGTTATTGTTCTATGCTTCACACAAGCTGCATTAGTCTTTCATACTCGTTGTCTCATTTGTTTACTTGTGTCTTGTACGTACAAGCTACTTTGTTGTCGTTGACAGCTTCAAACGTGGAGCTTCAAAGGTCTTTTCTTCCTCCTGCAATCTCCATGTATTCAAGACTGCATGTCGTAAAGTAGCGTTTCAACACGTGGAGGTCGCAAGTGTAACAACTTTAAGCTTATACATTTCACACTCAAGCGCTTACATGTATTTCACCACCACTAACATCACTCTAAGATCTACAAGGCAGACAGCATTGTGCTTTCACCTTGACAGTACCAAAGGCATGTTATCCATACACATCGAACATTTGTTACTGGGTCATGCCAACAACGTGAACTTGGACGAACGAAGTCACGCACGTGCTGCAACAAGAAAATACAAGCTATACAAACAAGAATGTTGGGACGTGAGGTATAACATACAACAGACAATTGCTGCAGTTCGTTCCACCATGACTTGAAAGTTTGCGCCGCAAAAAGCTTTGAACGTGGTTATCATCAAACGAGTCTGTAGCAACTCAATGAAACCATCTCTAACATCTTCAACGACCACTTGATACGCTATGACACAATCAGCCACGATAACCTGGATATCCTGGCGCTGCTCCATGAGATGGTGGACCCTGGGCAGGATAGCCTTGAAAAGGGTATCCTCCTTGCTGCTGATATCCCTGAGGCGGTCCTTGAGACGGGTAGCCTTGCTGCAAAGCATAATCTCCTTGTTGATAACCTTGAGATGGTGCTTGAGTGGAATACCCTTGCGGTGCGTGTTGTCCAATAGTTTGCGCAGGATGCTGCTGTTGTGCTGGTGGAGCGACTTCAGCGTAAGAAGGCTGAGAAGCAGATGGTAGTGGTGCCCCTGATTCGGACTCACACGGTGCAGAGAACACATTATATGTAGGCGCAAGAGCCGGGTTGGGCGGGACACCCCGCACTTTCATGAACTGACAGAGCTGGTAGGGAATTTCTGCAAGCGTTTCTCTCGTTAGTGCGTCTGCGTACCCCGCAAAGCGGTTATACGGAACAAATTGTACGCTGTGATGCAAAACAATGATTGACATTCAGCCGTCAATGCTTCCGTACAAACAAACAATAAATTACTCTCAAGTAGAACAAACTTACATATCGCGTGCAGACACACGCCCATTGCTGGCACGCAACTTCCCTCCATCCCCGTCAAGGGCAACCATAGACGAAAAATCAGCTGGACCCACTCCAATGATAACAATCTGTAGATAACAAGAACATCTGTTAGCACTATGTCAAAACCTGAGTTTCGGTGGGTGCTTACTGATAGCGGAGCTACGTGAGACGCCTCAACCAGCGCATCAATGGTTGCCTGCATGTCCATAATGGCACCATCTTCATAGGTAGTACGCAATAGAGCGGTTTTTATTCAGCCTAGATAGCACACAAAATATGGCAAAAATCTGAATGTACCTGTGATAATAAGTAGCACAAAGTATTTCTGCTTGCGGGGGTCATTGAACTGATTCGCGATGCGCAAAGACTGATTAATGAGGCTGCATGAAAAAGTGACCAAATGCAAGCTTCAGCCTCGATAATACTCAACTCAAAAAGTTCACATGCAGAGATGACTTACGGGGCAAAAAACGTTGGCCCATGGAGGCGAACATGCCCGAGAGATGACGTATAGAGCTAGACATAACTGAATGAGCACTGAACGATCCACACACTTCAATGTCAAACGTACCTGCAGAACTCCATGAGACCCCGCTACCTCCGGGTTCGACGGGTTCAAATTTAGTGGAAAGCAGTGATCCACGTCGTACGCCCCTGGAGGAATTCCACCAAATCCATACACCGGAAATTTTTTATCTGCATCATACTCTTGCAAAATAGAAACTGTCGATGAAATTGCGTGTTGATACTGGTTTGGTCCACGAGGGTCGATAAAATGAAGGCTATACACAGATGTCAACACCCCTCAAGGCAGTCAGCAATTACAATCTTCGGCTTCATTCCCAAGTTCACAGTCATTTCATTGGATGCAAATACCTGCGAGGATCATTTGGTGGACCATTTGACTCCGTGTAGTCAATACCAATAATCAAGCTTATTTCCAATCCACCGCGAACTAATATACGACAAATTCAACATGCCTATCATACCGCTGCAACTATCTCATCTCACAACAGCATTCACTTACGGTAGTCGATGAAAGTGTGCTCACGATAGATGTCCGCCTCCGCGGCCACAAGCAGCCCTGCATTTGTATACTTCTTACCCTTTTTCTTCTTCAGCATCTCATTGTGCAACACAAAGTTGGTCCCTCGCTTTCCTTGAATTTCTTCCAGTGTAGTTTGCACTTGTCCAATCAGTTCTGATTTACCACCACGGTCTTCGTCAAACACCTGCAGACTCAAAGGGCGCTTGTAGTCGCCATTGCAAAGCTGTTGCAGTGGAAGCTCAAATCGTTTCCAATTAGGGTTCAAGTTGTTGTCGATGGTCTCCGTCCGATGCACTTGTGTCCAAGATTCACCATCTTCTCGGAGACGACTGATCACGAGGAACGGATCACTCTTGCCAAAGATCCCGTCCATATTAGCCAAACCTGTGGCACAAAAGCGAAGTCGCACGGCCTCGCTAGAAGCTTTGACTTCTTCAGCCTTCACTAGAAGTGTGCCTTGGTGCTTTACCGTCGTGCTCTTTTCTCGGGTGAGCAAGAAGGATCCACTCTGACCTGGAGCTCCCATCAATTGACCCAGTGTAAACTCTGCCTTGCCAATAAAGTCTTGTTCCTTGAGCTTACCAGGAGACGAGCTGTCCTGGTCGTAAACCTCCACTTTTAGTTGTTGTATGGATTCAAAGTGAAACTCGAGGATAAAAAGCTTAATCCATGTTGGATTTAGCTCATTCTTCTTTGCCTCTGTCTTGCCCAATTGAGTCCATTGAGTTCCACCTGATTCAAGAAAGAATACACTCAATCTAATGTTTACAATAGAATAGAAAGAGACGACGATTCATACTGCCTACATTTAACGTAAAGGACGGCAAATGGATCAGATTTCGAAATGATATCACGGTCTTTGAGATGATTAGCACTTAGTGACAGCTCAATGGATGATGTGGGAGAACGAATAGCGCCATGATGAGGTGCAGTAGTAGCAGTAGTAGGATACATAGTAAGGAATAAGCTTCAAATGATCTCGATTTTTTGTCAAATTAGGAAGCTACTTACCACAATTATTTACAAAATTTGGCAGTATAGACAGAATTTCGACATTTATTTACAGAAAGTAGACAAAAAGAAGCTTATTTCTTACCTTGAAACTTTGATAAAACGGACCAAAAAGAGCCGGACCATTATCCGACTTGGTTGAACAAAAAAGGAACAGATTGAAGCTTGTAGGACACCAAGCACGACGGCAAGAAACAATGAGAGCAAGATGAGGAATCGTCTCACAATCCTGTCTGTGATTGTGTGAACGTACTAATCGTAGCTCTATTCCCATCAGTGGATGTCGTGTAGCTTGGCTGTGGAAGGTGCGCAAACTGGACGTCGAAACGTCGAACATCCTTCGAGTCCGATCAAATCATAGAATCCTTTTGGAACAAAAATGATATAAAGTTTCAGATTGTAGTGTCCATCATGCATCCTAGTGAACGCTTTATTCACTGTGCTTAACGGATGTTTTCAATGAGGATTAACAGATTGATCCCTGTCGTAGGTTGCGATTCATTATGAGACGTGACCACTGACAATTTCATCGATAGAATTGTCAATTAGTAGGACTAGAGGGGTTATATGGAAGAATATACGTCTAGAATGGAACAAACACGTGACGCACATGCGACGACATGCCGTGTTCTCATCTTGTCTTTAGGACGCAGTGTGGGAGTATGTCATCTTTTTTATTGTTCGCAAGCTTGGTAAAACTCGAAGTTCTTGCGATCTGACCAGCAATTTGAACCTTTTTAAGCGACCTTCATCATGTATTGAAATTACAACGACGATCTTACCTTGTTCAATATCTTTGTATCCTTCCACAAGAAGAAAATCTTCACGCAAAGAATGTTCTGACCAGCTTTTTGATTCATATGTGACAAAGCGACTTCACGGAATTTGCTCACAACAAAGATCATTAAACGGTCGCAATTCTCCAATATCCGTGGAACAAAAAGCTTGCTCGACTTGTGTACCCGACGGTAGGGTCTAGTAGATTCTAAGGATGTGCGGTGGACGTCTTGGACTACCTTTTAGCCAGTGGACGTCCTGGACTACCTTGTAGCCAGCGGTGACTTGTGACAGTTGCGCGGAATGTTCTTATGTATATGTTGCTTGAAAAGTCTTCATTCTTGTACTCGAGGAGGCTCAAATAAAAATCGATGTTGGCATTTCTTTGCTTCTGCTTGCCGCTTCGTATGCTAAGTAAGTTGCATGAGAATGATACGGGTGGTGTGACCAAGCTTTCTCAGCTATTCATTCGAGCATCGGGTGGGGCCTAGCAGTATTTCACACCCAAACTCCTGAAAAACTAAAGATATGCCAACAGATTCAAGCAATGAATCTGACTGCTGTTGTACAACACCTTGCAAGGCTTAGTCCTTGTCCAACTTCGTCGAACAAAGAGAGTCAAGATCTGGTCATGTTTTAACAAGCTGTTTATTCTGTAATGCTGTCGCAATGTAATCTCTACTTAACTCGTATGGGAGGAACAACACGGCCTCAATTAGGTGATCATCCTTTGCAAACAAGTGGTCTATAGGCTATTGTGCCCTTTGTCATCATTTGCAAACATTGTAAAGTCGATGACATGGCAGCTAACGCCTAATGACTTTGACATGCCGACAAACCCGTATGGCGCGCCTGCAGATTTGCCTCGATGCTTTAGATGCATCCTGGTGGCAAAGCTTTATTTCTATCTGTTTGTGAAACTGATGTCCCCTCATATTTGCCACTTTTGTTTACTGTAATTATCGCTTCGAATGGTTGGAGATATCACAGGTGCTATCATGCTATAAACTATGATACAGATGAGGAAATGCAACAATGTGACTGCTGTTTTGCTTTGACAAGGAAGGTTGGATATCGTAATATTAACAGAATATCCACCCAATACAATACTAACGTGAATCACGAGTAGCGTCCTTTTCTACGGATAAGAAGAACCGCTGGATTCGACCATGCGAAGCATGTCCACCAATAGATAATTTTGGGAAGAAATAACCTTCAGCAGTGTTACACAAAAGTAGTAGTAAAGTGAGATTTGCCGAAGCAGTAGGTCGTAGCGATACACTACTGACAGACCAAGCATTTCAATCAATCGTGCATTAAAAACAGCCCAACGTTTTATAAGCCTTTTTGGTAGCAATCCTACAGCACGTTGCTTACGACATGCAGACAAGCCATCATCATTATCATCATTGCAGCTTATTGTTCTTGTTTGATGTCGTGACCTAAGGAAGTTAGTACAAACTATATACTTCCTGTACTAAGCCATCTATGATGCTGATTTGTTTCGAACCTACCATGCATGCCACAACACCACAACACCAACATAGGCTAAATGTTGAGTGTATAACGATGACATTTATGTACGAACCCATGTAACTCCGTTACATTTTTATGAATCTGATCCACCAAATTTTCGCTCGTGATTGTGTAAGAAGGCCGACATCATTTGTTTCAGAATCCGTAAGACGCCGTGTCAAATGTGACACGAATCAGAACGAAAAAATCTTGTAAACGCTGAAGGTTGTAAGCTGATTTTAGATTTGTTTAAATGCTAGCAAAAGTCCATTGTTTAAGGCTAAGAACCTTCGTAACGCCATGCAATATAGAAACCCTCGGCGTTGTGATTTGCTACCATAATGAGTTTCAAACTATTGTCATTCACTTTCGCAAGCTGACCACAGTGCAATTCTTTTTATATGTGAGCAATACGTTTGTGTAAAGTGAGACATTAAAAGTCGGACCTGTTTCAGTGCTTGCTAAGAAAACTAGAACAAGTCTGACCATATGTTGACCAGACGGGCAAGATATTCTTTCTGGTACAATTTGCGAAAAACCTTAGCCTGACCCTATTTCTTACGTAAAACTTCTCACGTGAAACGAAAAGCAGCAGACCTTTTCTACGCTTAAGCTGTACTATCCATTTACTTTTAAATGGCTAATCTAAACAAAAGCATGTAATATGTCTCTGATAGGCAGGCGCCTTTCAATGATTGTGTATGCTGCAACGTAGACTGTGCTCTCAGAACACTATCATTTATGTAGCATGAGTGCTTGGGTAGTATGGCGTCACGTTGGCAGGCGGTCAGTGTGAAGCACGCATTAAACTCAACATGAGGCAGCGTCATCTTATTTTGGACATCGTAGCATCTACTACTAGCTCATCCAATGAACTCCGTGTACTATGCGGCGCCACGTCTACAGCGCTCAGCATACGCCGCAAGGTATTGCTGAAACGTTACATTTTTTAATGATTTGTATGCGTTCAGTCCCTTTTGCACCCAAAACTTTCGGCTGAGCGCAATGTTGAGCAGAATATACGATACCACGATCAATGAGTCGGCTAGGAAAAATCTTACAGCCGAGTAGGTTGAAATTTAAAGCGTCTCCGTCCCAGAAGCGCAGCCGTTAAAGGAAAGGCTTGCAGCCCTACCTTAAATAACGTCAACAGCTTATTACTAGGCAGAAGCCTACTGAGAACGATAAGATCAAGTCGACTAATCCTACAAGATTCAGCATAAAACTGTACCCACTACATGGCATAAGCCTTGATTTAAAGATATTTAGGTCTGAGCAAACACCGACCCCTGTTGCATCCTACCTTACATGTTCCTGAGACGTTCGAGAACGCCCCTCGCTGTGTTCGGCACGATTTTGTTCGACGGGATTCGTTACCGTTACAAGAACAACGCCGTCGTGCCATACAAAGATCAAGTAAGCAGCCCTACGCTCAGAGTCCACATCTAGCCACACTCTTCAAATTGCCCCCAACTCGGACCCCTAAGCCCATCGCTTGAGCAGTCGGAACGAAAATCGCCTCCACCAAAACGGAGAAACAGAACGATATGAGCAGCAACACCGTACGGCGCGACTGGAGCCCAGGCACGAGTCCCATGAGTGATCGTGTCTGGGCACAGGCTATTCATGCCGTTGTTGAACGTCGCTTGACCCTCCGTCAAGCTTCACAGGCTTTTGGGCTACAGCAAACTGCACTACATCGTCTTGTGCGTCAACACACATTACAACAATTGCGCCAGCCGCCATCGACCCGGTCACTGTGCACAAGTCCGACTAATAGTGACGACAGCCGTTTAACGGCGCTAGCAATAGCAAGTAGCAACAAGAACAGCGAGACATCAAATACTCACTACGTTTTCCCGCGTCTGAATCCGGTGGCACTCTGCCACAACAGCCCTCATGGCGTGTCGTTGCCGGCCGTGGCACCCTTGGCTACCGTCATGGTACCGCCGCCCGTGTGCGAGCTTACACCTGAAATCAACGACGAGGTTGTGGCTGTGCTACGAGAGCAATTTGTGCAGCAACAGTATGATGACTACGAGACTAGTGACGGACGCTATGAAAGACTTGAGGGCTACGCCGATGCCGATATTGCTGACGTCGCACGTGCCATTGTGGGCCACAACGGCCGTCGCATATTACCGCCGAACTTTCCGTCCGCTAACTGGCTTGCCACGTTTAAGCGTGAGAACGGTTTTGCCGACATGGACGAAATGACTCGCTGCGGAGATAGAACAAGCAGTGGAGCCCGCTCAAAGTTGTCATCTCAGTACCAGCAGCAGGGACACAACAACTGTAATTACGAGGCCGAACTGCAGCAGTACGAGCTCGAAGAGCAGCACCGTCATGAAGACAAGGTACGCTATGGGAGCCATAAGTACCACCAACCCGCTGCTCCGCCTTCACCGTCACAGTCACAACGCAGTCCGATGAAGCGGCACGTCTCGTACATATGGGATGACGTCAATGGTACGATGGATGAGGGCGAACGTTTGAAACCGCTTCAACGTCAACGCTTGTACCCGCCGCAGCACCAATTGAGAGACAATGGCAAGTTTCGTCGAAGCCCAAGCGCAGGAAGTAGAAACGGTCATTCTGACAGATACGGTCTTCCTGACAGCAACTGTAGCGATCGGAACTACCGACAGAGCAACCTTGTTCCAGCGAAGGTATGGGAAGCAGCAATGGAAGATGTTGCTATCCATGGCATGAGTCTGCGCAATGCCGCTAAGGCCCATGGAGTGCACTTTGCAGCACTTCATCGCCGCCTAAAGAAACGTCAGCAATACAAGCTGAGCATGCCTTGCGAGCCCAACTACATCCCGTTTGAAGACGAGGCCGGTGTCGTTCGTGTCATTCACGCACGCGCCGAAATGGGCGTCCTGTTGACATTCACGGAGCTAGTCGATTTGCTTAAGCGCACAGCGCTCAAGCACCGCTCGCACTTGCCGGGAGATGTGGCAACAGCTATTGTGCGCAGATTCCAGTCTCGCGTGGAGCAGTCTGTTCGCCACTTGATCGTTGACTGGCCAGCTCTACCGAACAATGTCCTGTACCGACTTCGTGACACTGGCAGCCCTGTGGGCGACAAGTGTGGATTGTCTCGCGATTTTTCGACTGCCAACGTTGGTAAGAATAGCTTGCCTTCCATCATCAGTAGAAGCAGTGGTGAAGCTTCATCGTCGGGGTCTTCCTCGTCTTTGTCGCCGCACGCGCGATCGGCTTCTGGTGGAGGGTACCCAGTGACGCACAAGTCTCCTGCGGGTACTTCATCAAAACTGACGTGGGACAACGTGAAGGCAAGCAACAAAATCAGCGATGACGATGAAAATGTTCTTGTAGCAACTGTATCGCCTCCTTCTGATGATAGCGAGCCTGTTTCCAGCCAGCCGTGCGTGATGCTTCGCTTATGAGCATGATCTTGTGTCGCTTCAGCCATCAAGCAAAATATTTTGTATGTATCTATTGATGGCGCCGTCCGTCTACTAACTACGCACGTTGTGTGCGCCGTGTCCCGCCGCAACGGGTTTGATCCAGACATAGTTATTCTCCCTGGTTTGTCTTGGCTGCGTTGCGCTGGACGTGTACATAATGAACAGCGGTAAATACAAAGAATTAATGTTGTGCGTTGTAATCCTAGCTGCTAGGCATAGCAAAAGATCCCGTCATGCTTAAGATCTTCTTTACCGTGTGCTCCATTAGATGATTAAAGAAGTTGTAAGTGACCTATGAATAGCTGTTGTGTACGACGTCAAGCGTCAGAGTTTGTAGTTCCACAGCCTTCAAACACCAGTGTTTGTAGTTCCATAGTCGTCAATGGTTGCTCCATCTGTGCAATGTCTTGGTCACGCAGGACCGCATGTTTATACGTGCCAAGAGGAGTGGACAGATTTGAGCAAGCGAAAAGCGTTTGTCCTGCGTTAGCAATAACCAATTCAGCATGCACCATAATGCTGCCAATAGGTATTGGTTGGTGGCAAAGATGGAAGACGTTAGCACCGATACGAAGAACAATGGAAGTATGCTCACCTTTGTGTAGTAAGAATGGAAGTGTGAGTAGCATCACTAGAGCTCAGTAACTTCCACAGACGCAACATGCGCGCTCGCGCTTCCTCACGGTCCATTAAAGTGACTACCGGAACACTGAATGAAATCAGCAACATTTGATTGGACACAAGCAAGTCTACACTCTACGGTTCCTGAACATGCAAGCACGTGTGAATAAGGGTCAATATCTTGCTGCAATTCTTGGCATCTTGCAATTTTTGTGCTAGTGGCCTCAGGTCCAAGAAAGACAATGTCGTTCAGCTCCTTTGCACAGGCGTCTGCAACGGCCAAAACGTCCTTTACTGAAATCAACCCCTTTCTGTATGCGCCAAGCGCAGCCCCTGCATAAGTCTCAAAAACCTCCACACCTTCCCTGTAAGCATCAACATGCATAACATGGTAAATGAGAAGCCTTCAACTAATAGGAACATGTCATCAGTTATAGACACTTACGTAGCGTACGCCCGCTTTGTTCCACCGTCGCCGGCACGTGCAAAGATCGGATTCACGTTGTGAATGAAGGTACCAAGCACTTGTTCTGGGTAATTCTTCAGCAATCGCGATGCCAACAGCGCATCGCCTTGACCAGAGTCACCAAAGAAAACGAATTTGAACTCTGGAAATAGTGCTGCAAAGCGAGAGAAGTTGTCCATCTTAAGATTCGCAATCTTCTCGTTGCTCACAAGGCCTCTCACTGACCCGTTGAGCACCGTGACGTTCGGTACTCCTAGGCTCTTCAAGTGCTGCAGCGTCAAGTAGCGTCCAACGCTTAGCCATCCACGAGGTCTAGCAGTGAGAAAGGTAATGGACGGACGCATGCTGTCACCGTTTGCATCTTGCATGAGTCCACGTGATAGCCGCGCATAAAGTTCCGAGACGCCTGGGTAAGGAATGTGCAATGGATAGCGCTTATCGATCCATCCTGGAAAAAGTGTGTCGTCAATATCGCTCACTACCTTGATCAGGTTTGGCTGGTACTCCTTCACCTTCAGACTTTCCACCGCAATATGTTGTACCATGGCCACAACCTCCGTGATGCTCTTGTTTCCAAAAATGAGCTGAATGAGGTCTCCTGAATGCGGCGGTTCTTCTTGCGTATGTACTCGGCGGCGAAATGATACCTTATCTGAAGCCACGTCATTTCTAAACTGAATATGGCCTCCTGTGTCGATAAAAGCCTCTTCATCCGAATGAATCTGCTCCTTCAAAACAGACAGCTCTACGCCAAACGTACCACAAATTACATTCTTTGCAGCACTATGCAGCCCAGCTTTATCACGAATCAGAGGTGATAACAAACAACGCTGAATAGCTTGAATAATCAGTGCTCGATTAGCAATAGTGATCTCTCTTAATCGCTCCTTCGTGAGGACGTCCAACACCTTTGCACGCCCAGATGAGGTGCATGAATGCAGCATAAAGCCGACCATAGTCCTGCAAAATTGACTCGAATTTTCAGGCGATGTTGCGCCTAGAATTCCATTCAAACTCGACGTCGACGCGGTTGCGAGTACATTATGACAAGCAAGAGGATCGTCGAGCCGTCGATTCCGGGGTTTCAGCTGTACTTTCTTTTGCATCTCATCACTGAATACAATCACCATATTGTTATCCTTAAGTGTCTTGTATCGCCATACAGTCCGCTGCTTTAAACCCTTCCACTTTTGCTGTAATCCATCCGCTGCAAGCGCCCACGTCGAAACTTCTCGCAGCTGCTGCGATCATTAGTCAAATGTCAGTACTATTCCAACTTGTGTAGATTTATATATGTCACTTACAGCTGGTAAATACGTTTGCACAGAGGTAAACAAAGCTCTATCTACCTGCAAATTACACGAAGAAGATGGACGTCTGCGCATCGGCGGCATCTGCAGGCGTCGCATGGAGGATGAAAACATAATGTTGCGGATACATAAAGTTGCTTCGACGCAACATAAATAAAAACATTCCATCCTGAATCAAGTCCTTTCATTCATTCATATAATTACTATTTACTGTTTATTCATTCCTCTTTGCTTTCAACTTGACTATCATCAAGAGCACAGAGGAATTCAAACTCGGCCATGATGGGCACGTGATCACTGCCAAAGACAGAGTTAGGTATTCCATTATAATTACCATGAAGACCTGATGGTAAACGACCTGAAGGATTCAAACTGTCCGACATGGCCAATCGATTAAACCAATTGCCTGGTCCATCTTCAGCACGTAAGTCACTTTCTGACGGGATCTCCAGTACACGGGATGGAATCAAATTGCTTTTCGAGTACCAAATGTAATCAATTGTCCAGCAACGACGAAAATTAACAGTAGTATGTGGTGGTTCAGCCTTCTTGCCTTCTTCTACTTGGAACGACTGACGTACTTCCTCTGTGTCTTCCAATGCACTCGCTAGTGCATTAGGTTTGTAAAACGCATAGGCGCTACGAAATACTTCGCTAACGCCCTCCAGATTGGGTTTCTGCATGAATGAATTCTCCATGTACTCGTAAATTGGTGACTCGGGCGAGTTATTAAAGTCACCACATAATACGATTGGGACGCTGTTTGAACCAGTAATGGTCTCAGCCAAGTCACGCTCGTATTTGTCATGCACATCACTACTCATGCGGATTACCTCTTCCTCCAGCTCAAACACCTCAGCCATCTGGTGATCTACCTTCCTGTACACAATTTAGACAACAAGAAAGTACGCTTCCATTAGCTAATGGCTCAGCACTTTCAACCACAAAGCGCGCTCACTTGGCATTCCACCATAAATGCGTGCAGCCGACCAAAACGAACTGCGCAAAGTGACGCATCTTCAGTAACGCCAAAACAGCCACTCGGTCGTGAGGGTCGTGGAAGTTTACAGCTTCAAACTCTTTCAGCTCAAACTTTTCTTTTCTAAAGCCACAACATGCAAAAATGGCCGTCAAAAGATCCTTTACGTATCTAATGGCCAGAGAAAACCACGCTCACATACTTGTAAAAAATCCCACAACCATCGTGTTTCTTCTCGCCAGACCAGTTTGAAACGTGAATAGACGGACGCTTAACGTAGACGCTTTCATATCCTCGGTCTTGCAGTTTCGGCTTAAAGAATCTACATTCCAACAATACATGAATACAAAAAGTCACTCATACATACCATTGACATGTCTCCAGTTCTCAAGCACTTGTTCCACATACGTCCAGTAGTCACTCAGCTCCTCAAGACACACCACATCCGCATCCAGAGCATCCAATTGTCGAAGTAACGCCATCTTTCGATTCTCCCAGTTCAAGCTTGATTCAATAACGTACGGAAAGTGATTTCGCGTGGCCAAGTTACTCGCCAAGATGTTCAGCTGCTCATACACATAGAAAATAAACTATCAATTTGCAGATTGTAGCAGCATAATTCATCAATTTCTCGTACCTGAACAACTGTAATCTTCTGTTTACTTAGTCTACTAGCTTCAATCTGTTCTAGTTCCTTAACACATGGCAACAGCCGCGCACGCGATGAAAACCGTTCAGAGCTCGAACTGCACAGACCACGACGAGCCCGACAATTTGCAGACGCTTGACGAAACACACGCCAAAGTTTTGTGTTATGTCTAGAGAATGATACAGAAGCAAGTACAGCTACACCCATGCCGAAACAGACGGCTGCGGGGCGGCACGATAGCGTCACACTCATGGTCGGTCTGCTTGGGAGGAGAACTAGGATTACTGACTATAACGCTCCCCTCTTGAAGGTGATACTCATGTGCACCACATCTACTGCTGAAGACTACAGTACTTCATAAATCTACTTTACAGCATCTCGAATGGCTGCCACCCACCCATTTCCACGCGACTTTGAATAGCTAAGCTATGGTCATTTTGGATTCAGGTTACTGTCAGTCCAAAGTTACTGGTATGTAATAGTATGATTGATATCGACAAGTGTCGTTTATGATGTAAACTCATGGACTGACGCGTTCTCTATTGTCTCTACTACAGCCCTCTATCCATAATGTCCCTTGTTAACAAGCCAAAGACTGTTGAAGTAGAGGAGACTCGCATCCACCGTATTCGCATTACGCTTACGAGTCGTAACGTGAAGAACCTGGAAAAGGTGTGTGCTGATCTCAAGCGTGGTGCTGTAGACAAAAACCTCAAGGTTTCTGGTCCTGTGCGTCTTCCTACCAAGATCCTGCGTCTGACCACGCGCAAGTCGCCTTGCGGTGAGGGTACCAACACGTGGGACCGTTTCGAGATGCGCATCCACAAGCGTATCATCGACTTGCATGCCCCCCTCGGACATTGTCAAGCAGATCACGTCCATCTCTATTGAGCCTGGTGTTGAGGTCGAGGTGACTATTGCGGACTCTGCCTAAACGAGTTGACTGTAGCTGGTCTCATGGCTAATTTTTTCCACCCAGATGTTTGTAGCAATTACCTGCTGCTGCTTGTGGCTTGTGATCGTAAATGGGGAACAGAATTAACGTTTGACGCCTTGACGGTGTAAAATATCACTCCTACCCTACGTCTTCGTGGGACATCTAATTCTTGTCTTTGACTACCATAAACTTTATCATTCCTCGAGCGTTGTTGTTGTTAGTAGGTCCAAACAACACCAGCAAGAACACGCGACAAGCAATTTTCAATACAACAATGACAACACAACTACATCATTGCAGCAGAAGCTTCTTGAATGGCACTTACATTAGCCACAACATTAAGCCATTCGGGAACCGTAGAAAGCAAATGAGGTGCACCACACGATTAGATGATACACAAACGTCAATAAAGACCGGCCATCCGCTATATCAGTGGCACTAGTGGCCAGCCATACTCGAAAATAGTTAGTAAGATCAAGCGCTCTTATCTTCCAATGGCCTCCTCATTGATGCCACTTGTGGTGCTCTGTGGTGACCGTGCACCGGATGCGCTAATACAGACTGCTGCGATTCTGCAGGCTAACGGCCTTCGCGTGGCTTCGCTGTGTTCGCCCATCGTGGAGACCGCACTTGTGGCCGCCAAGGTGCCGTTTGTGGCTGTCGCTACACCTGCTGACGTACAGCTAATGCTCTCAGACCGTGTGGTAGCCGTATTAGCTCTTCCTCCGAGTGTTGCAGACGTGGGTGGCGTTGGTCATGCACGCGTGGCTCAGTGGGTTTCAGGTGCTTATTCGTTCGTGCGTGTCGCCGCCTGGAATCACAAACAGATCAGCGTCATTGTGGATGAATTGGACCTGATTACAGTGCAAAACAAACTATCACGTTATGGTTCATTAGCCTATTCACTGCGTGAACGTCGTGCTCTGGCTGAAAAAGCGTTTACACTGTTCTCCGAGCTGGACAAAGCAATTGCTGCCAGTCTCAGCAGTGACGATGAGGTTGTACATGACGTGCTGCTGGTCGGCAACGGAGGCCGTGAACATGCCATTGCATGGAAGCTGGCTCAGTCTTTGTCTACCGGTCACATCTACGTAGCACCTGGCAACGCCGGAACGGAGGACGTAGCTGCTGGCATTTCTAATGTCAACATTGGCATAAACCAGCACGACGAGCTTATTGCTTTTGCAAAGAGCAAAGGTGTGACTTTTTGTGTCGTAGGGCCCGAGGCTCCGCTGATTGATGGACTTGCGGACAAGATGAACGCTGCCGGTATCCCGTCTTTTGGTCCCAGCAAGGCGGCTGCCCAGCTGGAAGCATCCAAGGCATTTTCAAAGGATTTCATGCGTCGTAACAATATCCCTACCGCTGCATACCAAAACTTTACAGACTACGAAAAGGCTAAAAGCTACCTTGACTCGATCGATCACAGCATTGTTGTCAAGGCATCGGGCATTGCTGCTGGCAAGGGTGTGCTAATCCCGACCTCGAAAGCTGAGGCCCATGAAGCTTTGCGTGCAGTCATGCTTGAGAAGGCTTTTGGATCAGCTGGTGATGAGGTTGTTTTGGAGGAATTTATGACTGGCGAGGAGGTGTCAATCCTGGCATTCTGTGATGGCGAGCGTGTGGTGTGCATGCCTGGTGTGCAGGACCACAAGCGCATCTTGGATGGTGATCAAGGCCCGAACACTGGCGGTATGGGCGCCTATGGCCCTGCCCCGTGCCTCACCAGCGATCTTGAGCGTGAGTGCGTTGACATTGTTGAGCGTGTGATCGCTGCTATGAAGAAGGAGGGCATGCCGTACGTTGGCGTTCTATACCCTGGCTTTATGCTCACTCCAACGGGCCCCAAGATCGTCGAGTTTAACTGTCGCTTTGGTGATCCGGAGACCCAAGTCGTACTTCCGCTACTGCACAGTGACTTGTTCGAGATCATGCGTGCTTGCGTCGATCATCGCCTTGAACGCTCGCTTGTGTCGTGGAAAAGCGGTGCTGCGGCTACCGTCGTGATGGCGTCACAGGGCTATCCGAGCAGCTACCCCAAGGGCAAAGTTATTACGGGTTTGGTTGATGCTCAGTCACTTAAGGACGTAGAAGTGTTCCATGCTGGCACGACGAAAGCTGCGGACGGCAGCATTACGACTTCAGGTGGACGTGTTCTTGCTGTCACTGCTGTTGGCCGCTCGCTGCAGAGTGCCCTCGACCTTGCGTATACAGGTGTTTCGAAGATCGACTTTGAGGGCGCTCAGCATCGTTCAGACATTGGTTTGAAGGGTCTGCTGCATGGTGCCAAGAAGTTAAAGCTGGCCGTGCTGGGCTCCACTCGTGGCAGCAGTATGCAGCCGATTATTGATGCAATTGCCGCTGGTGATCTCAACGCTAGCATTGATATCGTAGTTAGTGACAAGGCCGGTGCTGGAATCTTGGAACGCGCAAAAACTCATGGAATAGAGTCTTTGTTCTTGTCGGCTAAGGGCCTATCGCGCACTGAGTTCGATGCACAGGTGTCTGAGGCTTTAAAGAAGAAGAATGTGGATCTTGTGCTGCTCGTTGGATACATGCGTATATTGTCGGTCGAGTTCTGTAAGGAGTGGGAAAACAAGGTGCTGAACGTGCACCCATCACTTCTTCCGGAATTTGCTGGAGGCATGGACCTTGCTGTTCACAGCGCTGTGCTTGATGCAAAAAAGACCGAGAGCGGATGCACTGTGCACTTTGTGACAGAGCAGGTGGATGCTGGTCCGATTGCTGTGCAAATGAAATGCTCTGTTCTGGATACTGATACCCCCGAGTCGCTGAAGGCGCGTGTGCAATCTCTTGAAGGTGCTGCTTTCTTGCACGCTATTAAGTTGGCACAGACTGGACTACTGCTGAGACACAAGGCTGGGACGAAAGAAATCACGTACGCGGATGCTGGTGTGAGCATTGACGCTGGTAATGAGCTGGTCAACAGAATTAAGCCACTCTGCAAGTCGACTGTGCGTGTGGGCTGTGATGCTGACCTGGGAGGATTTGGTGGTATTTTCGACCTTCAGGCTGCGGGTTATGATAAGGACACGGCTCTTGTGGCGTGTACGGATGGTGTGGGTACCAAGCTGCGAGTGGCCCAGCTTGCTAAGAAGCACGACACCGTAGGTATTGATCTGGTTGCCATGTGTGTGAATGACCTGATTGTGCAGGGCGCCGAGCCTCTATTCTTTCTTGACTACTATGCTTGCGGGAAGCTCGAAGTAGACGAGGCTGCTGATGTGGTGAAGGGTATTGCTGAGGGCTGCCGCCAGTCGAACTGCGGTCTTATTGGCGGTGAAACCGCTGAGATGCCTTCCATGTACCACGACGACGACTATGATATGGCCGGCTTTTGCGTGGGTGCCGTTCGTAAAAACGCAATCCTCCCATTGCCGGTAGAGGCTGGCTTTGCTGTGTTAGGTCTGGCATCTTCAGGCGTGCACTCAAACGGTTTCTCGCTCGTGCGTAAGCTTGTGGACGTGTCAGGCCTTGCATACAGCGACCTGTGCCCGTTTGAGGCTGGTAAGACGCTGGGCGAGAGCTTGCTGACACCTACGAAGATATATGTAAAGCAGTTGATGCCTACTGTTAAGTCAGGTCTCATCAATGCGCTTGCTCACATTACCGGCGGCGGTCTACTGGAGAACATCCCGCGTGTACTTACCAAGGACCTGGCTGTCGAAATTGACTGTACTAGCTGGCGTCTGCCTGCTGTCTTCAAGTGGTTGCAGAAAATGGGTAACCTCTCAAACACTGAGCTTGCCCGCACCTTCAACTGCGGTATCGGTATGGTGCTACTCCTGCCCGAGGCTAATGTGGCCAAAGTAACGCGTCAGGTTGAGGCGACTGGCGAGAAAGTGTATCATCTGGGTATGACTGTCATGCGCTCCCCTGATGCTGAACAGGTTGAGCTGCGCGGCATTATGGCTTAGATACGATCGGACAGAGAACTGCGTAGCAACTTGAGCCGTGCACTTTACTATATCCTCGACACAATATCCGTACTGCCTTGTTGTTAACACTTCCTGTGGATTTTGGCTGACGATGCTCTTTTGAAAACGCCACAAGGTGTCTGAAATCAACAGCTCTCTGGACACCTGCAGCATAATCGACGTGCTGTTCACGATGCGCGGTTGGATCTAATCTGCAGTTTTGCATACAACGACAATTAGCTGATGCACTAGTAGTTTGGATTATGTGAAATGGCGGTTGCCACTAGAGTAGGGGTCTCCACGTCGAGACACTCACTACTTGTCTCCACACCCGTCATGTTAGCGTAAGAAAATGTAATAGAGGGATATGCTCTGGAATATGCTTGTAGAAAGATGTGCATTGTCAATGACGCAGTATTGTCGCAAACAGAGGAACGACAAACGTCTTTGATGGTTGGTTTGTTGTAGCTACTTTGCCGACTATTGCGAACGTGGATCTTGAAGCGCATATTGACTGTGACAAGGACTCTAAAAAAGACCCAAACGACTAAGAAATTGACGTTTTCAAAGACGCAGCGATCCTGATCCAAAAGCCTACTTCAAGCTTGTTACGAAGGAGCAGGGCGCACAGCATTTGTCTGGACTCGACATTCGCCAGTTTTTGATAATATGAGGTAAAACAACTAGCATGGAGACCGACCTAGTCGATACTCTATCGATCTAGAATATCAAGTAGCAGAAAAACGAGTTGGACCCGCATTTTAGTGATGTTTGTTACGCTTCTTGATTGATTTGTTGTTGTGGGAATGAACAAAGCAGACACGAATACTTTGGACCATGCCAAGAAAACAGCTCTACCATAAAGTCAAAAAATCCTATGCGTCTCAAGAGAGATGTAATGCTAAAAGTCAGCATGTTTCCAGATCTTGTTAGCTCCACAGTAGGACGCTATCAAAAACCAGAGAAGTCCACTATCACTACTTAGGTGACGGCTCAGCTTCGAAAATGACATATAGAAACTTAGGTCCGACTTTGTAAAAAAGAATGCAATGCAGGACTGACGCAAGCTCAAGCGCTTCCTCAAGCTGCCAAGTCTGGGTGCACCTGACTGAACATGTTGGCTGCCCCATTGCAGTGACAAAAAAGCCGTAAATGACGGAAAAACCTTCCGGTCTATGACTTAAAAACTAAGACTATACCTTTTCTTCAGCTTTGCACTTCCTCGCCACTAATGGAGCTCACTTGTTGCTACCATAACAATGACATTTCATGAGTCTTGCGCCTATTGACCCTATCTCTGTGGAACTTGCCTCTATCCAAGCTTTGCTTTGTTTGTTGTAACGCACAATGTTTGCATTACGTCAGTCTTTCGATATCATCATTTCAGTCTTTCCACATCGTCATAGTTCACTCGTCTCAGGTCCCCGTTGACTGTGTATGCAGCTGTGAATATCAAGGCTGTGGCTACAGAGCTCGCAATATGTTTACCAAGAGCTATTTCGCTCGATCAAATTACACAAAAAAGCAGCTGTTCGATATCAATTGCATAACGCAGACAACAGCTCATAGGAACTGTTCAAATTAGTCCTTATCTGTAAGCAGAATCGGTTAAACGTGCGTCGATCGCATGATCGACCAATTTATTCACTTTATGTGGCCGAACCACCAATATTCGGCACTTTGATATTGATAGCTTGCGCTGATGTTACGACGTTAGTGTTGTATGATGGTTGGCTCTTCTAAGAAAACGCTGGATAATGTCTGTACCGGTATTGAACTCAGAAGAAGATACATTGCATGACTGACTGTAGCTGTTGTAGCTACCTACACCTACGTGTTCATGCACATAGAAGTTGATTAGCATTCACAATCGCCAGTGGCTACTGCATGTTTAACTTTCTTGCGTGACCAAACACGCCGTGATTAGTAAGACGATGAACAATTGTCGCCGAGATGACGCCGCTAAAAGGATGGTAGGACAATGGTGTGGTCAGGCAGCTTACCACCTTTGGCTGTTGGTCAAACTAAAGTTTCTCATACCACCAGCATGGTTATAGTGAATTATGCACTCACCAGCTGATTGATGGGAGGGGAGGGGGACCTCAGCTGAAGCTAGTGTGGCTCTAGGAAATAATATCAAGATGGGACATGAACTCTCCTTGGCAAGGTTAAGCTGCACCAGCGCCAGCAGTACTTATTTATCCAGCGCACACAGCAGCGGCATACCCATGCATACAACGTAAATGCATGCGGCTAATCAAAGTAAGATTTTGCAAAGGCATTAGCTTTTTTCGGCAAAAGAGAGGCATCTGGAGATCTTGCATGGCAGCATGGCAGTAGAGTTTGCTGCTGGAAGAGAAGCGCTGCAACTACTTTATCGTTGGCTCGTTGAAGTCGCGATCGTTGTACACTTGATCTTCCATTGACGATCCTCACCACGACGGACAGCTTTAGATGTTACTGCTCGTCTCTTGGTATGCGCTACATCGTCTTTAGTAGCCAAATCGCATTGGCTGAAAGCTCTCGATGCATTTTTTGATCAGCTGTATTCAAATATACTTTCTATTCATGTCAAGTAAATAAAATCCAGGAGGAAAGGGGGGTTGTATAGAAAAGTTTTAAAAGAGAGAGGTTCAATGATGAGAGCAAGGTTTTCATAATATCTGCAGCTTTTATAGACCGATGTTTGAAGAGTGGTAAGAGAGCTGCGCATCGCCGCTGCCCATCTCCCTTGAGCCCTTTTCTCATTTTTTTTAGAGATCACACTGCAGCCGATTTGCCATATGCAGTAAGGGCAGATCCATGAACTCCTGCGATGCGGCAATTCCTGTCTCTTTTGGCGCTTCTTTACATTCCATATTATATAGTAGGAAGAGAGATTATCTTTGATAAAGCTGACAGCCTTGTAGGACGTCAAGTATTCCTGAGATTCACAGGCATGCTAGTAAGAAGTTTGAAAGGGCATGGCATTACATAAAGATATCGCCCAGCCTCTTCTTGCCATCAGTCACTAGACGCATTTTCATGCAAAAGACTATTGCCGCGTTTTGATTGGTTCTATGCGTCTCTTAACACCATGTACTAGTTTTGACACAAATTTAAAAGCATACTGTCTCACATGAGCTTGGCGGGCAATTCTAATTTTAAAGAATTTGAGTGACAGACGGAATGGAAGACGACCTTTTCTTTTGTTACAACTGGGCTGCAATAGCTGTTTTTGTGGCTTGGATTGAAATGCTAGCTGTCACCTTACAAGTGGTACCCGATCAAATACATACCCGTAGCTTTCTTTTGAATTCGAATAGCAGTATATGCGTCTTTTCTGTTCGCTCCCTATTTGCAGTTTTTCATTTAACTGAAGGTTTGTAAGGAGTAGAGATCTCCTCACCACCTCCCTCCCCTCTCGCCCTGATACCGGTGCTTGGCAGTCATGTTTGTGCGTGGTACACACCAATTCTTACACCATTCTAATCATTCTTTAGTCACTCTTCATTTAGCGTTGTCCCACTAGTCTTTGGAATTACTTGAAAACTTCTTTGGACTAGACGTGAGTATTGATTTTTTTCTTCAAGCTTTAGAGTCATCTCTATGGACTGGATGCAGCAGCCCCATGATCAGCTGTTTCACGGCTCAGCTCCCTCCACTGTTCCTTCCTTTAAACTTGTAGACGCCAACAACCGTGTGCGCGAGCTCACGGATCCCCTCAAGCGGCAGCTGGGAGCATCCTGCTCCTTCTACCAACCCCAGGCAAACGATGATGACGGACTCTCGGCTGCTGAGTTGGAAGAAGAACGTCAGCTTGAACAGCAACTACAGGTGCAAAAAGAGGAAATGTGCTTCATGTCGCCACTGCCGCGCCCTGACGTGGGCAAGCTCCGCGTGACCACCAGGTCGCATGCCTTCACGTACGGTGGCTCCAGCTCGTCAAACCTGCATTCGACACCTCCACTAGCTCCACCTGTGTCACCTTTTGCCAGCATGGCTCTCTCGGCACCTGCCGCACCAATCGGCAAGGCCCGCAACCCGTTTCTTAGTGCGAGAGTGGAGAATAGCCCGCGTTTACCGTCGCTTAATGCGATGCGCAACTCGCCGGGTACGCACCTAAAGCCATTGGGTATCGCTTCGCGTCCGCCTCCGCTATCGTTGCGTAGGTTCTCGGATGTCTCGACGCTTTCATCGTCGTCACAGTCGTCATCTCTATCGCCCTCGCCACTTGACCAGCCTCAGCTGGCACACCACTCCAAAGCTCCGTTGCGGTCATTGTCTAACACGTCGCTATCATCAGTGGCCTCCACGTCGTCATCAATGACGTACTCGCAGTCGCTCCCGAGCATGTTGTTCCTGCAGGACAGAAGACGCTCCCGTACGTCATTCGACGGTTTCGACCGCATGTCAATGTCATCGGAAGACGAAGAAAGCGGCATGCGTCTTCTCAGCTCGAGTGTGGGTCGTAGTGAAGGAAGCAGCGATGCTATGACGGCGGCAGCGAATGCCGCGGCCCAGGCGGCACTCAACAACAGTAATGCCCGCGGTGGACGTGTGTGTAGATATGCGAATTGCAGCAATATTGCTCGATCTCGCGGTTTGTGCCGTACACATGGTGGTGGTAAAAGGTGTTCGCACCCAAATTGTAACAAGAGCGCACAGGCAAACCGCAAATGTATCGCTCACGGAGGTGGCACCCCGTGCTCGTTTGAGGAGTGTGAGAAGACGGCGCAGTCGCGTGGCCTGTGCAAGGCCCATGGTGGTGGTGCCCGGTGTAAACACCCTGACTGTCCCAAAAGCAGTCAATCAAAGGGATTGTGTCGCGGTCACGGTGGTGGCATAAAGTGCAAGGCCGAGGGATGTGAAAAATGGGTACAAAAGAATGGGTATTGCATCAAGCACGGTCGTGAGCGTACGATGACCACTTGATCTGTTACTCTTAGCATGCCTACGAGTGTGTGTAGCAATGGCTGCCTAGAGCATAGCAGCATGAGGAGGACGGGTTGGTGTGGATGATTTATGTAATGGAGGGTGTTTAGCGTCTTTAGTTGAAGCGCGAGGTCACAGCAAAATGTAGCCAGCTAACTAACTGTATGACAGGAGTCGTAAAAAGTGATGACAACGAGATGCTACGTGGCGTGTGTGTATAAGCAAAAATCGGTTGTCTATATTCTTCTTGCAAAGCGTTTGCTTCGATCTATTGCAGGTCGATATAACCGGGACCCTTGTCCTAAACGCGTAAGGTTTACATTGTAGTTGAATGTAATACATGATCACTAAGGAGCTGAAGCTGTAGCGTAGAAGTATGCTTGCGCTTTTCCGCTTGAGCCAGCAACGTTCATATTAGAAGGACCAGTCGTCGCAATCAGTTGTGTAGCAATTAGGGACTAAAATGTTACGAATTGTTCTTGGTGGAATTTGTACGTAAGTGAAACTTATTGTTCGTATCAAATATTTGTGTGTCACAATTAATTGTCATGGCAGAAGAAACATTAAAGCATGAAGTCACCTCCATTGCGACTATACCAGAGCTTCATATTAAGTAAGACACAAATTAAGATAGATAGGGACACGACTCGCGTGCCATCAGCTGCTAGAGTTGTTTCTCTTGCTATCCACCCTCCCCCATACTAACCTTTAATGTAATGTGTCATGGCCAGAAACTTTGTATGCTCCGCGAATCTTGGCATGCGTTTTGACTTGACAAATCTTCTAGTCAAGTCTCATCGACGAGCAGAGCTAGTGCCGAAGAAAAACTGTATTTTAATGAAACTGCACAACCCTAAGGCTACGGCCATGCTTTTTGCCAATGGTAAGCTCGTCTGTACGGGCGCAGAGACGGAAGAAGCCATTAAGAACGTGGCTCGTAGATTCACACAAGTGATTCAAAAGATGGATTATCCAGGTGTGAACCTGATTGATTTTAAAATCCAGAATGTCGTGGGCACTTGCAACTTGGGATTTCGAGTTCTTTTGGAGGCACTATCTTTTGCACACAGTGACTGCTGCACGGTAAGAGACTGTTGATGGCGTAAAAAGGTTTTTACATGGGGGTATTGATGCACAAAGTGTTGTTGGTCGTTTAGTACGAGCCTGAGTTGTACCCAGCGCTGATTTACTGCTTAGAGAAGCCACACGTCAAAATGCTTGTGTTTGTAAGCGGGAAAGTGGTTTTTACGGACTCAAAGGAGCAACAAGAGTTGTACGCGGCGTGCGAAACGATCTTTCCGGTACGTATTCTGGCAGTTGAGCGAGCATTGTCAAATGGCTAATGGGTGTTTGTCCTTGTAAGATTTTTTGTCAATTTAAGGACCCCAAGCGAACCGGTCCTGCTGGTAGCGACACGTTTTCGGGTATTCATTTGAAAACTGACACTAGCAATGAGTCCCACCTTGACGACTAGAATAGCCTAAAGCTTTGTTGCTCCTTACCGCTCCGTGTATCAATTTGTTTTCGTCAGTGCTTGTTTGGTAAGCTGAGCTAAAGGTTGTAGGTTAACAATTGTGAACCAATAACGGCTTTTGCAGTTCCCTAAAATTTTTACGTAACATTTCCGTGTCATGGGCTTGTCTCTCCAGTGCTCATCGGCGTCGCGCAAACGCTTTATCATTTACTACCACCAGCTTTATGCTGTGAAGCTGTAAAGATTTGACCGCTCAGCACTGTCAAGTCCAGAAGATGAAGATTGTTGATATTGCTTTCGAGAGCAAAAGCTTATTGACGTTCATGCAATCTGCGGTTTGAGTGAAAATTTAGGTGGCAATACTTGGCTGTGGTCATGAAACCCTGGCAAACCTATAGTTTCTTACTTTGTCAGTTCATGTTTTTGTCAAGAAGCTGGATGCGCAGCTCTACTTAATGACTACAAAAGCAGCTTTGGACTGTCGGGTAGCATTGTACGCTTCAATTGAACCGTCATGATAGTCATACAACAACACCGCAACTAACTGTAAAAATACATCTATGCAATAGCAAGCAATTGACAATGCCAGCACGCGGTGGCAGCCTTTTCTATCGGATACTTATAACCGTTTACCTTGTCCAATAAACACTCCTGTCTACTTGATTTTGGCAGCATTAGCCTCTGGAAGTCGCTCAATCACATACTTGCGATTGGAGATATACATGATAGGCACACCGGGAACCTTACGGATACGTCGTTTGAGCTCACGGTCACACGTCGCAATGATGTAGCAGCGATGCTGTTGCACACGCTGTAGCAGACAGTCATCGGCATATGTGCCCTTGTGTGTGCACGGCAACCGTTCAAAACGTGGATCCTTTGCTAATCGCAGTGCCACACGGTACTTGTGACCTAGCTTTTCTAACTCTGCCATCACGCAGTCCGTGATGCAGGGGGTGCCTGCACACAATCAAAGCAAAAACAAAATAGTTTTCAGCAGTTGATCAATCCACTGAGCACTTGTATAGATAAAGCCCAAGTGTGTCGATTTCGTAGCAGCACTTACACTTGGCAAGCAGACAGTCCATCATGGCCGAGACGACCTCAAGTTTGTTCTTGATGGAGAAATTGATGAAATTTGTATCCACAATAACACTGTACGGCGGACCGAGAGCTGAATTATACTTAAAAAACATATTGGACGGGATCTGATCACTACATCACGCCGCATTTGCAACAAAACAGCAGCCGTGAGACTTCTTCACCACTCGTCTCTTCTCTCCTTGTCATTTCTTACATTTGCTTGGGCTCGGCATCTTTGCGCTTCTTTTCCTCCAATTTTGCAACCGCCTTACGCACTGAATTACTGTCATAGCATTACAAATTGCGATGAGACATTCAAACACTGATGAACGACATTGAAACAGCCAAAAGAAAAGCTTCGTACATGCGCGTGTCGCGAGGACTAATCATGCGCTTTACAGCGGCAAACTTGCGCGTTTTCTTGGCTTTTCCCTGCATCAATATCAACCACAGCATAGTGTCGTTAGCACTGACGACAGATCTTGCTTTTCTTCGTTCATCGAGGACTTTACCATTGTCACGAGTGTACGTAGCTGCGTCTTGTAAGCACTGCGAACCACCAGATAATAGCGTGAGCTATGTGGTCCACATATCTTGTGCTGCACTGAAAGTAATTTAATAACCCAAAAACGATGGCGGGATTAGAGCGACGTGGAATGACGGCGTTTGATATGGAAGAAGAGAAAGAAGAGGGTCATTTTGATGCCAATGGGAACTTTATATGGGATGAAGAAAACAAAAAGCAGGAAGAGGCTTGGCTTGAAGATGTGTCGGAGCAGCAAATGGGTGCTGCCAAGCACGCCAAAAGCCGCCGCGAGTTTCGCGACGAGCAGACGGAGGAGACGCTAACGATTGAGACAGCAAACAAGACGCTGTCAGCTCTGTTAAAGTCTCGTGAGACGGTGTTGCAAGCACTTAAGCGTCTTGGATCTAAAAAGATGAAGCGTGCTCGATCAGGAAGCAAGCGAAAGCAGACACATCAAGTCGAGACACAGACGCCAGAGGAGAAGAAGCAGTTTGAGCAGATTACAGAAGCTGCCGACTTTTTAATGAGGCTGGGAGAGGTGGATGTATATGGCCAAATAAAAGAGGAGTTTATGTTAGAAGAGGAGTTGGTGGAACAGCGGCGACAAGTGCAGTTTGCTGAAGAGAATGAAGCGAAGAGCGAGGAGAAAGCGCCTAAGCAGGAGGTCATGTGGGAGTACAAAGCTAATGACGGACAAATCCACGGACCTTTTCCTACCTCAAACTTTGTGGCTTGGCAGCAGCAGGTGAGTCAAATTATTGTTGTGAACGAGGTGTGAATAGAGAGACTATAGCTTGAAGCTTGGTTGTTTGCAGGGTTATTTCAAAGGAGATACTGCGGTAGACATGCGGCAAGTGCAGAATGTTTGTGATGGTGCTGCTGTACAACACCCGAATAAAAAGCAAAGGAAAGAGGATGTGCATGTGTCAGCTGAGCAAGAAATGCTCGACGATTTTGAAAACAGCGACATTGAAGATGATATCCATTCTGCTGATGACAAGAAAAAGACACATGAAAACTCATGGAAGCGATCCGACGCAATTAACTTTTCCTTGTATTGATTACAGTTGACATACAGGGTATCATCCTTATATTCCAAAAGCTAGCATATGCTGCACTGTAACTATGAGAAGGGTCTACGGAGATTGAAATAATGTGGCGCAAGAGCTGTATATAGATGACTAGTCGTTCTTCTTGGAAAACGCGCCTGTGCCAGTTTTGGGCTTGCCTGTCATGTTGGAAGGGCTCCACCGTCTTGGAGATCCTTGAATGCGGCGGTGGTCCGTGTTGCGGCGTCGAACACTAGAATTGTGGTTCAGGTCCTCGTCCTCGTCCTCGCTAGAACATGAGTCGTCCTCCATCAGTGGGCGTGTACTAGCAGCAGCACTGGAGTGAATTTCTCAGCAAGATACAGCGCAGCCTCATTACTCACCTCTTCGGGTCTGTGCTGTTGGCGGCGTCGTTGCGCATCTGAAAGCGCATGTACATGTCGTTCATCTTGCTCTTCATGACTATAGATACAGTAACATATTAATGGAATCTCGTATTCACACTCTCCAAATCATCGAGTCATTTGTTTTCGCCCACCTTCGCTCAAGGATGTGAATTTTTTACTTACAACCGCATAGGTCTCGTTTGCAATTTTAGCCGCTGTCTTTTCAGGTGTATAGACTTGATATTGCCTCATGGATCGATCATCTTGAAAGTGAGATGAAAACTCTTCGCTAAATAAAACCTCGTCCCGGAAAAACTGGTCCTGCAGCATGCGCGCCAGGACAGCATCATGCTCTTCTTGGTCAGTCAAGCCACGAAACTCGTCCACTGGAAGTCGCAAGAAGTCTTCGGGAAGATTAGTGCAAGTATATGGCTTTCCTCTTGGAGAAACTGACGGAAATGGCACTGCATTGCGCTGCCGACGTGTCGGAGATTCCAGAGTCTGTGCAAAAGCCGACGGCGGCTCTGGAATTTGTGTCTGGCTGGCAGTAGGCATCGTATCCATGGCCAACATTGAGTTCACTGTCCTTTCTACATCGCCTTGATGTGCTAACAGCAATTCCTCTAGCACTTCGACATCCCAAGACGGAAACATGGTACGTAGCATGGCCAGATCAAGACGGACGTTTTGTGCCATATTGACTCAATTGTTTTGTGGCTTTTTAACATTAGTTTTTGTACCGTAATACTTCTATTCGACGAAAGATATGAACTTTAGGATGGATGCCCTAAAAGTTACAATAAGAAACAATTTGCTGGCTTATTATACTGAAAAGTGTTGTTTTGCCAATCAACAACAACAATAAAGCGTCATCGCTGAGACCGAGATGATCGCAACAAAAGCTTGCACAGGGCTGCTGTTTGTGGTGGTAATAATGGAAGACTATGTGCAGGCAGCTTCTAAAAATAAGTCTGACAACATATGCCGATCAGCCGGTGTGCTCAAGTTCGACTCGGAGACGTACCCCATGCAACGCGTACGTCCGATCTCATTTTTCTCTCCTTTGCGCATCAACTATGAGTGATGAATGGCGATTTGTATTGTGTATGTTTGTTATTGTTGTGATATAGACGAATGGTATGGAAGTCTGTAGTAAATATCTCAAGAGCACGTGCTGCAATGCCACACATAGTCACGCTCTTCGGTTGTACGTGACGTGACATTGTGTTAATGTAAGATTGCGATAGCAACTCACATTCAGTATCTATGTTGCTTTGCGGAACAGAAAGATTCGAGAGCCCGTTGTAGCAAAGTTCAGCCCCAAGTGTCAAGCTCTTACAGAGGAAATGACGTGTTCGTCGTGTCACCCTTTGATGGGCACATGGGAAATGAAAACCGTTTGCCCGAGTCTGTGTAATGACTGGTACCGAGTCTGCAAGAACGAGTACTACGCTTACAGTGGTTCTGGCACACTGACTCCTTGTTATGGCAACGCACTGGTGTGCTCACAGCTCAAGGCGATCGCCGACTCTGGTGCAGACTTTTGCGTCCACATGGGCTTTCACGTGGGTAGCGACGCGGATGCAGAGGGTATCGACTGCTTCGACGGATCTGTACCAGAAGTAATAGGTGAGACAGAGCCTACTGAACCGTGGCAAGTGCGTCTCCAGCGTATGCTGGAAGACGAGGCCAAGAACCCATCAGGATTGTTCATCGCAGGCGTCTTCATTCTCATCACAATGATGCTCATGGGAAGCAGGCTTGCAAGAAAACTTGGTGACCCGTTTGGCGGTGACCAACTCAGCCTGATGGAGGTACGTCGCCTACAACAAGAGCGTTATGAACGTGGCGAACAAATGTACGAGGATGATACTGACAGCAGCAGCAGCAGAGTGGCGAGGAGATGGAGCCACCATCACCTGCTGACCAAGCGACGGATGAAACTACCATTTCAGCTGCCTCATAACGGGCACAGTTGCTGGGCCGTGTTCGTGACCGTAAGTTGCTGAAGTAGCTATGTGTAAACAAATAGTGACTGTTGTTACTCTGGGTCAACAATGCTGGCGCTGTTGGTGCGGAATTTCGGCCCCCTAATACACCCTTTTTGGAATCATCATGAGCTAAGATATTATTCTGTTTGCAACACCAAATTGCATCAAAGTATACAGACCCCGCCGCCGAGACATGCATTCATTATTCAATCACGATTTTTTGAAGGCTCGTGCGGTTATCCAGACCCTTAAAATTCGCCTTCCCTGTCCGTCCTTTCTCAACCAAGGTCTTAATCCTGGTTCTTGAGAAGTTCCACGCGAGTCTTCCACTCCTCGTACTGACACTTCTCGTAGGCATGGCGCAGGTCTTGGCACTTCCACGGGAGAAAATACGTGACCCGTCGGCATTTATTCAATGGAATGAGCAGACCCGCGCATGTGTCACGATAGTGTAGCGGCACCTTAGCGTCAACCATTTCCTGTCGCGTAGCCACGCGGGGAGCTACAAAGTCATCATACAAAATTACACCACCACATTAGATACATCGTCAGAGACATGTGACAAATAGAAACAATCAGATGACATGAAACATTATCTCTACTTTTGTATTGCCTGATACATATCTCCTCATTATCAAATGGATTACTACATACCTTCGTAATGACCACCGCCCATGTTTAGATAGATGTTTATTCTTGTATACCTTTGAAAACACTGGAAGCCGCTCAATGAATACGCTTCGTTGATTTGTCATATTATCAAGGCTTTTAATCCAATCATCATACGATTATTAGAACAGCCAAAACAATAGAATTTAGAAAAAGGTCGTCATAGTGGGAACAAGTACTTCTTAAGATGGCCATGAGCAGGATTGTACCGGCGCTCGTGTTGCCATTGGAGCTACAGCAGGACCACAAAGCTATGGGTGCCAAAGTGTGCGTAATCACTTCCTCTCAAGATACTTTTGAAGGCGTTATATTTACGGTAGACCCCATTGCAAACTTTCTTGTGCTCGGTACAGTTTAGTTTAATCTCTACACTTGTAGAGCATGAAGTTGTTACTTAGTTTCGTTGATTGCATTACAATAGAAGAGAAGAATGGATCCAAGAGCATGACACGCATCTTTCGTTTGGAAGCACTGGAGAAGATTCAAGTGCTTGAGTCTGCACCTGCCGGGCTACAGCTGACGTTGCCTGCCATTAGCGAGGACGAGTTGTTGCGTGCTGAGCAACGTAACAAGGTGTTGGCAGAGAAAGCGCTGGCTTCTATTGGAAAAGGCGTGTCTGGTGAAGCTCAGGCGATTTTTGATGCTTTGAACAAGACGTACGTCGATTGTAGAGGAGATTGCTATGCGTGAGACGGACTCTGACCTCGCGTGGCGCTGGTTTCGCTACTGCAGGATGCCGTGTAGGTGGGAAGGTGCCAACATTCTTGTCATGGGTGAAGTGATGATCAAACCGCCATACGAACCGCAGAAATGCGTGAGTGCTAATGTTCAGGTGCTTTCGCGGGTGAAGAAAGTGGTAAGTGGCGGACTGGATTATTTAAGAGGTGTATCTTGTATTTTCTTACGTGGTATACTCTTATTGCTGTTGTTGCTGTTATGAAGCTCGAAGGAGAAATGATCAAGATAAAAAAGGCAAAGTGCTGAGCGTTGTAGACAGGTTGCAATGCATGAGACCTGTCTTGCTTTGGCAGTCCTCTGCTTTGAAGGAGAGACGCAGCAAAACGATTATTGCTATCACAAAAGCGAAAGTTAAGAGAACGCAAATACCGTGTTCATACTTGAGATGATGGAAGTGGTGGATAGTATTGCATACAGAACTGAACAAGAGCATCTTTCGTCGAAACATACATGCTCGTTTTTACGAAGATTGTGCACATTGTAGCGTGGAGATGGTCCGATTTGTATTTCATTACTCGAAGTGTTCAGGATACACCTATATTCTACATTATGTCGCGGCTAATACAATACTACACGGGTTTGGCCCAGCCTGTATCCACTAGGCAGTCCTTGGGCTCAGCTTGATTGCTTTTTGCAACGCTAAGCCTCAATTGATTCTGTCGTCTTTTAGTAGCAGCTTCAAGATCTGCGGGTTCATCTCGGTATCGAACCAGTGGCAAAATATTGGGACAACAACAGCGATTCGTCAAGGATGATGACAACGAAGACAATATCAGGAGCGAGCGATCAACTGACCGATACAACAATGGACGTAACAATGATGTCTGTCTGATTGTGGATATATTGCTTAAACATTGCAGCGCAAGGTTTGCTTGCGACATAAACATAGTAGCCTGTCGCCAAAAGGTGGTGTCTACAAGTAAATGCAGTCAACTGGTTTCATTCACATGTAGTTAACTTTACGGGCAAACTTGTTTTGGCGATAGCCCGGCGTTTAATGGGACAAAAAAACAAGTACATTGTTAGTATGGGTCTACCCCGTCACCCCATCTTTTGCCGGCTGATTGGCGGTCTAACTGGCTACAACTACATCCAGCACGTCTTCGTGAGTGAGTGGAAAAGAGCAAGCTCCCAAGTTAGCCACTGTTAGCGAAGACGTTCCACAACCCCACCGCAGTGCATCGCCCACATCTCCACCATTTGTCTTCCACGCTGACAGAAATCCAGAGTTGAATGAATCTCCTGCACCTGTAACATCCACGACGGCCGTCGGAAAACTCGTTTGTGACCAGTACTGCTGAGTCTTGGAGCAATACGCCACGGCACCACTAGCACCAACCTTGATGATGGTCAGTCCATTGACATGTTTTGCAAAGTAAGCCATTGCCGCTTCCACTGACTCAGTGTGCGAGATCTTCATAGCCTCCACTTCGTTTGGCAAGAGCACGTCAATCAGTGGATACAGCTCCTCGAGATCATCCCACTTCTTCAATGAGTCATAGTTTGTGTCCAGCGATGTGGTAATACCGTTTTTTCTTGCTTTCTCTAGTAAAGGTTTCAACTTCTTTCGGAGACTGACACAGCTGTAAAATCCTGGACAAATCAGCACAATCGTCACGGTAAGCGAATGTAACTTTGGAACTATCGAGCCTTTGCAAACCTCCAATATGCACGTGGTCTGCAGAGAGCACCATTTCTTCGTTAATATCCTGCATTCATAGGAAATATTCTCAGTTCTCACGGACATGACATACTTTTCATGTACAATTTCTCCTCACCTCGACACAGAAGTTGCGAACAGCTCCGTAGTGTGTAATGAAGCTACGGTCATTCTGCATACGACATGTTAGCAATTTACAATACTCCCACTTTGACTATAGCAGACATGACTCACCGCTCCACTAAGTACAATGCAAACGCCCGTAGAAGCATTTTCCAGTTTTGGAGAGCTCAGCACTACTTTGTGCTCCGCTAAATGAGCCTTAAGCATTTCCGCAAACGAGTCACTACCTACAACAATATCATGTCACATTTCTACAAAAGCTCGACAACACATTTCCTACCATTTTCGATAGCAAGATATGAATATACCTATGGCCGTATGCAGTGTCACATGCAGCTCGTGCGTGGGGTTGCGATTGCTGAGATTGGCCAAATGTGTGGCCGTGTTAAGCGCCGAGCCTCCCGGTTGTAGTTGGATAGGTTGAGTACACTCGACGCCAGTTCCCCATTGCGGCAGTCTTTCATGCACCAATGTACCGGCCACTACGTCCACAAATGCGTCTCCTAGCACCGCAAACTTAACCTTCATTTGTCCTCTTTATATAGCTGATTTAAGTAGTAAGCAATAATAGTAGAGAAAATAGAGAAAGGAAGAATTGACGGTGCGATTATCCCGTTTCAATAATGCATCGTCTTCTCCATGCTTGCTCTTTCAGTCGCAGCTTCTCTACTGCTGCACTTCCCACGGCACATAACTTCAGTTTCGGTGCTTGTGGGTTCTTGATTTCGTACCATTTAGGCGTCGCACAGGGCCTCCAGGATGCCGGTTTTATTCTAGCGAGCTCCAAGTTCGCTGGAGCTTCTGGGGGTGCTATTGTTGCCCTAAGTTTAGCCGCAAATGCGAGTATGAACGATATTCAAGAAGAGGTGAAAGCCATGACTCGACTCTGTCATAGTCATGGTACAATCTGGAGGCTTGAGAAGCGACTGCGGGCCACTTTTCATGCCAAATTCGGCAATTTACCGGTAGAGAAGTTGACACAAAGACTTACGATCGCAACAGAGAAGATGTGGCCGTGGAGAGCCTTAGTGTTGACAGACAATTTTCGCTCGACGGATGATTTGTGTGATGCACTCATTGCATCGTGTTATGTGCCTTGGTACTTGGCTAGACGAGGGACGTCTGTGTTTCGAGGAGAGTACCATGTCGACGGAGGCCTTATCACTTTAGTGCCAAAAGTGCCGGGATATACCAAGGTATGTGCGTTTCACGGGCACATTTTACGCCGTACAGACTATGAAATTAGTCCATCGATTGACTCGGACTTTCCCTTTACAATCATGCAGCTAGCACGCTTTGCTTTGTTTCCACCGAGGATTGAAGTGCTGGATCAACTTTTTGAATCCGGAAAGAGATCAGCGAGGATCTGGGCAGCCCAAGCAGGTGAAAATGATATGAAGGGAAAACAATGAAGCATAATACGAGACGATTGTAGTTTTTTTCAGAAAGCAAAAATGTTTTCTTTGCCATCGTTCTTGCTTGATGTCTACCAAATTAATTACCTTGCTGAGTCATCGTCAATTGAGCTACTGGATATTACTGACACGCGCGATGACAACGACGATGACGATGAGGAGGACGACGATGATGAAGAAGACGAAGATGATGACGACGAAGACGATGAGCTTTCATTGCCACGGTCAATGTCCACCTCCAAACAATTCTTATCGATTTCAGCATGTACTTGGGCTTTCTTGAGACCAGCAAGCATTACCTTTTGCTTCACCTGCTCCTTCTTCGCACCGTTAGTTGATGGCGCACCAGCAGCCTTCAATGTTACCGAAGTTGCATGCGTTGTGCTTTTCTTCGCACGGCTACGCCCTGAAGCCGTCTTCTTATACACAACAGAATCAGCAACGAGCTTACCGTTTACTTTCTCGTTATCTTTTCCTGTCTGTACAGCCAAAGGCTCGAGTTTTGCTTTTTTGCTGCTACCTCCCAATGGATCCAAAAGATTTGACAGATTTGGCGTAGTTGTGGCAGTAGGCTTTTTACGACCTCGCTTTCGTAACGATTGGTTCAAGGGTCTTGAGCTGTTCGCATAAACATATTGCTGGGACTCTAAGGCCTTCATTGTAGCTTCTGATATTTTGGTTTTCTTAGTAGGCGGTTCAAGCGCTTCTGCCAGCCTGTCAGCACAACAAACGATCATGTCTTCAAGTCATTGACTGTTTCATGCGCAACATCAAATGGCAGCAACCAAAGCCCAACATACCTTTCCCGGCATCTCCTTGCCTTGTCCTCTTTCGCCTTAAACGCTGCAGATTTCCGCACTTGCAACCATTTTGCTCGCTCAAGCGCAGCAGTCCGAGTGTCTAATAGCTGCAGCTGACTCGGATTAACCTGCATTCAAGCAATTTATGCGAGCATCAGACACCTTGTTTCTCTATCGTTGCAAGCGCTTAGACAAACGTCTGCAACGTACCAACAGGTTGTTGCAATAAATAAAGTCCTCAGGATTTTTTCCAAACGCATTTCGCTCCGTAAACAACGTGGCTAATTTGCCAAGATACGCTGGATACGGATATTCAGCACTGTCCAAATGCGTTTCCGTCAGACAATCCATGTACCCTTTGCGCCGGTCTTCCTCCTCTTCAGCAAATAAAATAGCCTCTACGTCCTCTTCAAACACATCAGACTCATCCAAATACGCATCAACATTTTCATCTTCCTCTTCTTTTGCTTTTTTGTTTTCTTCCTTCACACTTTCAGTCGTAAAAGTGGGTTCAGCAAGTTGCTGCTTTACTGGAGACGACAGACATTGAGTCATTGTCACTAACTTCTTCTCTTGACACTGTGCCAGCAATGTAGACGACGTATTAAGTATCGATTTCTTCACTATATTATTAATGTTGCTATTCTGATCCTGCTTTTCCTGTTGATTTGGATCAACAGGTGGAGGACGTCCAGGTGGAGGTGGCGGCATCATGTTTAGCGGAGGAGAACTCGGAGGTGGTGGAGGAGGGGGAGGGGGAGGTAAAGGTATTGAAGAATGAATCTTCACATTATGGATGACAGAATTATCGTCACCAGAGCTATAGGAACTCGAGCTTGAGCTCGTACTGGTGCTCAAGCGATGCGCACCCAAGAGGAGCGTGTCCATGGGTGGAGAAAGCTGGACCTGCGATGATGCGAAACAATTTTACGGCACAAATGTCACTTTTACGGGGGAACCTTAATCGCCTTTATTGTAACATATCGGCTCTTTCTACACTTTATTTCAGCTGGGCGCTAACTTGTGTCATTATCGCCAGTATCGAGTACGTGGTGGTTCTGGTGAGCCCACATCTCAGCATATTTTCCCTTACTATCACCAAGTAATTCCTCATGAGATCCCTGCTGAGCTACATGCCCTTTGTCAAACACGATAATCTCGTCGACATTTTCAATCGTAGACAGACGGTGAGTTATAATGAGCGACGTACGGTTTGCACCAATCGATGCAAACTCACGCACGATCTCTGACTCGGTCTCTGAATCCAGTGCACTAGTCGCTTCATCAAACAACAAAATTGGTGCATTCTTCAGCATTGCACGCGCAATTGACACACGCTGCTTTTCGCCACCAGAAAGCTTTAGACCGCGCTCACCCACACGAGTATTGTATCCATCCGGAAACGTTTCAATCGATCGGTGGATCTGAGAGACACTTGCAGCATTCATTACTTCCTCTGGGCTTGCATCGAGACGGCCGTAATTGATGTTGTAAAAAATCGTGTCATTGAACAGTACGGTGTCTTGCGGGACGATTGCAATTGCCTGACGCAGCTCGTCCAGACTTATTTGGCGAATATCCTTTCCGTCAATAAGGATTGAGCCACTTTGAGGATCGTAAAAGCGGTATAGCAATCGGAATACCGTAGACTTGCCGGAACCACTAGTACCAACGATAGCAACGCGCTTGCCAGCGCCAATTTTGAACGACGTTTTGTGTAATATTGGGAGCTCCGAGCTGTATCCGAAGTTCACATCGCGGAATTCAATAGATTTTGGCTCTTTGCCGGTTAGGCTCAGATTCTTGTTCGCATTTGTAATGACTGGCGTCACCGCGCCAAGCTTGAACATGGACTCCATGTCTGTGACCGATTGACGCACTTCACGGTAAATGCTACCGATGAAGTTCAGAGGAATGGACAGCTGGAATAGTAAACCATTTACAAGTACCAAATCACCAACAGTTAGCGATCCAGCAGTAATCCCTTCGCACGCCATGTACATGATGGCAGTAAGGCCGACGCTAAAGATACCGTTTTGCCCGGCGTTTAGCATCGCCAAAGAAGTCTGCGTTTTTAGAGCTGCTTGCTGATACCCCTTTAGCGATTCGTCGTAGCGCTTCGTCTCGTGCTCTTCGTTGTTAAAATACTTGACTGTCTCGTAGTTCATCAACGAATCAATTACTTTCGCGCCAGCCTCGTTCTCAAGGCGGTTCATCTCGCGACGAATTTCGTCACGCCACTGCGTGACCAGCACCGTAAACGTCGTGTACGCAGTAAGCGTACCTAATGTTACACCCGCGTACGGCAGGCCAAAATTTGTAGCCATAATGGTGCTGACCAGCCCAATCTCCAGCACTGTCGGGACCACTCTGAATGCCATAGCGCGCAGCACAAAGTCAATCGACCGAGACCCGCGGTCAATAATGCGAGACAGCGCACCTGTCTGCCGATCCAAGTGGAATTGGAGATCCATTGCGTGCAAGTGCTCAAACACTCGCACTGCAACCTTTCGAATAGTCTTCTGAGCCACTGTCGCAAATACGGCATTGGCCAGCTCTGATGATGCACTGGCACTAAATCTTGCTACTCCGTAGCCAAGCACCATGGCCAGAGGCACCGCGATTTCGGGTGATCCCGCCATGATACTGGATACTTCTCCCATGTCATCAACCAGCTCCTTAAAGAGAAAAGGCACTTGAATTGTCAGTGCCTTCGACGCAACTACGAGACCCGCTGAGATGAGCACCTTTTGTTTAATTTTCTTGGCCTCCTTTGAGTCCTCGTTAGGCCATAAATGACCCATCAGAAAGGACAAAATCTCTTTGACCGTATCGGGAGGCCGATCGAGTCCTATGCCGCTTAAAGCGTTAAGTTTCTTTATCTCTAGTGGTTTCTGCTTAATCTTGTCGCTCTGCTCGTCTAGCGCTGACGACGAGAAGCTCAGTACGCTCTTGCCCAAAGCAGGCAAAGTGAGCAAGGCAGGACGATGCCGGTTCAGCGAAAAATAAGAGATAGAAGGTGAGCTGCATGTTGGACGCACAACATTCAGATGCCGCAGGAAGATGCTGCGTCCATGAAGCATTGCCATCATGCACAAATTGACAGATCCAGCAGTGATGCCGACGGCGTATTATTTATTGTAGTACGAATGTAGCACAAATGTGACGAGGCAGGTTGATTGTCATAATACCCTCATATAGCAACCAAGCTGGTCGCCCGTGGATAAACATCGATATCCTGTAGAAAATAATGTATTGCATAGACTTATCGAAAAAAGAGCATTGGTAGTAGTAGAAACTGTTGTGCTCAAAGCTGTACAAAGAAGCCTTGGTAGCTTACAACCTGACGTCTGAAAAGTTTGACAATATATCTGTCGTCAGACAGAATCTCTGACTCCTCCTCCAGCTTGTAAACTAGCTTGTTGCGCACGAATTAATAAATGCTGCAGCTAAGCGTTTTTTTACAAATCTTGCTGCACCGATGCAAGCATACAAGCAATTGACCCGTTTGCAGTTTCTTGAGACAACAATAAAATGTAATGAGCAGCGTCTTACGCCCAAAAAAATTTGTATACGCTAGTCCATTATCATTTCCGCAGTTGATGTATTTGCTCAAGTTCGAATCTACCACATGGTCAACTGCACGATGGTACGATTGAATCTAAGTATGCCTTTGTTGTTTTCAGATTATGTGCATTCTCTGCAGAGGCACCGCAGCACAAAACAGAAACGTCTTAATCATCTGCAACATCGCACACCACAGGAAATGTTACTGCGTCTCAGAAGAGTACGACAACAAGTGCTGACGTGCTTTCGGCAACAACTGACCATTGAAAACGTACTCAATGTTTAAAGTCAACTGTAGTGGGATATTCCACGATTGAGCGTACGAAGCTACCACACATTGACACCATTTTTGATTTGCCTGTGTTTGCTCCATACTTCCAAGAATTATCGTCCATATCGCCGGTCGCAATGCGCTTCGTAAGGCTTTTTGCAGCTAGCCTTGCCGTTATCACTTTTGATAATGCATTTAGCTCACCGTATGTAGGCGATTTGGACCTGAAGGTCATGAGTTTCAATCTTCGCACCTCGATTGCCAACGACCCATGCCCAAGCGGCTGTTGGGAGGAACGAAAGTGGAGAGTAAAGCAGCTTTTAGAAAGATATGAGCCAGATCTCATCGGCACCCAAGAAGGAGCCCCTGACCAAATCGAATTTTTTCAAAGCCAGCTTTCGTTCGCAAGTACTGGAGAGTGTGCGGGCGATTGCCAATGGAATGAGCGCAACAGCATTTTCTATAGGCTTGATCGTTGGGAACTGCTAGAAACAGCGACTTTTGCATTGGTAAGTTGTTGGCGGGAATCCGTTATGGCGTAAAGCTGCTTTTTCTCGTTACGAAACTAATCAACCTGCTTGAATTATTTAACAGAGCAATACGCCTGCTGTGCTGCCTTCTAACACATGGGGTCTTGAATATCTCCGTGCTGCGGTCATTGCACGCTTTCGTGACAAGAAAATCAATCGTGTGGTATGCATGCTAAACACGCACTTTGATATCAGACTTGGTCATTCTCAGTCGGCAGTTCTGGTCGCTAAACAATTAAGCCAGCGCTGTCAACCAGAAGACACTGTGCTTATGACGGGAGACCTAAATACTGGGACTCAAAGCTCTGCGGTCCAGTACATCATCGGTCAGGACCCAATTGATGAGGGCTTTACACCCATCCCAATGTACGAAACTTTGACTGCTGCAAGTGCGGACGGGCCTACGTGGATTGGGTCTTCATTTGGGAACCATGTAGTAGGCAGCAAGCTTGATTACATTTTTTCTCGCCGGGATAATCACACATGTCTACGAAACGCCACAATTTTGACTGACACTTTTGACGGATATTCCAGCTCAGATCACGCAGTGTTGTTGTCCAAATTCTGCCTTGGAACCGAGTGCGTAAGTTGCATCGCGTAGTTTTTGCGTGCAGAGCTTCTAATGTTTGGACGAACAGTCTGCATTGCAGTTTTATTTTGGTGCTTTTCTGCAAACGGCGCGTTTTATGGCATCAAACCGTGCGCAGTCTTTTTTGCAGTCATTCTTGAAACTAATATACCGTATCCATTCTTGTCTCTAAGCAGTATGATTTCAATTTCGTCACGTCTAAGACCAATACTTCCTTGCAAAACACTTAAGCGTTAGTCTCCATCACAAATTATGGTAGAGCCGCTCGCACGTTGTCTGTCGTTCTAATCATATGTATAGTAGTAAGGCAAAGATAAAGTGATTCTATCGTTATCTCTACTAACGTCTGAGTACCTAAACTCCACGTGCACGCTTCCTTAGCAATTTTCTTCACACCAAAACAGATCCTACAAGGAATTAGTCATGCCAGCTGCTCTACGCTCCTTCGCAATTTGGACGCGTGCGAACCGTCATTCCAACAAACCGTGCCTTACTCAGTCACATGAAATATGCATAGTTTTTCGCTCAATTTTTTCTGCTTATTCCATAAAAAGATATGAGCTGTTTGACCAACCGGTTTTGACAGTTCATGTTGGGTGCAGGCGCTGTCATTCTCAAGAACCGCACAGACGTGAGAAATTGTTCATCCGCAGGCACAGTTCTGGTCGACATCGTGACGATTGTAGAATTCGTGATCAGTATCATTTGTTGATGTCTCTACAATCATGACAGAGACGACATAGATAGAATATTTGTAACGACGGGTATCGACTCACTGTTTATTAATCATATCGAGCATTGGTATGAAAAGGCTCAGAGGTATTGCAGCGTAGCAAGCTAAGGACCTAGCTAACAAAATCACCGCTTATTTCATATAAAATTTGTCTCTTTTTTTACTTTTGCAACCCAAAAAGAAACATAATTCTTCTGTAAAATTATCACCAGTTAGTTAAGATGAGCATTTCATTTTACCTACTTCTAGCTACTAAAGCGCTTATAACCCTTGACCGTCATCATTGCCTTAGTAGATTATGAGCCCTACTGCCATCGACGCGAGAGACATACCCCGCGAAGAAAACAGCTTCGTGAGGAGTTAAGCGCAAGGATGAGAGCTGACGAAGAAAGGAATGCTAGATCATTTGAATGACATGAAGGCCCCAGAAAAAAGAGACGCAACTACGTCAACTTGGAAGTCAACGACACGAAGGTCTTCGAGATCGTGACAACAATGATCAGCAAGAATCTGCAGTCAATGGTGCGTCGCAGTTACATAAAGAGGTGGTTTCTAATGCATATTAATTACATAAGTAGGTAGAAGAACGCATGGATAGAATGTGTTGATTGCAGCCCCGCATCTTGTCTCCGACGGCCTCCAACATCTCGTTCGGAGGTCCGTCTTCTTCGACCAAGACTGACCCAAAAATATCACTTTCTTTGACAAATCTTTGAGAATACTCAATTTTTAGGTATTGTTTTGCGAGTTACCACGACCTTTGGCCTGAAAGTGGGTGTCGTTGACATCGCAGCTAACGCGCTCCTTCCAGGCGCCATCAGGCTCTTGGCTCTGTGCCAATTCTTGCAACGATTAACTTTTTGTCAGCTCGCCATTAACTGCTACATACTTTGGTCTCTGTGTGAAGTACCTTTGGACGAATTAATACTTTTCATCTACATATTCACTACACCAGGGTCAACGAGCTGGGTAGTTAGTACCTGGTGGCGAATGACGTACTGTTACTCACTGTCGACTATAGTTAACACAGCATCAGCCACATGATCTCCTTGCAAAAGCACATCCTTCCCGGTCCCCACGTAGTGTTAGAAACGGTGCGTGTACTCCAGTCTACTTATGGTTGGTATTTTTGCCAACCAAGGCATGCCTAATATGAGGTCATACGAACTCTCCGTACCTAGCACCATGAACTTTTCCTTACAAGAAGAAAACCAAATTTTAAGGCGAGTTCAACACAAACTCCATGTATAAAACAGCCAGAGGCGACAAGTGAGCCCACTTTGACGGTTTACCGCGCAATTAGGACATGGTATACCGCAAAAGTCTTTCCGATGCCCTTGAGGTATCGTTTAGCAGCAAGAACTAAAATACAAGTTTAGTGGCAAGAAACAGAATCGAGTTCGCGAACAAGTAGCTCACTCACCGAACCAAAAAACCGTCAGCCGGAGGAAAGTTATACAGACCTTAACGCGTCCGAGCAGGTATAGGGTGTAGTTAACGATTGCATACATCTGACTTTCAACTGAGCTAGACGGGTGGCGATTCATTTTCTTCCCACACCGCACAATCATAAAAACATATCAAATAGGCTTGCTTATCTTACTTACCCCATGAGCAATAATACGAAAACAGTAAGCAACTTTCTTCCTATATACACCTTCGATCTCATCCCCTCAATATACCATGTCATCATTCAGAGCTGGACCAAGCTCGGTGCTGTTCGTGCACGTGACTCAAAAGCATCAACCAGCACTGGGATTAAAGTACGAACCGCTATTTTTTGGATCATAGTCGGCTGTATCAAGATGGTATGTCAACAACACACGTGCACCAACTAACACACATAACATAGTCTCGACATTGCTCCGTTTCGCTATGTGCAGCAGAAAATTAATACGTGAAGCAATACTTGAAGTAACACATAACCATTGGGAAGTAATGTCCTCTCACCTATTTTGACTATTCAATGGAGCAACTCATTATATAGGGCTGTTATAGGCTTTACTAAATAATAACATACGTAGGTATATGCATTGTCCGAATAGCGGATACTTCACGTTATTGACTATTGGCTTTTTGGGGTGCCAGACCCAATAGTTAATCAATAGTAAATCGACCCACTTTGAGTGGATTTCACGAGAAGAGAACCTCCTTAGTACTTAGTACGAATTAAAAACAAAACAAATATACAAACCCGTTACACGTGGTAGCACTTAGTAGTTCTTCCCATGATTAAGTACGGGATGAGCGTGGACGAATATTCGATCGCTCCAGCGGTTTCGCTGGAGCATGCTGACTTCCCCACCTTACTACTGTGGAATGGCAGGCATTACACCGCCTTGCAGCGGTGTCTGGTGAAATATTTGTAACGTCGCTACTGCGCATAGCGACGGCCGAACGACACCGTGCAGCCATCCAAGACTACATGGTGCGCGAGCTCGCCGAAGCAAATTGGAGGGTACAGACTCTCTTGCGCACCTCCCATCATGATGCGATCAAAATGAAGACGTCCACAAACTCGGGCGATGGTCCAATATATCTCCCCCCAATCGCTGATTTCGGGAAATTGATATCGCGATCGCGTCGAGGTTGATTGACGCTTCGACGTCCAAGGTTGATGTCCTGCTATCACGGCTTGTCAACAAAGCAAAAGATTGGGCCTTTGAGAAACTCGGCGTCAAAAAGTTTGGCGTTACCCACGTTGGACGAAATCCAGCGCGACTTACGACTGGTGTTTCGATCTCCTCGAAATAGGGCACACTTGCGTGCAGACTTCTTTATAATTTGACAGGGTAAGCTATTGATGCGTGATTACGTGCAAAAATCACGACATCTCGTGTCGTGTATTTCTACACAGCCGATCGACATGGCCTACCAATTACCTGTCGTTGTCTTCGTTATGCAGGAGGGCATGACGCGTTGTTTCCTCACACGTGCCGAACCGAAGACTCTCGAGGAAGCCTTTGCCCTCACGCTAAAAGAAGATTACACGGTCGCGTCGTCATACTTGCACGCAGCGTCGCAACTTCCACGTATGTCTGGCCCAGAGCCCATGACAATTGATGCATTTGAGGCATCACGCGGTCGCGGCAATCAATTTGACCGCAACATTCGTAGTCAAAACACGATAAAGTGTTTTCGGTGAGGCAAGACAGGCCATCGTGCGGCCGTCTGCCGAGCACCTGCGCCGGTGTCCATGAACACAGCTGTCTCGTGAATATACTGTGTCGTCGGTGGTCCCGCCAAAAGCGAGCGGTTCCATTTGACGGGGAGGGGGTGCACTACTGACAGGAATGGAGCACCGAGTAATCCGGTGGCCGCTTTGAATACTTAAGGTAATTCATATACACTTCAACGCCACCACCACGCGTGACGGTTCGAGACTGATTGTCATCAGTCTCATTGTCGCTGGAGTGGACCGATCACTCCGAGCGTTGTTGGATTCAGGTGCATCCAACAACTTCTTTCGAGCATCATGTTTGTCTCTTTTCCCGTCTATGACTACAGTTTGATATTATCCGGGTGACATCGTTGTCAAACATGCTGATGGAAACCGCAGCGTGTCCCGCGCAAAACAGTGGTTTTACCATATACGTTTGACGGGTTTCAAAGCGATGATGAATTTCTGGTGTACGAGATGAACTACGCATTCGATTCATCTTGAGGATACTGTGGCTGTCACGATATCAGCCGAAGTTAGATTGGCTATCTCGATCCGTCAAACGGCGAAGCGTATACGATGTAAGTGAAGTGTTCGCTAATTTGTTGGTTGCGTCATCTGATTGGCCCGATGTCAGGGTCGTGGACGAACTCACCACGACTAGGAGTCAGCTCAGAGAGGAAGATGGCCCTCTGTGTCCGATATGTTCAGTCACACTGATAGAATTACAACACGAGTCAGTCATACAGAGTTTCTTGCGAACTCAGACATCAGTCGAGCAGAGGCTCCCGATTTATGACGAGGCGGTCGAGCAGGGGCTTTCGCACACTATTTTGGATGACAAGAGGCTCCCGATTCATGTTCCCGCACACTCAGACGTCGGCCGAGCAGCGGTTCCCGATTCTAATCGAGGCGGTCAATCAGGGGCATCCGCACACTACTACATTGGACGAGCAGTAATTCCCGATTCATAATGAGGCGGTCGAACAGGGGTTCCCGCGTACACAAACATCGGTCAAACAAAGATTTCTAATACCAACCAAGGCGATCGAGCTGGGGCTCCCGTACACTACATCTAAGGTGGTCAACGAAGAGGCCCCGTCACTTATGGACGAGGATGCGCGGAATGTATATCCGTATGTGAACGACATGTTGGTGACTGAGCCACCATGTCTAGCGGGGAGTATGTCATCCTTCAGCGACAGCGATGTGCCAGTCTTGAGCAGCGGCTCGAGACGCAAGAAACAGCGTAAACACAAGAAAGGAGCACGCCGACCGCCGGGACGACGACATTCTCGTCGGCATGATGTCAACGTCGACGCCGTAATGACGGAATTCATATGTGCGCTCGAATATGTGAAAGGCTCTCCACATCGCGGTTGCTACATTGAAGTAGATAGCCCTCCGTGCACTGCTGCTACGATCACATCTCTCTCAGCTCTAGCATGGAAAATGTTTTCTATGCCCTTAACGTCGGCGACATCGAGCAAGTGTGCATCGTAATTACCGCCGAATCAGCTACAGAAGAAGTTTTTTTTAAGGCTCACCCAAAGAGCTCCGAGCCCAAATCAGCGCGCGAAGAACGTTTTGCAACACAGTCCTGGAAAGCCTGTAGTGCTTCGGGCAACCCTGCCTACGCTATCGCCTGCGAGAATGCCGATATCTTTCCGGAGACAATTCCTGCTGAGCTTCCAGCTGATCTTGGAGTGCGGCACGAGATTGACCTGGTGCCTGAGCGAATTATTGTATAAATCTACAGTGGCTATTGCCTCGTGATCAAGTCATCGCATTGATGAATTCTTTGAGGGACGCCGTCAAGCAGGCCATGTTCGGGAGAGTGTTTCTCCACATTCGAGACATACTTTCTGTGTGAAGAAATCCACCGGCGGTTGGCGCATTGTACATGCTTTTAACAAGCTTAATGAAGCCATGATCCCGGCTCGAACGCCAATTCCGCGCAAAGTCATGGTATTGGATACCATGTCCGGTAGTGAGATTTTCAGGGTCATCGACCTGACAGACGGGTTTTATGAGATCCTAACGAGATACAGTGATATTCCATTCACTGCGGTCAGCACCCCGTGTGTCATGCTATGGGAATAGCTAGTTATGCCTCAAGGCCATACGAACGCTCCAGCAACGTTCAAGCGGATGGTGACACAACTACTCCGCCCGCTTCACAATTTTGCACCAAGCTACTTCGACAACATTTTTGTACACAGCCGAGCTGAGCAACAACTTAGCGCCACGGAGGTTCATATTCGGCACTTGAAACAGGCGTTCAAGTGATGCGTGAGATCAAATTATATGCCAAATTGGAGAAGCGTGTCTTCTGTGGATCCCGAGATTCCAGTACTCGGTTGTTATGTTAGCGAGGAAGGTGTCCGCGCTGACATCGAGAAAATTTCATCGATATGTTCATGGCCTACGCCCAGGAGCTAAACTGAATTACGACAATGCCTCGGTCTGGCTAATTACATAAGTATACGAAGACTTATGCCGAGCTAATCCAAACATAGTCGACTTTGCTGGAAAAAAAACAATTTGGTCATGAAAGGCAGAGCATCAATCTGCCTTCGACTCTGTGAAAAAGACCTTGTCTGAAGTACCAGTGCTAATGCTGCCTGATGCCTCCAAGCCATTTCACGTTGTTTGTGACGCAAGCAACTTTGCGATTGGATGTGCCCTCATGCAATGTGACGACGGGGGCCGAGAGCGCGTCGTGAGTTTTCAGCGGCAGATGAAACCTGCCGAGAGAAACAATCCGGCACAAGATAAAGAATCTCTGGCTATGCGTTATGCTCTGATCAAGTTCAGGGCATATTTACTCGTCGAGAAGATGTTTTCAGTATATACAGATCACGTATCACTGCGTACCACCGTCAAGACCCCTCCCGTGTCTCAGCATACGGCTCGTTGGTTGTTTTTCTTCTCAGAGCCTAACTTCGTGGTATTTTACTAGCCCGGAAGAATAACATCCTTGCTAACGCGCTTCCTCTGCGTCCCGACTACTATCCTCGACGCGACATGGGGGATCAGCCAGGTAGTGCTGATGACGAAGACGATGACATTTGTTTATGATGTACCAATCTGGGGCTTAATGAAATGGTCTCGACACCTGTGCTATTAATCAAGTCTCAGATTGCTGAGTCTTACGCAAATGATTCCTTCTAGTCAGGAATTATTAACTATCTTCGACAACCTAGTTGAGTGTCACTCGCGAAGCTGACGAAACCAACGCGTGACAACATCAAGCGTTACGCGCTTGATGGTCCGCTACTGACGCACACGATGGACGTCTTTAACCCACCGCGCGTAGTCATTCCTGCCGATGACGACCTTCGAGCACGATTGGTGCATAAAGTTCACGACACTCCAGCTGGTGGTCATATGGGTCGCGAAAAGACGTTTGCAGACATTTCTCGAGTGTTCTCTGGCCACACATGTACAGTACATCCAGAAATTGTATGATCTTGCGAGTTATGCCAGCATGTGAAGCCTGCGCCATCTTCACAAGTCCCATTACGACCGCTTCCGATTTCTACAAAAGCATGGCGTTCAGTTAGTATGGACTTCATCTTTGGTATTCCTCCGGATGAGTTGAACCACATAGGCGTCTTGGTTCTTGTGGATCGATTTTGCAAATGGTCACTTTGCTCCAGTCTCCGCGGAGTTATCCGCAAAGATTTTATTGACTTTTTATATTGAGACAACACGGCTTGCCAGAATCCATCGTCTTAGACCGTGATCCGCGCTTTACTTCGGCTTTTTGGATAGAGCTATTTCGATTACACGCGTTTGCTTATGTCTTCGGCGGCTCATCAGAAACGGATGGGCAAATGGAGCGTGCCAATCGAGTGCTTGAAGATGTCCTGCGCACTTATGCAATATCATTCACATCGTAGAGCTCATTCCTTCCACTCGCCAAATTTGCAATCAACAATGCAGTCCATGTGTCAACAGGACTGACGCCATTTTTCGTGAACGCCGCGAGGTGCCCTCGCGCTCCAGCGCTTCTTGCTCTCTCAGATTCACCGCACACGGTTTCTACGCTTGGTGGGGGAGTACCTACCGATGGCATTGCGCCGCAAAAGCTGATGGTTGATTTCGTTGACGATAATGTTGCTACCGATGCGCCTCATGCTGTTAAATTTCGTGGCCAACGGCATTCAAGTCCCGACACAATGCATCCCGTCACGCCTCCTGTATCTAATTTTGGTCTTAAAAAGTTCGCTTCATCTATGATCTCGGCTGCTGTGACCGAATTTCTATTTCTGCGACAAGGCATCACACGTTTTGTACGTGATGCTCTTCAACAAACCGTCGACAAACAAAAAGAGAACGCGGACAAGCAAGGTCGAAAGCACATGTTAACATTTAACGAAGGAAGATAGAGTCCTCTTATCGACACGTGGTCTGCCAGACACATCAGTGACGAATTTGGGCGCCACCAAATTAGCACCAAATATATTGGTCCCTTTCAGGTTATCAAGGTTCATAGAGATGCCTACACCCTAGACATACCCACCGCTATGCGTTTGCACCGACATTATATGTCGAGCGCCTTAAAGTTTACTTCCCGTCTGATTTCCCCTCGAACTTCTCCGACCTTCCTGTGCCGGCCCGAAATTTGACATCCTCAGTCGACGACGCTGGCGACGACTAGGACCAATCCTGCCCGAGCGCGTGCAGACTTGTTCTGCTGAGGTCCTTCAAACGTGGCAGTCTCGAGTTGGCAAAGACGCTCCACCAACACCTGCTGCTCCTGTCGCGTCCTCTCCGCAGCCTCCGTCGCAGCCGCCGCATGATCTTGAACACTCTCGACCATCTCACGGGCATCCATAAAGCCGTTCTCCTCCTCCTCAGTCTTAGCACGAAGCATTCGCAGCTCTTCGGTCGTTAGCACAGGCGTCCGATTATGTGAGTCGGCGCTTACCGCAAGAGGAATTCGGTTGTGACGCTCCTCCTCCCTTGGTTGATGCATCGGATTTGCAACGCTAGTATGACCCCGGGTAAGAAAAAAAAAGAGCGCGACCGACGATGTTGACTACGCTTATGATCCCCGCGCCGTCACGATCGCGAGTTGGTGACTAACGACGATCTTCCGAGCGACTCCAAGGTCTACCATGAGGCTCGGGAGCCTTGGATACCGTGGAGGTCGAGAGCGAATACTTGAACGACCACGTGTACGAACACGACGATCATATATTAATCAGTCGCGACTGCTTGAACGTCTCCTTGGTCTACAGGGCGCTCTCTCTCGCGACGCAGCGTCGATATTTGGACCTCTAAGTAGCTTCTTTCATAGCGGCCGATCTATAGTCGGAGGTGCTGGGGCATTCCCCGTGCACACACTAAGTCTTCTCATTCCTGTTGAATTGAAAGTGGTCTCTCCACGAAGCTCGATGGACACCCTTCACGAGCACTGACATAACACATGTGGAACTCGTCACGAGTCAGACGACACACACGTCGGCATAAATAGCCAATAGCGTGCACACCGCGAGTGTTCTCGAATCTCTCCATCCAGAACGTGAAGAATGCTTCTTCACGTCGACTCGCGTTCCAGCGTCTGATGAAGGCACACCTAGATCGTTGCAGCGCGTCTTCAGTGTATGCATGACTCGTCGTCTTGCCCCGCACGGTGCGGTGTCGTGTGAAAAGGCTCTTCATCGACTCGAGCAATTCAGACTCTTCGGCTCCTACAAGACTGTAAAAGCCTCCTGGTTTCACTCCTCATCCATGACTCGCGGTATACGGTCCCTTTAAATGTCCGTCTGATAGGTCCAATCGTTGTTTGGCTTCTCGACGCGTGAGTGTTTGTGGTATATGCTGCTCAACTGCGTACAAATGAGTAGATTCGAAGACCAAGACGACACGCCGTTAGACTACGCGTTAACCTTCACGTACGACTACTTGTTGAGAATAAAATTCTGTGTATGGCGCTTACGTTGACGTAAGCACAACACAAAGGGAAGCGATGTCATAGAGCAACTCATTATATAGGGCTGTTATAGGCTTTATTACATAATAGCATACGTAGATATATGCAGTATCCGAATAGCGGATACTTCACGGTATTGACTATTGGTTTCTTGGGGTGCCAGACCCAATAGTTAATCAATAGTAAATCGGGATCTCACGGGAAGAGAACCTCCTTAGTACTTAGTACGAATTAAAAACAAAACAAATACATAAGCAAGGTACAAAAAATATAAGCATGGTTTTACCTTATATAAAAGCAACGCTCCTCTAGTTCCCTTATAGTGTAAGACAAAAACAGGCTCCCCCCCCGTTACAGACTCTCCTCACCTATATTTGCACCTTAGTTGTCCGTGTTTTTTTAATTCGTCAGCGTTTTGCATGGTTCACCTTGATGACCAGGGTTAGTAGCGTGCACACCCAACCCGTCATTGAAAATCGCATACGTAGTCGCCTCAGCAAGACTCTCGGCAGCCTCGGCTGGATTTCGCGGTTGACTTAGATCATAGTCAGTCAATGTCATCCGCAGACCGACCTCCTGCAGCTGCTCCACAAGTAACTGGTCTGAGTCTTTCAAATTCAAGCGTGAGAGTCCTCCATCACTGGTTGATAGCGCCGGGAATCGGCGTTGACTGGTGAGCGTATTCTGGAACATTGGGACTCGCCCATAATCGGTCGTGGTGCCGCTCATGTCCTACATCACCACGTTCCAATAACGCGGCATTACCGCGTTCATTGGCGTTGGTTTTCCTTTTGAAAGCGACTTGTGGGAAGATCAAACGACACTCTTGGCAGACATTCTAGATATTGTGAGCGCCTATGACCGCAAGGTGAACGAGATTGCGAGCGCCGAACAGCTCGCGATATTGGAAGACTCTGTGTGCGAGAACAAGTTTCTTGGGTTTAGTGAAGAGTCACCTTTGACAGTCGTGTTAGATCAACTTGAAGGATGCGCGCGTCAGTACTCGTAGAGGTTACTCTCGTACTTTCAGATCCATGTGTTCTCACTAACGGTCAACGGAGTAGTTTTCAATCATCAGCGCCACATTATTCGCATCTTAAGGTCGCAACGCGAAAGCACTACACCACTGCAGGAGTATGGCTTCCAAAAAGCAAAGTGAGTTCACGTATGATCGCGGTATGATGGACACTATGGTGTCAGGTTCGCGTTCTAATGTTGCCTGGTCTTGTGCTGTCGTCTTGTGTACTCATCGTGGCTGAGATTGCTGCTTCAAACAACGATGCCGTTGGTAGTCGTTTTGTGTTTTTCATTTTTTTTAATTTTGTTGTGCACACAAACGTGTGTGCTATTTTATGTGGTGGGTGGTGTAACGGGGTGTACCGTACAAATCCTGCTAGGTATGACCTAGCAGTCCTTATCATAAAATACTTAGCTAAGTACGTATATTACATGATTAGGCATACGCTGTACCCGATATAGCGGGTACGGCATGTCGGTATTTCTATTTGCTATCAAGTGAAAACCAGGACCAAAAACAGCCAATAAGATCCGTCCTTTATATTGAGTGGCTCTCACGTTGTTTAAAAACCTTTCAAACTTAAGATGAACATTAAAACATAAATAGGAGTTGAATTTGGTATCAATGAAACACGCGTTCGATAGACGCGTATTCCCTAACGTTTTCTCGTAAGACCTTAAATGTAAGCTAAGAAACAGGCCCCTCACAAACCCTCACCCGTCTAGCTCAGTTGGTAGAGCGCTGGCCTTTTAAGCCAGTGGTCGTGGGTTCGAGCCCCACGGGGGGTGTTCAATTTGTTTTGCGAGCGTGTCACGTGTGAGCTTGCGTATGCACTGTGCGAGTGCATGCATCTGTCTTACTCTTGGTATGATGCTCGGAAGGACAAGGCAGCACTGGTGGAAGTGCATTGACTCCTGCTTCGCTACTCTCTACTAAAGTTCATTGTGCATGCACCCATTACTACTTCTCCCTACTGCTGTTCATTGTGCTTGAACCTACTGTTAATGCACTCTTGGCGTCATCTACAAGTGATTCATGTGCATTTGAGCACTTTCGGTGGAACGTTGTGTGTGTACGCTACTGATCGTGGTCATTAAGATGAACCATGCGAAACGCTGACGAATTGGAAAACACGGTCAACTAAGGTGGAAAAATAGGTGAGGAGAGTCGAAATAGGTGAGGGGTCAGTACTTCCCAGTGGCTATGTTACTTTGTTTGATATGTTTGGTAATGTTTGTTGTGGGAAGTAAACGAATCGCCACCCGTCTAGCTCAGTTGAAAGTTTGTCTATATTGTAATAAAATAGGCAGGGTGACTAATCAATCTGCAAGACTAATAGAATACACTAGTATACCTACCCTGATACTATAAATTTTTTTTGTGTGCGTGTCCGAAATTGGCTTCGTATTTTTGGCTTTTAGAAATTTTTTTTTTTAATTTCCAAATAAGCCGACTTAAAATGATAAGTCAATGCGAAATGGGCAATGCACAATAGCATCACGTGCAGCCGCCCTCTCGCCCCAGTCGTCTCACCTGCCGCAGACGTGTCGACCAGAAACGACACGTCGGCTGAGGTCCCACTGGTACCTGGGAGCTACGGCAGGAAAGGCGTGTGACCCCCGACGTGTCCATGTAAGAATGTTGAAACGCGTTTCTAAACTTAGAAATGTTTCTAATTCGCAGTTTTAACTGCCGAGCGGTTTGCGTGGACCGATGCGTGTGATGGCGCCCGGTGTTGTTTGTTGTTGTTGTTGTAGTTGTTGTTGTTGTAGTTGGTGCTGTTGTAGCGTAGGTGGTGGTGTTGATAGCGATGGTGTTGTTGTTGTTGTTGTTGGCTATGCGGTTGGTATTGTTGTTGGTGTTGGTGTCGTGGTGGTGTCGGTGTTGGTGTTGTTATTGTTGTTGTTGTTGCAGGTGTTGTTGTTGTTGCTGGTGCTGTTGGTGTTGGTGGTGTTGGTAGTGCTGGTGTTGTTGTTGTTGGAGTGAGTGAGTGCTGGTGGTGTTAGAGTTGGTGTCGTTGATTGTTGCTGTTGTTATTGTTGCTGTTGTTGTTGGAGTTGTTGGTGTTGCTGTTGTTGGATTTGTTGTTGGTGGTGGTGTTGGTGGTGTTGTTATTGTTGTTGGTGGTGTTGTTATTGTTGTTGGCGGTGTTGTAAAAGTTATTGTTGGCTTGTGTAGCCGTTCAATAAATGCAGCCACCTCCTGTCAAGCTGGCTAGGGATCGTGGCGCTGGTGGGGCACAGTGCCCCCGTCTACGTATCAGCACGATAACGGATACCCAGCGCAGACGGATTTTGGCTAATGTAGTCGCGAAAGATGGGCGAGTGTGACATTGCGGCAACTACCGTGTGCTGCCGGGCCTGCTGGCCAGAGTCGTCGAGGCGACGAAGCTGATGGCGAAAGTGAGCGCAAGCTGTCGCCAAGACGACCTGCAGAGCAGGAAGCGCAGGCGTGGGATTTCGGCCATCGAAGAGACACCGGTTGCGGTCCGTCCAGAGGAAGTGGAGAGCCACTGCTCGAAGCGTGTGCCAGACATCGCACACCACTTCCTCGTCGTTTTTCCACGAATCACGGACTCTCGGCTTTTCAGCCAACACAATCCTCAACCACGTTGCACGAGACCTGAAGAAAGGAGACATCATCTGGTGGATGTGATCCCAGAGCTGTACTGCGAGCGTACAACTGAAGAACAAGTGCTCTTCCGTCTCGATCGCGTCACACCCAGCACGAACGCAAATGCGAATGCGCGGGTTGGCTGCCTCCAAGAACCAGAACCGTGAGCGTACTGGCAGAAGACGGAACGCGAGGCGAAATTGCAGGTCCGCAAACACAGGGAGCAAGATCGTCTGCAGGTGTTTGTTGTACCGTACGTAAGCCTGGATACTCCCCGCTCCAGCACGCTGGGAGTGAATCGTGATCGGGTGCTGTTGTGTCGGCACCTGTGGTGTCCACACGACGCGAAGCAGCGCAGATCTTGGGATCAAGGGAATCAGGCACACCTTGTCGCCACTGCTGCATCCTAGATAAGGAAGAAAATGTCTTCTCCTGCTATTTGGCGGTAAGACCAGTCTCGTCGCTCCAAGTCGCTCCACGATCTGGGTTGTCTCCTTGTACAACACGCGCAGCCATTGTGCCTGTTTCCCAGGCAGCACTGACCCAAGCGAGAAGTCGACATGACGTTGTACAAAGTCTTGCTGCGACGGCCAAACGCCCCCCACTCGCATAAAGTCAGCAAGCGACCGCACTCGGAAGACTCTGGACACATGTAGCCGGAAGCTCCGTTGCGGTTCGACTACCATACCAATACATCGACGATGCGCTGCGCTCGCGGAAGCTCGCTGAGTTTGCTCATAGTGCAGCATGGCGTCGGAGTGAAACCAAATTGGCTGATAAAGACCGTACAAAGAGCGCTCTTCAGGAGGAAGGTCATGCCATGTAAATTCCCATCGGATCTTGTACCATGATGTCCACATCACTTTCCACCATGTAGAAGCCTGCCCCCACGATATCATTTTGCCATGGCGCAGCGGAGAGATGGTAAGGAAGTCCAAGACACTGCACCGGTCCGTACATGGAAGAAGTAGCAGCAGCAGCTTGGAGCCCGCTGTTGTCCAGTTGCGAATATTTGTCGCTGTCGCGGCGCTGATAAACTGCAGAAGAAATTGGAGACGCTGGCGCTTGAGATGGGCTGCCAGGCATGGTACACCTAGCCCACCATCTGCACGGCGCTGGTACAGAAAATCTGCTGGAATCAATTGAACGTGCGACTCATGACGATTGTGCTTTCGGCTGAGCACAAACTTGTTCAGCATGGACTGCCACCGTTTCACAATAGTCCCCGGAATGGAGACATGCTGGGTGTAATGCCACAGGCGAGAGAGCACCATCGTTTGAGCGACCAGGAGGCGACCGCGAACCGTCCGTGCCCGACGATACCAGAGCTTAAAGCCGTCGTAGAATTTTTGCTCAAGCAGAGCCAAGAGAGCGTGATCAACCGATGTCTGTCCGAACGGGATACCAAGGTAGTTCACCGATTCTGTATGGCCCAATACGTGCACACCGGGGAGTATAGGACAGTCGCGGTTCCGGTTCAGCGCTAGTAGCGTAGACTTGGATAGATTGAGCTTGGCACCTGAACCGTCGCAGTACTCCGCCACAACCTCAAGCTGGGCTTGCAGGTGCACGATCGAGTTACCCAGAAGCGTCGAGTCGTCAGCAAAGAACATGCTCGTGGCGGTGTGGTCTGAGGTCAGACACACGCCATACTCCTCGTGGGAGCGCAGCAGGTTGCCAAGAGGCTCAATGGTCAAGATGAATAGAAGAGCAGACAACGGATCGCCTTGTTTCACGCCTCGCGTTGGATACAACGCGGGCTGAATGTTCTGGTTGATGATGAGATGCGCTTGAGGATCCGTGTAAAGCAACCGGATCCATCGCGTGAACTGCGTATCGAAACCCATGTGCTCAAGCAGGCGGAACATGTAATCCCAGTTGACGCGATCGAAAGCCTTCTCGAAATCAAGAAACAGCGCATACGCTTCTTCGTCCTGGCTTGTCACAAGGTCTTGCATGTCAGCGAGAAATCGAATGTGGTGATGGATCGACCGACCTTTGACAAAGCCTTTCTGGTCCGGATGGATCAAGTCGGGGATAACGTGCTGCAGCCGGTAAGTCAGTGCCTTCGACAGGACTTTCACGTCGACCTGTACGA